TCTTACACAGTATAATGTCCGAGACTAAGAATATTCATATAATGAAAGTTTGTTAAGAAATTATTATAGGCATACCCGTGTTAAGTGCTGAAAAGACATAGATGAGTAAGATACACCCCTTCTCTCAAGAAGCTCACAGTCTCTAGAGGGAGATAGGCATGCAGAGTCATTATTTTGTGGAATAAAGATTTAGCAGAAGGTTACACGAGGTAGTGTGGACACTGAGAAGGAGTGCCAAATGATGGTAAGTCAGGAAGGCTTCTTAAAATAGGTGCTACTTTAACACAGACACAAGGGACAAATAGGAGTCTGCCAGCAGATAAGGAGGAGAGGTTGTGTTCCAGGTGGAGGAAATAGCTGGGGCAAAGGCACACAAGTGTGAAGCAGCAAGGCTTTTTCAGGCTACAGCAAACCCATAGTTTGGCTTGGAGAATAGTATTGGGGAGAGAAAATGAAGTGTTCAAGAATATGTTTCATTGAGGAGTTTCAGTAATAGTACTGTTCTGTCTCTGAACCTAAGTGGTGGGTATATAGGAGTTCATTATATCAGTCTTTCATTCAACAAGTATTTGCTGTGTGTGTGTGTGTGTGCGTAAAAATTCTGGAAAGCCCATGATGTGCTTTGGGGTAGTAGTTCCTGATTTTTTTATATCAGAAATGTGCCATAAGAGTTATGTGAATTGCTTAGTAACCATATGGAGTATTAATATATACATGTATATGTATATGTGTGTATGTATAAAAATTCTGGAAAACCTATTATGTGCTTTAGAGTTGGAATTTCTGAATTTTTTACATTAAAAATATGCTGTAAGGGTAATATGAATTACTTAGTACCCATGTGGAGTATTAGTGTTAATGTCAGAGTTTAGAGGCAGGGGTGTTGATGATTTAGGATTTCTTTCCTGCTTCAGTTTGTAGCCTCGAGGATAATTAGTTTTCATCATAGTTTTTTTGAATTGTCATGTAAGGCATTCATTTTTGCAAACATTCACAATGGGATATCCAACATGAATCAAGGCAGGTTCCATGTTGCCAAGCTGCTTATGGTTTAATAGGGGAGCTAGGAAAGATGTACATGCATGCTGTATGAAAATGATTAATGTATGTGGGAGTTTGAGGAAGGAGAGAGAATCACATGGGTCAGATTTTGGGAGCACTTGGGGACTGGTCATTTACTCTGTTAGCGCTCTCAGTCTGGTTCTCAAAGTGTCTCAGGCATCGGAAACAACTGCTCTTGGTGCCCACAGCTCAGAGTTTCTTGACTGACAAAATGCAAATTAGCAAAACTTCCAGTGAGCCATCAGCACTAGTCAGGGATCTCTTGAGTTCTGTCTGTGTGGTAGGATTCAGAAAGAAAGATGACTGGTGCCTCCTTCTGGGTTCAGCGACGCATGTAACCCCTGAGAAGGTACGAGGGCCGTGCTAGCCTGAGCCAACACTGCCCAGTGCCTCTCTCTGCCAAGTACTGGTGCACGCATGGCCCCCAACCTGCCTTTCCAGTGCTCTTGCATTAGACTCTGTCAGAATTAGCTCATCGCTGCCAGGTACGCATCATTAAATTGTACTGTACAACAGTACATGGTTTTTATTTTCCTTGTAAGCTATTATGCAACTTAAATCTGTGGTAGCGTTATTTTCTCAGATTTTTACTGTTACAAAATTAAGCTTATCTCCATTTTGTCCTTACTTTCTTTCTAATCAGGTGTTCCTTTGAATTATCACAGATCTTCTTTGGTATGTTTTTACATTTTCACATTATCTGCTTTAAGTCTTTTTTCTCTTTTCTTCATCTCCTACAGTTTTTTGTTTTGTTTTTTGTTTTGCTTTAGTAACAGTACCTCAGATCCCCAATTCTTGTTTTCTCTTCTACTAGTCCTGCATCAAATATTTACTCTTTCTTTGAATATTACTTCAGAAATCTCTCTTCTTCAAGTCTCTGACTCCTACGCCATCTCAACTGTGCTTTGTGGCTTCTGGAAAAATCCTGAGGTAGGCCTATGAAGTTTGCCTTTGCTACCTTTCATCTCAGCTCTCCCATCTTTTTTCCTTCCCTTGCCCTACCTCTGTCTTAAATAAAATCAGCACAAAGGTGCTGCCCAATGACTGTGGGCAAAGAATTTGGCCAGCCTTAGAGGAGAGTCAAAGATGGCATAAGGATGTATAGTCCAGTGTGAGAGGCAGAGAGATCCATAAATAACCAAAATAAAGTCTGAGGTATCATGAATGAGATATTCGAGGGATTTACAAGATAACAAGGGGCGAAACTAGAGTAGTATGAATGGAAAAGGGAATGAGGAGCATTGTAGGAAAGCCCATCCTTTACCAGTTAATCATGACAGTGAGTTACGTGACATTGGACTCTCCTTAGTCGTGCTGGGAGCTGTGTTCCGTCTGGGTTATCTAACTGCTTTTGTTTCACCAGGAAGCACTGAGCGGACTTCCAGGTGTGTGTGTCCACCCCTCTTTCTGATTCCTGCCTGACTCTTGCTGCCATGTCCCATTTCTAGCTTTCTCATGTGATCTTGTGTCCTTGACTTCTTGTCTTTCTTCCTGCAGTCTTGGACACTGGATGTGGCTGGACAAGTTTAATCCTCTTCCTCCAGCTGCCATGGGTATTTTCCTAGGGGGTCTGGGGGAGAAGTGGAAAGTAGGGTTGCCAGTGACAGAGGCAATAGGAAGGGGCATGGTTAGCTGGAGATTCCCCTGGGCTTCAGCAACTATAGTACTTATACCTCCCCAAACAACCCAGTTCTGGTATGGTTGCTTCTGCAATAACCATTAAAGGTGGAAAAGAACCATAAAATGACAGTGGTAATAATAGACTGATTTTGACCTATTTCTCCTTGGATAGTTTTCCAAGAAATAGAGTTAAAATTAAGGGGCAGTTGGTTATCAGGGTGATGTTTGGTGTTTAAATATATTGCCTCTGGAGAGTTCAAGGGCCTTGTCTTCCCTCTACTAGCTGTTGTTAATACCTAGCTTTTGGAAGTCTAGCCTTTGGAAACGTCTGTTTCTAAAGATTCATTACTGTTTCCAGTATAGCTGTAAATCTGAGCTGCAGCTTGCTATTGACAAAGAACACAGAGGCTCCTCTTTCTAGATTTAGTGGAAAATCTCATGTTTAGAGCTGGTCAGTGAGACTTCTACAAACTCACTTGGACCTGTTTTGCCTTTTTAGTTATCGGCAAGGGTAGTAGGTAACTTTATGACTTTTTATCTCATATATTTCATATCTTTTCTAGAAACAGTAAAATTCTTCCAGAGAAAGTTAGGGCAATACTGGTTTTCTAAAGTGAACCTCAGAGTTATAGCAATTGGTACCCAGAACGTTTATTGAATGAGTAAGATTTTAGTAATGTGTATTCAGTTTATGGGCTGTTTAACTGTGGGGAGAGTTACAGAACTAATTTCAGAAACATGGAAAAACACTTATTAACAATTATACTTATATATTGGTTTATGTTTTCCACAAGGGTTCTGTATGTAAGCCCTTGAGGTGAACTAGATGAGGACTGCTGTCGCCCCCATTGTACAGATGCCCAAATCAAAGGCTGAAAGGCCAATATGGCGGTTCTGAGATTGGAACCCATGACTTAGTTCAGTACTGTTTCCTCTGCAAACTGTTCAGACAGAAGGTGTGCACGAGTGTGTGATATTAAAAGAACAGTAAAGCAATGGGCAAGTTAATTTTACCATACTGTTTTATTCCATTTAAGGAGATAACTTTTATTCTGAGATTCTTTCAACAAATACTAAGTGCCCAGGCATGTACAAGGTACACAGGTACTCTATATTATGTCGAACAATACAGGCATGGAGCTTACATTCGAATGAAGATAGAGAAATAATAAATAAGTAAACAAGCAGTAAATAAGTTCAAGTATTCATGAGAGCTCTAAAGAAAATGAAGTGGAGAAAGGCTGATAGTGATATTTTCATATATTCCTGAAAATGGGCATCAGGGACTAGGGTACATACGTTTTCAAGGGAGACTCCTTCCTGAGGAATCCATGAAGTCATAACACATCTCTTCAATATAGTATTTGGAGTATTCTTGCATGTTACTATATTTTGTTCTTTTTCTTTAACATTAACCCCAAGTCCAAAATTGGCTTAAATCCAGAGTGTCTAGTGGAAGCTAAAGATCTGCTCCAGGAACCCTTGACCTTACTATTTTCATCATATTGAAGCCATGAGACCCAAACATATTGCTGGCCAAATACACATTTTTACCATTTTCACTCATCTTTATAAAATAATGAAGGTACAATACTAGACAACAATACTTTCTGTTTCTATCTCTCCCTCACAACAGAACTTCCTTCAAAGAAAATTCCAAATACCCAGTATGTCAAACAGCTGTGGCTCCAAGTCATGAGCTTACTGTTCTCTCCACACTGTAATGGCCCTGGGGAGTACCTGAGTAATCACTATGACTTTGCAGAGCACAGGATGGAAACCACAATAAAAAAATCAGATTGTAAATCCTGCTATAAACAGATAGGTTTGTTGCCGAAACTGGCAGAGCTACCACACCAGTGATTCAAAATCATGTTTTGAAAGTCCACATTTAGTGAGAAAATAGATTTGTATGTACATTTTAACCTAAAATTATATATTTTCAGGTACCATTTACTATACAAAGCAAAGTTATACTTTCATTGAAGCTGTCTCTTCAGAGCATAGATTTTTCCCAAGTTTTATTGAGATGTATTTGACATACAGTTCTGTATAAGATTAAGGTGCATAAGATAGTGATTTGACTTACATATATTGCGAAATTATTACTAAATACAGAACATACTTCTTGTGTTATGTGGACATGATAGTACTAGTGGAGCTAAAATACTTTTTATCTACTAATTTAAAAATTAAATTTCATATTAGCCAAGTTATTTTTTCATAAATTATTTAATTATAAATAAATCCATATGTTTTATATGTCACCATGAAGTAATTGATTTTCCAGTTTAAGTTTTTTTCTTTTTGTTTTCTAGTTTGCCAGGGTTTGGATACCTGATCCTGAGGAAGTCTGGAAGTCAGCAGAGCTGCTCAAAGATTATAAGCCTGGAGATAAAGTCCTGTTGCTTCAGCTTGAGGAAGGAAAGGTAAGAATTTGGCTTTTATTTGTTGTCATGGGCATAAAATAAAGTGAATTCAAAAGTGTGTTTGCTGTGGTATACATAACTTTAGCTGGAAGTTAAATTTTGAACTGATTTAATATTTTTACTTATTAAATTGATAAAGAATGGCACAATGGCAAACTCAATTCTCTATCCCAAAGGGTTAGTGGAAATAGCAGATACTTAAAAAATCCATTATTTTGCTTCATTAATTGACTATGATTTGGTTTAGGTTCACATATAATCTTCCCAAATATGTGTCTCTTTATCTGTATTTTGTTTAGGCTAGCATTAAAATGTTTTAATATTAACTAACGTATAGTGTCCAGCACAATAATGCACCTTTTTTATTACAAAACCTTTTATTATAAAATCATAAGCATGTAGCTCTGTAACATAACAATATCACACTCAAACACACCATGTGACATTTTAGGTAAAATGTTCAAATTAAAACTATAAATTATTATACCCATATTATTACTCTACCAACCACCAAGCAGGCATTACTTCTGCCAGACTCTGTATTTCATATCATCTAAGGAGCTAGTCTGAGATTTGGTATTTGTTGGAACTACTTATTTGAAAAATATTTAAAAAATGAAATGTAAAACCAACTGTGTCTCAATATTTCCCTATTTGCATTCACTGGATGCGTGGGCTGGTCTTAGTGCCGTACTTGTCAGTCTCCACTGCGTTTGACAAGGCACATCCCACTTTTTCTTAATAACCTGTGTGACATTAATTTCCTTTAAGTAACTTGTCATCTAGCCAGGGAAACTAGGTATAAATACTAGGTATAAATACTGAAAAGTTAAGTAAAATACAGTGTATATAGAATAGTTCAGTACCACAAAGATGTCAAAAGGTAAGTTTATGATGAACTACCAATTGACTAATACTATCCTGACAGTTAACAGGTATTGAGCACTTAGTGAGTGCTTTATTTGCTATAACTCATTCAATCCTCATAATAAGCCTATGAGGTGAGTCTGTTATTATTACAACTTTATAGATGAAGACACTGAGGCTCAGAGTTTGGGACTTGCACCAAGTTATATAGGTATTAAGAGGTGAAGCTGGGATTTAAAGCCAGGAAATTTGCCTTCATGGTTTGTGCTCATAACCACTCTACTATACCATAAAGACTGTGAGGACTTCAGGTTCCCCACAGAGGGGCATTTCATTATGGGCTGCTTTGTCAGGGAAAGTTTTAAGGAGGAAGGATTTTGACTGGGTCTTAAAAGGTAGATAGAATTTGAATTGACGAAGAGAAAGGGGGAGACTCTGTGAGGATTGGGATGCATTTTGGAGACAGTGATTATAACAAGTTGATTGGAGTAGAGGTTTAGAAGGGTTTGTGTTCTAATTCAGGGCTTGAATATTAACGTACTGGCTATATTCCATGTTAAGAGGTGACAAAAGGTATGCTTTCTGACATCAATGTCAGGTAAGAGAAATAGATGTACTTAGGAATAGTGTGACTTATAATAAGTGTAAATGAGAAACGAAAGTGGGGAAGTGGTCAGGAGGCCAGGGAAGGTAAGGAGTCAGGGAAGCATTTTCTGAGGAATGAGTAGACAAGGGGAGTGCATTTCAGGGTGCAGAAAAGCATGGTCAAAGGCAGGGAGGCATTCACAGTATTGTGTGTTTGGGGAACTACACAAGTTCATTTCATTGGAATATAAAGTGACAATACAGGACCGGCAAAAGCGTAGGGATGGGAGCCAGATCACAGAAGGCCTGATTTCCTGCTAAAACTCTAAGACAGCAACTGGTACACTACGGAGAGTGACTACAGGATTTGTAAACAAAAGAGGGTGTCAGGTTTGTGTTTTAGAAAGGCCTCATTGGTAGCAGCATGCAGGATGAACTTCAGGAGAGTAATACAGAGGCAAGAAGAATAGTTAGGAAGATGGTGGGGAAGAATTAGGCAAGATTAGGAGGGCCTTGAATGCCAAACTAAGGAATTAATTTATTCAACATTTATTGATCATCTACTCTGTTAGGTACATGTTAGGTACTTGGGGCTATATTTTCTTGTTAATTTTCACAGCAACCCTGTGGGTTGGTAGGTGATATTATAACTATTTTCCAAATAAGGAAACCAAGGTTCAGAGACATTAAGTAGTTCTGCATGAGATCACACAGCCAGAAGTGGCTTTTGTGTATTGCAGGGGCCAGTACAAGGGCCAATTAGCTTTGGGGAAGGACATTATACCCTAATAAGCAGGCAGAGGGGGGTAGAAGGCCAGATTGCAAAATTTCTTCACCATTTAGCATAGTTCATTTCAACCACATTTGAATATCTGACCTCTGCATAGCTCTTCAGTATTAACAAAGGTGACTTTTTACAAAACCAGCTTGTCCTTCCCTACAATTAAATTGCATTTTTTCCCTTTTTACTGGTATATTATTTGTCCTTAATACATAGTTGAGTCTCAGTTTCCATGCTTGGCTTTGCCATAAAGCCATATTCTCTTGTCTTTAAAGTGAGTAGTACTTCTTAACTTTTGGGACCAAACATCTCATTAAAAATCAAATTAAAACTATGGACTGTCTTTCAAAAAAATTCATATATATGTATATATTTATAGACATACACTTAAAGAGTTATAAAGAGTTAAACTTAAAGAGTTATAGCTAATTTCAGGGGATTCTTAGATCTCTTGGGGTTCAGTATTCTCAGGTACTTACCATGTATCAGGCATTGTCTCCTTTAATTTTTACCACATCCCTGTGAGCTGATTGTTATGCCCATTTTACAAGTGAAGGATTTAGGTTAAGTAACATACCCAAGACCACAAAAGAATTAAGTACCAGTTTTAGAATTTGAACTCAGGTCCATCTCACTCTAGAGCCAAGTTCTTAACCACTGTATTATACTGTCTTCAATTTATCCTAGGTAAAGAGAAGAAGAACTTAAAGGTTAAATAAATACTTATGGTTCAGTAACTGGGTAAAAGAAGATATAAGCTAATACTTCTTAAACTATATTAGCAACAATTATTAATATGAGTTAATATACCTAGTAAAAAAGAAAACTCATTACTTTTGCCATTTTCACCATTTCTGTGGTTTTGGAAGGTGCCAGGAAAAGAATGCATTTAATAGTTGAGAATCAAGTCAGAAATAGGAAATAAGCAAAATGCATGGCCCTGTTTCTCGTTTATTGCCTGGTTTATCCAGATGCTGTGTCTTGTGCATTTTCAGGATTTGGAATATCGTCTCGATCCAAAGACCAAGGAACTGCCTCACTTAAGAAACCCTGACATACTCGTGGGTGAAAATGACCTCACGGCCCTCAGCTATCTTCATGAGCCTGCTGTGCTCCACAATCTCAGAGTCCGCTTTATTGATTCCAAACTTATTTATACATATTGTGGTATGTGTACTTTGCTGTCTGAGTGAACTGTGAACTCTTTCCTCTAATGGGCATAACCTTGGAAATACTGTGCCTGGGGAATGAGGAATGTATGTGATTGGATTTTCTCTTACAGAAAATTTTACTTCAGAGTTATCATTAACTAACTGCACTTTATGTTGAATAGCTCTTTTTGTGAACTTATATAATTTCCATCAAAATAAAAAGCACTATGCTTCTCTTTTGGATCCCCCCCCACACACAGAATTTATATATCAAATCAAATGCCAATTTACCAGTTATTTTCATCTCTTTTAAAAACTAGTACATCAAGAATAGATATCTAAAAAGTTGTCTTTGGAGCTAGTACAAGAAATTTAATTTTGTCTTTTTTTCAATGACTTAGAAATGCAGGACTGACTTGATTTGTAGTAGCCATTCTTATTTTTTTTTAATGTATTGGGTTGACATTGGTTAATAAAATTATATAGGTTTCAGGTGTATAGTTCTATAATACATCATCTGTATATTGTATTGTATGTTCACCATCCAAAGTGAAGTCTTCTTCCATCACCATTTATCCCCCCTGTACCAACTCTACCTTCTCTCACCCATTTTCCCTCTGGTAATCACCATATTGTTGTCTCTGTCTGTGAGTTTTTTCTTTCCTTCCCTTGCCTTGCCTTCCCTCTCCTTCCCCTTCCTCCCTCCCTCCCTTCCTCCCTCCCTCCCTCCCTTCCTTCCTTCCTTCCTCCCTTCCGCCCTTCACCTCTTTCATCCAGCTCCGCAACCCCCCCACCAGCTATCAGTCTGTTTTATATATCTGAATCAGTTTTTATTTTGTTTGTTTGTTTATTTTGTTCATTAAACTCCACATGTAAGCAAAATCATGTGGTATTTGTCTTTCTCTGATTGGCTTATTTCACTTAGCATAATACTCTCTAGGACCATCCATATTGTCACAAAAGGATATAGTAGCAATTCTTGGTTGATCTGTTTGCCTAGGTCCCTGCTTGTTGTAGTATTAGCTGCCAGGGGCCCAGCTCAGGATTCTTTTCTGTCTCTTACAAATTAAGCATGCACATGTATGTACATTTGGGTTCCTTTCCTTCTTTTCTCTCTATTTTCTTTTTATACTTTATTTTTTCTCACATCCCCAGCTTTTCTTCTCTACTAACTTCTCATTTTTCTTTTATTAATCATTTTCCCGAGTCTTACATCCAATATTTCCATTCATTTCCTTCTTAGTTTATTTTCCTGGGGTGCCCCACTCATTGATGGTCAATTCTTCATTACCCTTCCATTTTGGACAGGAACAAATGTCTTTTCTTTTTCTTCTCTTTTTTTAAAGAATTCTATCTATCTATCCATTATCTATGTATCTATCTATCTATCATCTGTCTAAGAGTGTAGATGGGAGTAAGAAAGAGAGAAAAACACCAATGTGAGAGAAACATCGATTAGTTGCCTCTCATACACGCCCCAGCTTGGAACTGAACCTGCAACCCCGACATGTGCCCTAATAGGGAATCAAACTGGTGAACTTTTACTTTGTGGGATAATGCCCAACCAACTGAGCCATACAAGTCATGGCTGTCTTTTCATCTTAAAAGAATTTGTATCTTTGCCCTGGCCAGTGTGGCTCAGTTGGTTGGGGCATTGTCCCATAAATTGAAAGGTTGCAGGTTCTATTCCTGGGCCAGTAATCAAGGCTCAACTACAAGAGAAGGGTGTACTCAGCTCACATGGATGGTGCACCTCAAGTACCCAGTTTGTGTGGTAGGGGAGGCTGTGCCACTGGACCCTACAGGACTCCTACTACATTAGGTCATGCTATCAAGACAGGTTATCATGCAACTCTACCTAATACATAGAAACAAACACAGGGAGGCTGCCAAAATGAGACAAACAAATGTGGCCCAAATGAAATAACAGATCAAAACTTCAGAAAAAGAACTAAACAAAATGGAGATAAGCAATCTATCAGATGCAGAGTCCAAAACACTGGTTATAAGGATGCTCAAGGAACTTAATTAGGACCTCTATAGCATAAAAAGATTCAGCCAGAAATGAAGGATATACTAATTAAAATAGAGAACAATTTACAGAGAAACAACAGTAGAGTGAATGAAGTTGAGTATCAAATCCTTATGTTCCAATGATTTGATAAGGAAAAAAAAACAATCAGAACAACAAGAAGAAAAAAGAATCCAAAAAAAAAAAAATGAGGATAATGGAAGCAGCCTCTGGGACAATCGCAAGGGTTCCAACATTCCCATCATAGAGATGCCAGAAAGAGAAGAGAAAGAGCAAGAAATGGGAAATCTATTTGAAAAAATAATGAAAGAACAATTCCTCAGTTTGGTGAAGGAAATAGACATGGAAGTCAAAGAAGCACAGAGAGTCTCAAACAACACGGATGCAAAGAGGCGCACTCCAGGACACATCATAATTAAAATGCCAAAAGTTAAAGATAAAGAATCTTAAAAGCAGCAACAGAAAAGGAATTAGTTACCTACAGGGAAATTTTCATAAGACTGTCAGCTGATTTCTCAAAAGGGACTTTACAGTCTAGAAGGGATTGACAAGACATTCACAGTCATGAAAAGCAGGGACCTAACAGCCAAGATTACTCTACCCAGCAAAGCTGTCACTTAGAATTGAAGGGCAAATAAAGAGCTTCCCAGACAAGAAAAAAACAAAGGAGTTCATGATCACCAAACCATTATTATATGAAATGTTAAAGGGACTTATTTAAGAAAAAGAAGAAAATCAAAACTATAAATGATAAAATGGCAACAAATACATAACTATCAACAACTGAGTCTAAAAAACAAACTAAACAAACAAGAAGAGAGAGAGAATCATGGATGTGTAGTGTTTTGATGGTTGACAGAAGGGAGGGAGCATGGGGGCATGGGTGAAGTGGTCTAGGGATTGAGAAGTACAAACAGGTAGTTACAGAATAGCCATGGAGATATAAAGTACAGCATAGGAAATCGAGAAGCCAAAGTATATAAGTGCATGACCCATGGACATGAACAATGGTGGGGGGATTGCCTGAGGGAGTTGGGGGTGCTGAGTAGACAGGGGCAAAAGGGAAAAAATTAGGACAACTGTTATAGGATAATCAATAAAGTATAATTTAAAAAAATACAGAAAAGACAATTTATCTTTTATATCCTTGATATTAACTCTTTTTTCTTCCCTATGTATTAACTGAATATACCTTTTCTTCAATTTCCCTTTTTCTTTAATTTTTTAAGTTTTTAAAAATTTTATTTTTAGAGAGAGGGAAAAGGAGGGAGAAAGAGAGGGAAAGAAACATTAATGTGTGGGTGCCTCTCTCATGGCCCTCATGGGGGCCCTCACCGGGCCTGCAACCCAGGCATGTGCCCTGACTGGGAATCAAACCAGCAACCCTTTGGTTCACAGTGCACACTCAATCCACTAAGCTATACCAGCCAGGGCTTGCTTTAATTTTTTTCGTACATAATATTACCGTCTTAATGAAGCCTTCCCTGCCCTACCCTGTCACCTATATCATAAACCCCTTTTCTTCTTAGTATATCTTCCTTTTCCATTTAAATGTTCTCCTTTTCCTTACCACTATCTAACCTATGATACATACATTTTTATTTACCTTGCTAATTGTTTGAGTGTCCCACCAGAATATAATAAAGTACACGAGGGTAACGATTTCTTTTTTTGTTTACTGTTGTAAACCTCTCACTTAGACTTGAATGATATGAGGGGAGACCCCAAAAAACCCCAAATTTATAAAAAGTTGCATATTTATTCTTACATGTTTAAACTTCAGTCACCTTTAAAAACCTTTTCAAAGACCTGTTGAGATGTTTTTCCACTGCTCAACAACAGTTTTTGAACTTGTCAGTTTTGGTGCCTTTAGTGCTTTCATCATTTTTTGTTTCACCTCTTCCACATCGACAAAAGGTTACCCTTTGAGTACCTTTCTTAATCCAGGAGAAACAAGGAAAATGTTGCTTGGGGCAAGATCAGGTTGATAGAAGGGTGGTGCATGGGGGTCATGCTGTTTTTGGTCAAAAACTGCTGAACACTCAGCTTAGTAAATCACCCACCCGTCACGAAATACACAAATGTGTTGAAAGAGTCTTCACAAAATTTTCACTGAAGCTGAAGGTGTGATGCCAGTTGGTACACTGATACAGATGGGTTCCTAGAACACCAATCTAGCAGGGGGAGCCTGTACTACAAGGAGCCCGCTCTCCAGAAGATAATTCTTTTTTGTGTATGTGTGGGGGGTCCCCCCTCATAATTAGAGCTAAAAAAATTTTTGTTGAATGAATGACTTCATTAAGTTAATATATATATACTGTAAAATTTAAGGAAATACAAAAAAGCTACAAAAAAGGAAAAGAATTACGTGTAATTCACCACTGAAAAATAACCAATATCATTTTGAGTTATAGTCTATATGTGTGTAAATGTAAGAGAGTATTATTGGATATAAAATTGGAGTCAGTTTCTATACAGTTTTGTGTCATGTTTTTCTATGACTTAATATTCTTTAAAAATATGATTGTGGTGGTAGCACACTGGTGTTTCATATGGCTGTGACAAAATGTATTTAACCACTCTACTATATACTTTGTTTATTTTCACTTTTACTGTTATAAATAACATTATGATAAATATCTTTAAAATATCTGTTGCATGAATCTCTGATTCATTTGGATAAATTTCTAGAAGTAGAATTTTTTATGTAAATATTCGGAAAATATTTAGAATTCTGTTAACATTGCCACAATTGTCATTATTTTAAATAACCTAGTTCAGCTTTTAAATGGTGTTGTATTTAGTGCCAACCAGGTGGCTCAGTTAATGGACCACCATCCTCTACACCAGAAGGTTGCAGGTTTTATCCAGCTGGGGTGCACACAGGAGGCAACCAATCAATGTTTCTCTCTCACATTAATGTTCCTTTCTCTCTCTCTCACCCTTCCTCTCTCTAAAATCAATAAATGTATCCTTGGGTGAGGATTAAAAAAGATAAAAAATAGGGAAATAAATGGTGTTGTATTTAGGACTAGATATAATGGGTTCTGAGGCAAAGGCTCTGTATGGCTTGTTTTGATTCTTAACAATTTGTTCAATATTAACTGAAATACAAATTTGTTTTCACTTAACTAAGTTTAATATGCCTATTAGAATATAATTGACTTCTTCTTTTGCTTTTTCACCCCCTTCCCCAGGTATAGTCCTAGTTGCTATAAATCCTTATGAACAGCTGCCTATTTATGGCGAAGATATTATCAATGCATATAGTGGTCAGAACATGGGTGATATGGATCCACATATCTTTGCAGTTGCTGAAGAAGCTTATAAGCAAATGGCCAGGTTGGTGAGACTGTTATTTCATGATTCTTATTAGATGAGATAATTTCTTTTTTGCAGAGTCACAGATATTTTAAAATACAGTGAATGACAACTTATAAACTATCATTAAATAAACAGCCTTGACTAATGTGTCTTAGATGGCCTGCATTATTGTTAAATAGCCTACATTTGTAAAAGGACATCAGACTTTTTAAAATTGCCATTGGAATCTCATCATGGTCCTGTGACTATGCAAGGAGAGATGTTGTGTTCTACAGATGAGTAGATCAAGGATTGGTGGTATTGAATGTCTTGCCCCAATGTCTTTCAGCTGAGTGGCTGACAAGAACTTAAAGGCCTAAATGCTGGAAGAAATCTGCCTGTATCTTAAAGAAATAAATATCAAGGAAATTGTGAATTTTAATGTTAGCATTGTATGCTAGGGCATGAGTGATCCTCAGTAGCATCAGCAAAATGTCTTTGATATTAACCATGGAAGCCTAACATTTTAAGAGAAGAGACTGGGGGGAAAGGCTGCTTTTAAGTCTAGATTGTACTTTTAATAATACAATGTGATGTAATTCAAAACTGGATGTGTAGAAGAATATTATGTATTTAACTCATTTCTCCAGCCCACAGGTATTTCTAGCCCACAGGTAAGAACTTGGCATGCTATAAAAATGATATGGGAAACCCTCAAACAATTTGTGGGGTGGTGAGAAAACTGATACTCCAGAGGTTTTTACTTTTTCCTTTCTAACCAGGGAGAGTTGGACAGAATTTCACTCTCCTTGTGACAGAATTTTTGGAATTTTTTCAGTGACAGTCTATAGAAAACATTATGCCCTTTTATTAATAAAATATTATTGATACTTTAAGAGCAGCAAATAATTATTAAGTGCTCTCTTTGTGCAAGATATTATTTATTTGCCTTCTATTTATTAGCTAAGTTTATCCTCACAGAACTTAGAACTTTCTGAGGTGGTATTACTATTGATCTTCATTTTGCTGAGAAGTTATATAGCTTTCCCAAGACCACATAACTAGGAAAACTAGTTTTCAAATCTCATTAGTCTGATGCTATGAAAAATTAACATATTAAATATAAAATGACTAACCAGAGTTTTATACTATGTAACCTGCCATATTATACCAGATTCTACTATAAAATAGTAATTACTGTCAAAAGTTTAAGAAACTTTGGGAGCTTTTTAAAGCTTAAAATTGAAAAAATTCCATCTATTAGTGTATTTTTCCCCTGAAGTTAGAAAAGCCCAGCAGTTTGTATTTGTATAGTCCTGGAGCACTGCAAACGGAGTGAGCCCCACGTAAGCACAGCCTGAGAACTACTAAGCAGAGAGGGAGTTGCATGAAGGGCCAGAACCTAAAAGTAACCTCTGAGAAATTTTATACTGTTCATAGAAAACTATATGACTTCTTTGAAAATGCTCTTCATATACATGAAAGCTTGGCTCTTACCATCTTTGTTATTGGTAATCCACAGATAGTATTAGATTTATATGAATATTTCTTGCTTTTTATCCTTAGATTTACTTTGGCTTTCTAACATTTGCCCCCTCATTATTCCCCTGTTGCTCAGCCACTCAGTGTGATTCATTAACTGTAGATTTGTTTGTTGGTTTTTTCTTTGCTCAGTTTTTTCATGCATTTTTACCATATGCTTCAACTAGTTATGATATTTTGTTTACCTTTTATATGAATAAATCTATACACATAAAATGTGCCACAACAGCTAAGCAGACCAGTCTGCTTAGACCTATAGTCTGGAATTGATATTGCAGGGTCATTCTTTTCCCTTACCAAATGAAGATTGCCATCTTTACTAGCCATGATTTCTGGAGCATCACCGGTGCTGCTGCAGGCCCCTTGCATCTTCGGGGAAGGTACAATTCATTGCCTGTTCAACAGACCTTTACTGAGCACCATCCAAGCACAGTTTGGGGCCTGGGGACACAGCAGTAAACAAATTAGACAAAATAGTCAAAAATTTTACCATCATAAAATGAGGCATGATAAACAACAAAAATAAAGATATACAGGCTGTCATGTATTAATAAGTGATACTGTGAAAAATAAAATCAGAAAAGGAGGTACAGAATGCTGAATGTGCCAGAAGGTACATGTACTAGGCTCAGGGGAAGCCTCATTGTAAAGCTGCCTTTTCTGTTTTCTTAACTTAAAAAAAAAATCAGACTTTTGAAAAGGTTGGAAAATTGTATACTCCTAACCACCTAGGGCTCAGCTGCTATGTGGTAACAAATATCCTATTTATGCAGACAGACTTGAAGTAATGCACGCTACCTGATAAGAAGAGTTTTATGTATGGTGTAAAGGTGGATTAACTTGCATTAATTAATTGCTACCATATTTGGATGGCCTACTATGTGCCAAGCATGGTGTCAACATGTTACCGCTAATCTTCACGACATCACGGGGAGCAGACAGATGAGGAACGTAACTTGTTTTGGCTATCATACTAATAAATAGTGTCTGGGAACTGAGATTTGAATCCTGCAGAGACTCCAAAGCCTTTATTCTTTGGCATGTAGTTTTCTTACTTTCAGCTGGGTGGTCCTACTCTAATACATCTATTCCTTCCAGTTAGCATTGCATACTTAAATTTCTGCACCTTTCATTCAGCCTAGAATATCCTTTTTGTGCTCCTTCATCTGCCTGATTTCTATTATTCTTCATTTTATCAAACTTTATTTTTAGACCACCTCAGTTCCCAGTAAATGGTTCCTCTTCAGAATTCTTTATTATATGAATTTGGGACTTGCTGAGTACTATCTTCTCATAGGGTTGCAGCAGGAATAAAATACAGTAAGTATAAGAGTTTGTGAAAGTTAAGCAAATATAATTTACTACTTTTATGATCTTGATATTAATCTCAGGGGCTCTGTACTGATGGAACAAAAAAGTTAGATTGAAGAAGAGGATCTGATAGCCATGTGACAGGCTGCTTACCAGCAATGAAATTACGTCAGTGTGTATTTCTAGGAATGTTTATTTTCACTTCCTGCATAGTCCATCTCTCTGCCTCTCCAAGGAACAGCTTTCACCAGAGGCAGCACACTCTTTTATAGTAAATATTTACACCTCACAAATAATACTTAATACTGTCATTATGAGCTTATTGTCTGGTATAAACTTTTTATAAAATTTAAATCTTCTTTTTGGGATTGATCAAAAGCAGAAATTAGAGAGAGACAACAGAGTAGCTTGATTTTGAGAAGTAATAGTAACAGGAAAATTTAACATCTCTCTAATAAGAGAGTATCAAGTGAGGCCACATCTTTAAGTCACCACAGTAAAAACACAGCTTTGAAAGAAGGCATTATGTTGCACTAAATGTTTTCTTTTTTTAACAAAGGATCAAATAAAGGGAGAAATTACTAGGCTGATTACCTGCAAAAAGGTAAAACACTAGGTTTTGTTTCACAAACAATGTTTGTTTATAAGCTAAAAATTAGGCCTAGGTGCTTGTGTATTTATCAGGGTAGGTGGCAACCCTCAGTGGGTAGATACATTAAATTGTGTTCTGCCTAAATCAGTTCTGAGGTTGGCATTACTTAGTTTCCTCATTTCTTCCAAAGGCCATATAGAACTAAAAAACATTTTAAAGATCTGTTGTACTTACTTTATAAAGATTTCTGATTCCTGTTCTTAATTTAAAAGCTAGTCAATGGGTTATTTTAAATTTTTCTTTTTGTAGCCCTTTATTGATTTTGGCCATCTCTAATTCAGAGGTTCTCCAAAGAAGAAGTGTTGCCCATCTCATATACAGTCACCGAAGACTGCCTGAGTATCTGTAGGCCTGCCCTATTCCAGTTGTTCCAGGAGTTTACCCTGGCTTACAGTGCAGGCTAATGACCAATCCAACATCTAAAAGCCAACTGCAAAGTTAGTTTGACTTTTAGATCACAGTACTTCAGCTTTTGAGGGCACCTTAGATGCCATTTAATCTTCAAGATAGGAAACTGTGGCCCAGAGAGGCTGTGCTGTTGCTCAAAGCCTTGAAGCTGGTAAAGGATGAGCGAGGACTGGAATCTGGGTTCAGAGAAGTTTGTATAATGGAAGAGTGGTACTTATTTATATACTGAAATGTTCTACTAGGCTTGGGAAAAAGAGAATTCTCTCTGCCAAAAAGTCAGGAATAATAAAGAAATAATGAAGTCCCTTAAAAACATTTAAAAACTATTGGTTATATGAACACATGATTGTAAATCAGGGAAAAGAAAATCCATCTGGCATGTGCCTGACATCAGAACATATATGTGTGTGTGAGTATTTGTACAGATCCCTGATTTGTTTGAACAGTCCTTGATTTTGTTGCTTCTAAAATGTTTTTGTTCCCCATGTTATAGGAAAGGACTCTTACATGTGAATTTTTAGGTTTTTTAAAACTTGAAGTAAAGCTTTTCAAAGGTGGCAGTACAGTTTAGGATGACAATTCCTATTAATATTTCCTTTTCATCAGACTAGTGGCAACCTTCTTGGCTTGTTTGCCATTAGAAATGCAGGGAGAATTTCATCGAGTTAGCTGTCACACAGGGTGTAGTGACAGTACTGATCATGCAAGAATTAGGAGGAGGTAATGTTTCTAATCCTATTGTAGAAGGTAATCTGAAGACTGCTGATACTGTTTCTTGATTAATGTATTAAAAAATATAAATTCTGAGGACATTGTAGATGACTAAAAGAAAAGACACTGGCACAACGAGAACTGTTTTGCTAGAGTGATTCATCTTAGAGTCAGCCATTAATGAGCAGAGGCAATGGGATTATCCAATGCAGTCTAGAAATTCAAATAAAAAGGAAATGAGATGATGAGAATGATGTACAAGGTAGTTTCATAAAAACAGGATTACATGCAAGCTTGTTCTATGATAATTCGATGTCCCTTAGTGTGTTACCAAGGTCCTCCTGATTTTCCCACAACGTGGGGTTCAGAGCGTCAACAACAGGTTGTGACGTGGCCCTGGTAGTGTCCTGTGAATGTGTTCAATTATGCCTGCGCTGTACTTCTCCTGTACTTTTCCAGGTCTGTAAAATAAGGCAGTGACTCTCATTTTCTCAAAGAAAAAAGAAAACCTTTTCCTTAGAAAAGTGCTGTATTTCTGCTTTGGAAATTTATTACCAAGTACTGTTGATCCCTGCCACTTTTGTATCTCTTAAGCCATCTGCCTCTCTCCATGACCATGACAACCTGTGTTCAGACTTCCATAATTTTTTCAGCTGGACCCTTTGCTGTCCATACTCTACATTGCTGCCGGAGTGATCTTCCTAACAGGGTTGTGTTATTTTCTGTTTAAAACCCCTGCAGTGGCATTCCATGACCTTTAGTTAAACTTCAAAATTTTTAACATCTCATGTAAAGCCTTTACAATCCAGTTCTTGCTAATTTCTGCAACCTTATTTGTCTTTAATTCATGTTCCAGCCAAAGTGAACTATCTGCCTTTTTCTCACTTCCCAAATGAAACCTTGCATGAGGTTTCATTTACATTATCTCCTTCTCCTACTCCTTTTCTCTTGCTTGACCTTGCTCAGGTTTCCTCTTCCGGGAGCCTTCCCTGATGCCCTCTTGCTTCTCTCAGCGCTCCCTCACAGATGTTATAATTTTGAAACGTAGTCTGTCTTTCCTACTGGATCATTGACCACGTGAGGATGCAGATAATGGTTTACGTAACTTACATCTGTAGTGTTTAGCATAATGTTTGTCAAGTAGTAGGTATTTGATAAATATTTGTTCAATAAATAATCTCTTTTAAAAGATAAAAACATCACCTTCTATAGTAGAATAACCTCCCCCATCTTGTATCCATATAGGATACAAGAATAGTTCCACTAAAAACTTTTGAAAGTCATCTTGACTCTTTGTAAATTAAGGGCCCAAATGATACCACCTTTATGTACTTGCTCATTTATTTTGATGAATTAAAGCTGACTGCTGCTTTTGTATCAGGAAGTGGGAGTTTCCTGCTTCTGTCCTAGTAGAAATTATAGCCAAAGCAGAGAGATTATTTCCTAGGCTGTTGTTCCTGAAGTTTCAGTTTACTTATAATCAATAGAAATTCACTGAACATTTATGATGTGTCAGGCTCTGGACTAGGTGCTGGATATTAAAGGTAAAGTTGACGTAAGTCCTTATCCTCACAGAAATGATAGTCTTATGAGCAAGCTCATCACTTAGAGTTTTTGAGTCATTATGTGAATGAAGTAAAGACATAACAGTGATAGTCTCTGAGTTCTGACATATATGAACAAATGAAGCATGAATGAAGCACTTTTTCTTTGGTAGTGAGGATATTTTAGTAGAAGCTGGAGCTTGTGGGAGACACTACTTTACAATCTGTTAATTAGTAAACAATTTATAATTTTAAAAAAGATGTTATTTATTTTCAGAGAGAGGGGAAGGGAGGGAGAAAGAGGAGAGAAACATCAAGGTATGGTTGCCTCTTGCACACTTGCCCCTAACTGGGGACCTGGCCTGGAACCCAGGCATGTGCCCTAACTGGGGATCGAACAGGTGACCTTTTGGTTTGCAGGATAACACTCAATCCACTGAGCCACACCAGCCAGGGCTGTAATTTCTTTTTTAAAGATTTTATTTAGTTATTTTTAGAGAGAGGGGAAGGGAGGGAGAAAGAAAGGGAGAGAAACATCAATGTGCGGTTGCCTCTGACATGGCTCCCACTGGGGACCAGGTCTGCAACCCAGGCATGTGCCCTGACTGGGAATCAAACTGGAAACCCTTTGGTTCACAGCACGCACTCAGTCCACTGAGCTACAACAGCCAGGGCAGGGCTGTAATTTTAATTAAATAGGATTTTTTTCCAAAGTCCTTTGCTATGGCTTCTTTCTCTTCTGAGGTGGTTAACAACAGTATTGTAATATATCAAAATGATTTTCTAGGGATAAAAACAATATGTTTAAGATATGTGTACACAAAAAATTCAGAAACCCATGATTATAGACTTATTCTTAGATGTGATGCTTTCTAATTTAATGCTTGATATCTTTTTCTCCCTGTTTATTATTAGTTTGAAAGTAGTTATTTTCCCTGGCTGGTGTAGCTCAAGTGGATTGAGCACAGGCTGCGAATCAAAGCATCGCAGGTTCGATTCCCAGTCAGGGTACATGCCTGGGTTGTAGGCCATGACCCCCAGCAACCGCACATTGATGTTTCTCTCTCTCTATCTCCCTCCCTTCCCTCTCTAAAAATAAATAAATAAAATCTTAAAAAAAAGAAAGTAGTTATTTTTATTGGGAAATATCATTCTTAATTTCTTTCCCACATTGTTGCATATATGAACCAGCAGAAACTTACCATGACTCATTGAGGAAAACACAGAGGAAATAATGTTAATTACATTCAGAAGTGGGCAGCACTGTCAGTTACTCTTCTTTGTTTTACAGAGATGAACGAAATCAGTCGATCATTGTAAGTGGAGAGTCTGGAGCAGGAAAAACAGTCTCAGCTAAGTACGCTATGCGATACTTTGCAACTGTAAGTGGTTCTGCCAGTGAAGCCAATGTTGAAGAAAAGGTCTTGGCCTCCAACCCCATCATGGAGGTAAGACAGCAGCAGCCTTGCCTTCTTATTATATTCTTCTGTTAAGAAACATGTAAAAAAATTGCTTGATACAGCACATGTCAGAAAGTCTGGCATCTCCCACCCACTAAAAGTTGGAAAATACTTCTTCACATGTCATTAAGAGATCTAGAAAAAGTAAACATTCAAGAAGGTAGCTATTTTGCACAACGTTCAGCTATAAAGGAATCTACTCTATTTCATAATCCTGTGTTTTTAACCCAACCTTGAATTGTTGCCTCTAAATATTTGGCAATGATACTTCATTTCTAAAGTTTCTTTCTCCTAGTTAATTGACTTATTTCTATTGCTTCTTGTTCTAGAAGTGTAAGTTACTAATTTCTGCTCAATCCTGGGTTATTATTTAAGCTCCTTCTAAAACACAGGATTTGCTACATTCAAGCGTAAATGAGTTGCATTATTCCTTTGTCCACATTTCATTTTCCATACTTAGTCCAGCTTGTTTAGCTATATAATTTTAATTTTTTCCAGATATGAACTATAAACTTAAATTATGATCTTGTTAACATTTTTCTTCCTGTTTCTGTCACACAATTTTAGGTTAGAAAAAGAGATCCAGTAACTACAAATTCTTGAATGGAAGAACTATGAAAGGAGGTCCTTTTAAAAGTAGAATATGTATATTGAGTAGAAATGTTTATGCCAAAGAAAATGGACCTATTTATGTGAGAATTTGAGTATTTTAGGATTTGTAACTAGAGAATTATTTGTCTAATATGATTTTAGGAGAGGTACATTTTTGTAAGTCTCTTTAGATGAAGAAAAGTCTTATTAAATGGAGAGAAATTCGTTTGCAGAAATAAATTTTTGGTATTAAAATTCAAATCAGCATTTTTTATTCCTGTTTTTTCCTTTGTCAAGCCTTATTTGTCACCCAAACACAGATGGAGTTTAAAACTGGCCTGGTGCACCTGTGGTACAAGTGGTTTTTGCAATAATCAGTCCAGAGGTAATTGTGCCTGGTTTGCAGTGCTGTGTGTGACACTCAGAACGGAATGCTGTGGCCCCTGGCCTCCAGGCCTCCTCCCAGAGCAGCAGGACTTTTCTTCTTGGGGTCGAGAGGACCAGATACACTGGGGAAGTTAAGAGGCCTCCTGGGCTGGGTGCACAGTAGAAAGAGAACCAGAAAAGTTTTTTTCTGAAATAGCCTGGACAGGAGGAAACAGATGTTTGTGCCAAAAGAGAGTAGTAAAAAGTTTAAGCAACTTTTAAGACTTTGAAGAATTAAATCTACATCAGTAGATACCATAGTATTGATATTGGGGGAATTCCGTCTGTAGATCCAGTTTTAGGATTTGGCTTAGGAAACACAGGGCTTTCCTAGCTTCGATTATTTTCACTGTTTTTGGGTCATGACAATGAATTCTTGATATTTGGCAATAGTTTAGGCTATTCTTAGTCCCTAATGTTAGATTGCCAGAGCCTTCATTGTGACAGCATCAGGGCATCTCATCTTTTATAGGCCTGGATCATATAATAATGTAAGTCTGGAATGAACCTCTTAGACACGTCAAGTTGAATGAAATATTGCATTATTTTGTTATATTATATTAGTAGGAGTGACATTTATAATTCAGAAGGGCCACAGATGCTACTTTTTAATATGCTGTTACAAGGAATTTACCCTGTTTGCTAGAATGAACAAAAAAAGATAAGTGCATCAGTTATGCTTATCTACTTCCTTCTAGAATATTTAGTTTCTCCACAAGAAATTAAAGTAAGAAAACTTGGTAAAGAGAGAACTAATTTTCAACAATTCTAGTAAAGTCATCCCAATTTGAAAGATTAAAATGGAACATGGGGCTGAAGAATGATGGCAAAGGGTTTACAGTTACAAGAAATAAAACAGGCAAATTATTGAATGTGTGGCCCAGAAAATTTGTAGCTTTAAACTTGCCTCAAGATTATGTCTCTGTATCAGAGCCTTTTACTGTGATGTCAAGAAAGGCACGTCTGGGACTCCAGTGACCTGCTGAAACTCCTCATCAGACAATGAGCATTCTTCATGGTTAACATCCCAGCCCAGTGGCTAATGGGATTTGCACATTGTCCTTTAAAAAGCAAGGTTCTCATCTTCAGTACTGGTCCTTTTGCAAAATGTAAATGATGTAAAAGGAAGTGATTCTTTTTGCTCTATTTTGTCATGTTTTCTTTTTTTCCCTTTCTCCTGGAAATTTGTGTCCTAAGATGATGACAGGGAATATTCTTGGGGCACACTGGGTCTTTCTTAATTGTTCTTTTTCATCTTCAGTAACTATAGTTGAAGATCTTCATCTCCATTTAATAAAGAAGAGTAAATCACTCAACATTTTACTGAAGTCAGTAGTAAAATGAAGACCACAAATTTTCTCCTTTCCTTTAGCAATTTTTTTATGATTGAAAGAAAATAGCATTAAGGGAAGCTGTTGTAAATATAATACTTATAAGGTAGAGGGAACAATTAGGGAGAGTGGAAAAAGGTACTGTTTATATATAGAACCTCCTTTTGATATCAGGTTCAAGGCTTAGAATCATATAATTTTATTTTTGTGAAGGACTTTAGAGCTCATCTATCCTAGTCAAATTATACTTGGAGACACTAAAGGTCCACAAAGGATTAAATGATGGAAATTGGTAGTGGGGCCTGGTAGATACCGAGGTCTTTCGACTTCTATTTCATTTGCTGCTTCTGCCACTCTTGTCTCTATGTATGAATACCTTTTACTCAAAGACAGAGGGGTATGATTCAACCTTTGCCTACTCACTGTCTCTTCCCACTGAGTATAGTATTGTTTGGACAGGCTGGCCACTCTAACTCCCACTCTGAGTCGAGGGGAGAGGGCTACCATATGGAAGGGCTACCATATGGAAGGTGGGGTAAGTCAGGGAGAGAGGGGAAGCTGAGGCCCACCTTTCCCTAGCCTGCTTCGGTGCTAGCAGGACAGTCCTCCAGACAGAGCCTGGAAAGCACTCAGGAACTACCGCTGCCGCCGTCAGTGCTGCTGCATGGAACCCCTGATCTGCTCTGACAGAATCTATGGTGTTGAAAGAGAATTCTGCATTTATCATTAACTTCTTTTTCTAAATAAAATAAAAAGAATGAGACTACATGGACACTCTCTGCTATGCTTTTTGTAATATCAAGAAGCGGAATATCTGAGTAAATACTTGTATTGTTAAATTGTTAGGCTACATTAGATTGCTCTGTTATTTTGCTTGGAAGATAGCTTTCAGTCATTCTTTCTACTAAAAATGTTAATCTGAAATATAACAGTATTCTCATTGCCAAAACGGAATAGAGCAACACCTGCCCTGTATTTCAGAGAGTGAAAATAACTTTTTTTTGATGAAGCAGAGAATCTAATATGTTGACTTCTGTGGCTGTGTTATTGTTTTAATATTAAATATTTAATATGTGCATATATGAACACTTGCCTTTCTAACTATACCATGTCTTTTGCTTTGCCTTGAGAGAAAAATGTATGGAAGGATGTTACCTACATCAGAAAGTAGTACATGTGCCTTTTTTTTAGATTATATTAAACATTTTGAAAAAAGTTACATTACATTCTCTGCATTCTATAGCTGATGTTTTGCAAGTTAGATACAACTATCAAAATCCAACCAGCTCTGGCTGGTGTGGCTCAGTGGATTGAATGCCAGCCTGTGAACCAAAGGGACACCGGTTCGATTCCCAGTCAGGGCACATGCCTGGGTTTTGGGCCAGGTCCCCAGTAGGGCGCACGCAATAGGCAACCACACATTGATGTTTCTCTCCCTCTGTTTCCCCTCTCTAAAAATAATTAAATAGAATCTTAAAAAAGTTTAAAAAGTCCAAAGCCAAACTTCGCTGTCTCTGGTTTCTGAAAATAGCTTTGAATTGAGAGTGAGAAATCACAAATTCTCAAATTAGCAGTCCATCCAGACCTTTGTTGTCACAGGATAAGATGATAGAAACTTCTGGCTAAAGAGATTCTGGACACTAGAGCAATATTTTCAGGAGAATATTAATTTGGCTTAACCAGCTTATTTACATAAAACAGACTAAGTTTTTCAAGAAATCAAAACCCTGATGTTTAACTAAGAGGGTTTGCGCCTTGGTAGCTCCCAGTGCCATCCATTCTGTTCTTTGCTGGCATGAATGCATGTGTTCAGATACCTCAAGTAGTGTGTGAAGACCTCCCAGCTGCTGGTTCAGGTTTACTGTTTATGAAAATAATTTCTGTAAGAATAACAAAGCAGATACTAACAATTAGTAAGTATATATCTGTGTGGGTGTGCAGTGAGCAAAACATACACTGCTGCCTGCAGAGGCAATGTTGGTTCTGGACTTAAAGTGATCAGTTATAAAAGGTTGTGTTCTATTCTGTCCTTTCCCTGAACCAACTTTGTAAATGCATGTCATGAATTGTACTTCTAAAATCTTATTTTTCCCCTTGCTTCTTAGTCAATTGGAAATGCTAAGACAACCAGGAATGATAATAGCAGCCGTTTTGGGAAGTATATTGAGATTGGTTTTGATAAGAGATATCGAATCATTGGTGCCAATATGAGAACTTACCTTTTAGAAAAATCCCGAGTGGTGTTCCAGGTAAGCCGGGCATGTAGACATGTACACTTGTGTTAGGTTGCCATATAATTCCAGAGGTCATGCTTGCTGGTTTGCATTTTATTTCCAGATATGCTTGAGTGTATTATGACAATACTATTACAGACCACACTTGGACTGGAATGTGGGAAATGATGCCTGTCAGAAGTGGGAAATACCCATTAGACTAATGGTCATTGAGGCTGGACCCTGGTTTAGGTTTAACAATTTTTACTTTTTCCTGAAGATGCTTGTGTATGTCAATTGATAGAAAAGACATTGGTTTATGCCTTCAATGAGTGACAGCTCAAACTCAGTTCAAGAAAAAAAATTATACTTGTTCTCTTTCCTGAGTTACACAACTCAGTTGTGAATTGTCAAAGAACATATTCAAGTCTACATGCCATGCAGGATAACATTCACATATCTTCTCTTGGTCCTTTTTTATCTCTAAGTGGGAAACATTATAGATTTACAGCATTGGCAGCCATACATTTATATATTTATATATTTATAGGCATACTAAGGAAAAGTGTTCTTATCATTGGAAAACTCCTAGTGCAGGGCTCTGGCCCACTGCATGCTGTGAGATCAGGGTTTTTGTAGCCTCTTAACTGGATGCCCATGGCACTGAAGGTCAGATTCCCCTGGCACTGCCATGTAGCAGCATCTACAGTTTCCATTGCACAAGTCTGTTAAGGTTATAAAAGTGTCTGGGACATACTGAGAGTCATAAGTTTCAGCAGCGTCTACAGTTTCCATTGCACAAGCCTGTCATGCTTTTGAAAGTGTCTGGGGCATACTCAGAATGATGAGTTTCGGCAGCCTGCAGCTACCCCGGCTTTGACTTTGGGGATGTGCCTGACTTATGGCCACATAAGTATAATATTTGATTTTTATATAATAAAGCAATAGTCACTCTCCTCCATTGTTTTAATATGTGGGTGCACACAGAGCAGTGTTAATACATACACATGTATATTTGTATAGGTTTTATTTTTTAAAATGTTTAGTAGCCAAAAGGAAGAATGGAGGAAATATGTAGATCTCAGAAAAGATTGGGTTTAAATAGTGCTGATTTGATTAATAGGTAAACAATTAAAGGTTAAGTGGATATGGTGACCAGAGGCTAGTAATAGTGCTTAAGACAAACCATTAAGGCCTAATGCAATGTTATCTAGAGATATTAAAGGAATTCTAGTTGTTCCCAATCCCCAGCGCTAAATAATATTGAGGAAATTTGGTATGTCAAAATGATTCAGCCAGAGCATAATTTATACTATCCTTCACGTATGAAGGACCAAAACATTTCTGTAGATCCACCTGCTTTTCTAGTTGTCTGTGAGCCAAATTACCTGATCTTTTGCTTAATCATGCTTATGATCATTTGGTATATTGTTAATTTGTTTCATGTCTTCTGTCCTGTGATAGGTTTTCTTTAGCAGACATCAGGCCCCTGTGGAAGTGAAACCTGACCTTGGCCTTACGTGCACTACTCTTTAGTCAGCTGAATACACTGCAGAATTCAAGGATATGATATTAGGGTATAAGGATTCAATTTTGCATGAATATTATTACAGTATTATTACAAATGTAAAACAACCACAGTAGATGGTCCAGTCTAAATTATGGCAAAAATAAGATATTCTTTTCATTCAAGGTGTTAGGAAGACTGTGTATCTAAGAGGCACTGTGAGAAAATATTGAGTATTCAAAAAAAGTGGTTTTAGCTTCCTTCAAAGGCAATGGTCTCTTATAATGATGCCACGTATGAAGCCGTTCAGGAGTTCAGAAAGCGTCACTGTCAGATGTTTTGTGGTGAATGTGACCAACAGATGCACACTCACCCACCTGCCCCTGGCTAGTAAATCACAAGATTTAGTAATCATAAATATGTGTTAGGAAATTTGGGAAAGGACAATTTATTGCACTGACATAATTATTAAAACTTTATTTTATGATTGAATTTTCTGAGTTTTAGTTTAAAATGCTGTAATTGAAAACTCTTCTTATTTATTTTAAAGGCAGAAGAGGAAAGAAACTATCATATCTTTTATCAACTTTGTGCCTCAGCAAAGTTACCTGAATTTAAGATGCTCCGATTAGGTATGAATATGGCATTAGATTTCTTGTACTACAGTATTGTTTTCTGTTAATTTATGATAATTATGAGTTTATAAGCTTAATTGTTAAAAATGAAATATCTCATACTGAAATATTTACTGGTGACATAGGAGGTCTACAGTTGGCTTCAATATAACCCAAGGGATTAGGAGTAGCTGCCTAATTGAAACAAGATTGGTCTTGAGACTTAGGTCAGGATGGAGGTATAGGTAAACAAGCCTTACCTTCTCAAACAACTACAAAAATTACAACTAGACTACAAAACAAATACCCCCCAGAGTAGTCAGAAAATTGAGAGGTATGGAAGTCTGACAAGCAAGGATTTAAAGAAGCCACATTTGTTCAATGGGTGGGAGTTGCGGAGAGGCGGAGATATGCAGAGAGGTGTGGAGAGCTGGAGAGGTGCAGAGAAGCATGGCAGAGTGACACAGAAAGGAGCAGGGACAAAAAATGGGTGGTTCCACATCCACATGTGGTAGATGAAAATCGGGAAGGATACCTTGAGAGTGAGGGATCCCAGCCCCAGACCAGACCACACAGCCCAGGGTTCCAGTGCCAGGAGATAAGTCCCTATAACTTCTGGCTGTAAAAACCAGTGAAGGTTGGGGCAGCAGAAGAAACTGCAGGGTTCTTAGGAGATTCCTCTTCAAGGGCCTGCAGCAGATTTAGGACTTCAGTCAGCACCAGGGTAACAACTGGAAGGGCACCAGTGGCATACAGGGAGAAAGTGAAATGTCTGGTATCAGGATGAGTGCCAGGGACAGCTTCTTCTGGACAAAATACCAGAGGCTAGGCAGCAGCATTGTCCCCTGTCAGAGCCCTCCCCCACACAGCTACAGAGTAGTAACACAGGTTGTCCTGCCTGGGCAGTTACCTAAGGCTATACCGGATACAACTTAAGGATGTGTTTTTCTACAATAGGCCATACTACTGAAACAGAGAGTCAAGGCAGCTCTATCTAATACACAGAAACAAACATAGGGAGCTTGCCAAAATGAGGAGACGAAGAAATATGGCTCAAATGAAAGAACAGAACAAAACTCCAGATAAGGAACTAAATGAAATGGAAATAAGCAACCTACCAGATGCGGAATTCAAAACATTGGTTATTGGGATGCTCAGGGAACTCATTGGGTACTTCAACAGCATAAAAAAAGGCCTAGGCAGAAATGAATATGAACATGAAGTGAAATAAAGAAAAATCTACAGGGAACCAATAGTGGAGGGGATGAGCAAAGAATCAAATCAATGGTTCAGAACATAAGGAAGAAAAAAGCATTTAATCAGAACAACAGGAAGAAGAAAGAATTAAAAAAACACAAGGGTAGGCTAACGAGCCTTTGGAACATCTTCTAACGTACCAACATCCAAATCAAAGGGGTGCCAGAAGGAGAAGAGGAAGAACAAGAAATTGAAAACTTATTTGAAAAAATAATAAAAGAAAACTTCCCTAATTTGGTGAAGGAAATAGACATATAAGTCCAGGAAGCACAGAGAGTCCCAAACAAGATGAACCCAAAGAGGACCACACCAAGACACATCATAATTAAAATGCCAAAGGTTAAAGACAAAAAGAGAATCTTAAGAGCAGAAAGAAAAGAGAGTTACCTACATAGGAGTTCCCATAAGACTGTCAGCTGATTTCTCAAAAGAAACCTTATAGGGCAAGAAGGGGCTGGAAAGAAGTATTCAAAGTCATGAAAGGCAAGAACCTACATTCAAGATTACTCTATCCAGCAAAGCTGTCATTTAGAATCTAAGGGCAGATAAAGTGCTTCCCAGACAAGGTAAAACTAAAGGAGTTCCTCATTACCAAGCCATTATTATAGGAAATGTTAAAGGGAATTATATAAGAAAAAATATCAAAACTGTGAACATTAAAATGGCAATAAATTCACAACTATCAACAATTGAATCTAAAAAACTAAGCAAACAAGCAGAACAGAAACAAAATTATAGGTATGGAGATCATTGGGAGTGTTATCATTTGGGAGTGGGAAGGGGGAGAATGAAGGAAAAGGTGCAGGGATTAAGAAGTACAAATCGGTAGGTACAATATAGACAGAGATGTTAAGAACAGTATAGGAAATGGAATAGGCAAAGAACTTGTATGCATGGTCCATGGACATGAACTAAGGGGTGGACGATTGCTGGAGGCAATGGGGAAACTGGGTGGAATGGGGCAAAGGGGGGAAAATTGGGACAACTGTAATAGTATAATCAATAAAATATATTGTAAAAAAGAAAAAGAAAAAGAATGAAGCTACCTTAAAAAATATTGGTCTTGAGTTGATACTTGTTTAAGATGAATGGTGAGTACATAGGTGCTCATTATGTTAATCCTTTTACTTTTGTATATGTTTGAAATTTGCCTTGGTTAGAAGAAAAAATTTTAAAAGAGTTTATGTGATGGAGGCCTGTGAGGTTTCTGATGAGGGGAGTAAAGTGTTTGAAGCACATTGATTGGAATAAAACCATTTTAGGAAAGGACCATTCATTTCACCAATTAAGATAAGTAAACTACAAACATTTCACTTTATTACTTAATTTTGAGTTTTGTATTAAAATATAACTGAAAACATAGGCAGTAGAACTCCTGACTCTATACACTCAACTGCACTATCATTGCTCCTAATTGAGAGTAGACCAAAAAATAGCAGTCTATTTCTTAGACTGCTAATCTTTTATCTTCTTATTTGCAGGAAATGCAAATCACTTTCATTACACCAAGCAAGGTGGCAGTCCTGTAATTGAAGGAGTTGACGATGCCAAGGAGATGGCACATACCAGGCAGGCCTGCACTTTGCTAGGTAATGTGATTTTATCTTGAGCTCTTTTAAGAAATAGCTTTTTGACTCAAGCAACTTTTGTTGGAATATTGACTTAGCTTTGTATTAAATGGTGAGTATTGTTGAGAGGTTTAACATTCCTTATAAAATATATCTGATAGCAAATGGGTGCAAGTTTTCTTTTGGGGTTTATGGGAACTGTTCCAAAATTAGATTGTGGTGATGGTTGCACAACTTTGTAATTTACTAAGAATCATTGAATCACATACTTACAACAGGTAAATTTTAAGGTATGCAAATTGTCCCTCAGTAAAGCTATTTAAACACACATTCAGGGCATCAAGGGAGTTAGGACTAACTAACTCTGCTTACATTTTTACAAAATCCGAAACCTAGGGATAAATAAATCAGGTTCCTGTACAAACTCACACTTTGCAGGGTTTTTGTTTTTGTTTTTTCATGTGTGGCTGGGAAATGTGGCTGAGCTGGCTAGGTGACAAAACCATGTAATACATGCAGTTTATACTGTCTTTGAAATGGTTCCGATGTCACTGCCTTATTCCTAATATTTAAAAAATACTGGGTCTGCATGTAAATAAATTAATCTGTAGAACTGTACTGGACGATTTCAGTAGTGTTCTAAAAACCTCAGATTATGAATAAATCTAAAATGATATGTTGGTAATTTGAGGGGAACCCTGAAGTGAACTTAATTTTAAAGCGTTGTTAACCCAAGTACAGCCTAGGACCACTGTAGTGTCTGTAAAAACTCAGAATCTCAGACCTATCCCAGACCTCCTAAGTCAGAATCTGAATTTGAACAGGAACCACTGGTGATTCATATGCATATTAAATTTTGGAAAACACTGCTTTATCTAGGCATAAATCTGTTTGTAAATAGAAAATAGAAATATTAAAAAGCCTTAATTCAGGAGATGGAAAAAGCATTCATTATATGATCAACACTCAGTTACCCTGGATATGAGTACATATTTGGAAATAATTTTACCATTTTTATTTGCATATGCTTATATCTAATATTCTGGAAATTCATACCTTATTGAAAAATGAGGCCAGATGTGATCAAAAGCCAAGAACTGTCCAGCTTTCTTATCTTTCCTTACCTTCAGGCCCTGCTCTAATCCTGCATTTGGACACTCACTCATCAGGGTGGAGTGCAACACCAGCCTAAACACTTCTAATCTAGGGGTCTCTTTGACTTATACTTGGTTTGTAGTTAAAAGAAGTAATGACATAATCTGACTTAAAATAGCCTTATTGGGCTACAACTTACATTTAGAGTAGGGATAAATAGAAAAGGGAGTAATGTTAATAAAATACTTAAATCTAGTGTGTGACAATGATGATGTAATTTGTTTACTATTTACCCTGTCACATATTGTATAAATATACTATGTGAATTTTCTCATTTAATGTTCATAAATACCCTTTGAGATAGTCACAATTATTCCCATATTTCAAATGAGAAAACAGAAGCATAGCAGGATGAAGTTACCTGCCCAGGTGAGATGGCAGGTCAGGAGTAGAGCTAGGCCTTGAGCCCATATTTTTCTCATCTCACGTCATGCTCTCAGCCATGGCGGTGATATTATTAACTATGACATGTTATAATGTGCACAACATCTAGTGATATTTAAGAGTTAAAAACAGGCTTAAAATTGCTGTAATTGTTTAGCTCCTGCTTTAAAATTAATCACATGTCTATTTACTCTGTTATTTCAGGAATTAGTGAATCTTATCAGATGGGAATTTTCCGAATACTTGCTGGCATTCTTCACTTAGGCAACGTTGGATTTACATCTCGAGATTCAGACAGCTGTACAATACCTGTAAGCTCAGAACAAGCTCAGTGTGATGGCAGTAGATTTGTGTTTCAGAGTTGTTTATTCTTTTTTTTTAAAGATTTTAAAAGATTTTAAAAGATTTAATAAATAAAGATTGAATAAATAAAATCTTTATTTTATTCATTTTAAAATCTTTTTAAAGATTTTACTTATTTATCTTTATTTTATTCATTTTAAAATCTTTTTAAAGATTTTACTTATTTATCTTTAGAGAGGGAAGGGAGGGAGAAAGAGAGAGAGAGAGAAACACCAATGTGCGGTTGCTGGGGGTCATGGCCTGCAACCCAGGCATGTGCCCTGACTGGGAATCGAACCTGCGACACTTTGGTTCGCAGCCCGCGCTCAATCCACTGAGCTACGCCAGCCAGGGCAGAGTTATTTATTCTTTATGGAAGAAATACATTTGAAGTTTCTCTATTAACATTGTCAGAGAGATGTAAAATCTTGAGTTGAAAATAAATGTGGATTCTAATCCCTGGTACGCAGTGAGTGTGTGTGTGTGTGTGTGTGTGTGTGAGTGAGAGAGAGAGAGAGAGATAGGGTGGGAGACTCAGACTTGGAGACATGTCTGATCCATATGAACAGAGGTGAGAAACAGATGTGAATGTTGGATTGGTGAGTCTAGAGAGAAGGGTTTATTTGGCACAAGTGCCAAGAATTGATAACTTTCTGTCTCCAGCAGTGGAAATATAATATGGTTTAAAAGCTATTGAAGAAACCATTAGCAGTGGTTACTCCTGGGGAGAGGGAATAGATGGCTGTGAGATGGGTTGTCTTCGCTATGATTTATAATCTCTTCCACACATAGTGATAACAGCACGCTGAGATTAAAACCCAATTTCATATGGGGAAACATTTTTTAAACTCTAACAAACCTGACAGTCCAAATTGTCCTCACTGGACATTTGTCATTTGCAGTATTTGCTGGTCACTACCATCAAAGATCACACACACACACACACACACACACACACATTGATACATACATGAGGGGGGACCCAGAAAATCAGGAATTTATTTATAAAAAATTGTGTATTAATTCTTATATATTTAAACTTCAGTCACCTTCAAAGTACCCTCCATTGGATGCAGTACACCTATAGAGACATTTTTTTCCACTGCTCAGATCAGTTTTTAAACTCAATTTTGATGCCTGGTAGTGCTTCTGCCATTTTTTTGTCTCACCTTTTCCACATGAGCAAAACATTTCCCTTCAAGGGCTTCTTTCATCTAGAGAAACAAAAAAAGTCACACAAGGTGAAACTGGGTGAATAGAGAGGGTAGGGAACCAGGGTCATGCCATTTTTTGGTCAAAAACTGCTGAACACTCAATGCTGTGTGGGAAGGTGTGCTGGTAAATCATGAAATGGGCAAATGCATTGAAAGAGTGTTTAGAAAAATTCACTGAAGCCAAATACAGCCTCTCACAACAAGGCCAGCTGGTGCACTGATACAGATGAGTTCCTAGAACATCCACCTAGTGGGGGAAGCCTGTATACTACAAGGGGCCCACCCTCTAGAAGATAATTCTGGTGTTTTGGGGGCCCCCTCTGGTATATATATATTTATTAGGTGTCTTTTAACTTCATTAAAATAGAGGAAGTTTTACTATAATAATTTTATTTCCAACCTGCTTCTTCAAAGATTGTGATAGAAGACAGTCTTTTATTTTTTTTTTATTGATTTGAGAGAGAGATTGATTTGTTGTTCCATTTATTTATGCATTCATTGGTTGATTCTTTTATGTGTCCTGACTGGGGATTGAATCCACAACCTTGGTATATCAGGATGACGCTCTAACCAGCTGAGCTGCCTGCACAGGGCTGAAAGACAATCTTGAGATTTATGTTTCCCTCTTCAGATACCTGAGTTGATTTTAGCAAACTTACATGTAGATTAACTTGTGTGACTTAAATTTGGATAAATTCAACTTTTGAAATATATCTTTCAGTATCTTTGTCTGGGTTCAAGCCCAACTCTACTATGTACTCATTCTGTGTTTTGAGTAAGTAGTTTCTTACCTCAGTTTAGTCTCTTAAATTTTACAGATGAGGAACAACAGTTTTGGACTAGGTGCTCTGACTGAGCTTCATGCTGAATAAATTATATTTTAAAATATTTAAAAAATAAATACATAAGAACTATTCAGAGGCTAAAAAACTAGGTGACAATAGAACTCAGAGAACAAAGCAGAACCCTGAAGCTAGGGCTCATGTTGAGGGAATTTGCAGAACCAAGTGACCTTGAGTTTAGGTCTTTATAGTCAGATGCAGTGCAGAAACAAAGATAAAGTCTAGGACTTATATAAGCAGAGGAACAAATAAGGTAACCACTGTCTAAAACTGAGACCCTAATTGGGGAATTAATTATAAACTTGTCTACCACCCGCTCCAAGAGTACAAAGAAAAATTAATCTGGCTCAAGCCTTGGTGCTAAGTAGAGGTGGAAAAAATAGTTACTTAAAGTTTTATAGCAATGAACTCACCATCATACATACTCTTAGCCTGATTTCATAGTTCCTTGATGATCCCAGAAAGCTATATACAGAAAACTTAGCCTGAATTTGTCCTGGAATGACTCTAGATGCCTCACAGAAACAAATACAAGCTTATTTGGGAGGATCCACTTTCAGTCAAAGCCTCAATAGAGCTTTGTGAGGGAAGTTACAAGAATTATTGGCTCATAATAAAAAAATTGTAAATCCCAGAATGATGCAGAATAGAAGGAGCAAGGTAATATAACAGAATAGCAGTCAACCCTCTAAGAAAGAAATTAATATCAGGTTTGACACAACTGAGGAGAGAACTGATGAGCTAACTAGAAGATAGATGTGAAAAAATTATCCAAAATGCAAGATAGGACCCAGAGATGAAGCACTTAAAAACAGTCGGTAAGAGAGATGAAGAATAGAGTAATAAATTCTAATTTTAACCTAATGAGAATTCCTAACAAACAAGAGTAAGGCAGACATAATATTTGAAGAGATAATTACAAATTTTAGAACTTATGAAATGACACTAAACCACAGATTTGGAAAGTCCAAAAAAATCCCAGTTAGAATAAATAAATAAAATCCATCTCTGACTCACCTTTGGTGATACCAAAGGCAGAGAGGAAAATCTTAAAACAGGCAGAGAGATAAGACATATTATTCTTGAGGAAATAGCAATTAAACTGATAGCTCATTTCCTAGCTTGAACAATGAGACATAAAACAGTGAACTACTATCTTTATTGTTCTAGAGTAAATTACCATTAACTAAAATTGTATGTCCAATAAAAATATCTTTCTAGAATGAAAGAAAAATAGGAGTGTTTTTACACAAATAGTAAGTTGTGAGAATTTGTCACCAATAGGCCATCACTAAAGGAAATATTAAAGGGTATAGTTTACACAAAAGGAAAGTGACCTATTGTTGAGAAGAAATAGTAATTCAATAACAAAGTACAGGAAAACATAAAATTTGATAAATTAAAACAACAACAATAATATATATATTGGGCTGCAAAAGAAATCATTCTCCACAAAATACTTATTAGTTAGAAAGGGAAAAATAGTTATCTTTCAGTGGAGAAACCTAGTGGCTGGTCCCTTAAACAGGTGAATATAGTTAACATGACCAGTAATGCGACCAATCCTCCACATCACGTAACTTCTGATATGGAGCACTGAGGAGAGTGCAACATCCCTTCCCTGGTACTGCTGCCAAGAATGCATGACCCAGATCTAATCATGAGGCAGCATCATGCAGACCCAAATTGAGGTACATGATTTTAAAAAATACCAAGATCACAAAAGACCAAAAAAAAAGTGAAGAAGTGTTCATATTAAAAGAGATTAATGAAACATGATAGCTAAATTCAGTGAGTGATCCTAGATTAAATCCTAGACCATTAAAATGTTTTGTGTGTTTTTCCACAGGGGGCATTATTAGGTCAATCAGTAAAAAATTGAATTAGATCTGTATGTTAGATAAGAGGGTTGTATCATTGCTAATTGTTGATCATTTATGATGTCATAGATATGTAAGATAATGTCTTTGGCTTTTAGGAAATGCATACTGAAATGTTTGCAACTTTCAAAGATTCTGAAAAAATTATGTGGGTATGTGTGTGAAAAAATGAGAAAGAAAATGATACAAGCAAGTGCAATAAAATGTTAATAATATATTTAGGGACTCTGGGTGAAGAAAATTCTTTGTACTATACTTGTAATTTTTTGTTAGTCTAAAATTAGTTCAAAGGAAAAAGTTAAAAAAAATAAAGTGAATGACCAGCCCCAAAGCACACAGATTGGATGGGAGTGTTTGGGATTAGTACAATTTAATTACATTCAGTTAACTAATACAAGTTAATGTTTCTTTTATTTAAGTGGAAACAGAAAGTAAACCTTTCAAACTAGTAAACAGAAAAATGGGCTAAAAACAATTCAGATATAGCAAGAAAAGGAAAGAAAATTTTAGAGAGAGTAGGACAAATAAAGGCACAAAATAAGATAGAAATAAATAAATACACCTAGCTGGTGTGGCTCAGTGGTTGAATGCTGGCCTGCGAATCAAAGGGTTGCTGGTTCGATTCCCAGTCAAGGCACATGCCTGTGTGTCGGGCCAGGTCCCCAGTAGGAGGCACTCGAGAGGCCACCACACATTGATGTTTCTCTCCCTCATACACCTTCTCCCTTACTCAGCTTCACTCCCTCACATTGACAGTAACTCTCTCACTGCAGGATTTTCCATCAGCTGTGTCCTCAGCTCAGAAGACCCTCCCCTCCTGCTTCACCAAGTTAACACCTCCTTGTCTTTCAGATCTGAACTCCATGTCTAAGGCAACTGTCCTCTTCCTCCCTGACAAGGGCACACTTATCTCACAAGGGATCTTAGTGTAGTATCCTTCTCCTTTGTAGTAATATGGCATTTTAGGGAGTAATTATTTGATGAATATCCGTTTCCCCTAGAACTGTTAAGTTCTAGGAGGACAGGGACCATGTCTGTTTTTGTTTACTGGCATACAGTAGGCACTCAGTAAATATGAATATCTGAAAAGAGGTATAAGCAAATATTCTGAAAAGACAGATAATTTTTGAAATGAGCCCTAGAAGAGATTGTAGATACTCTCTAGTTGCTGGTTTGATGGATGATTTTGATTATTATCACTGATCATCTTTCAGTGATCTTGGTGTTTGTCATAATAAAGAAATGGCTGGGTTTTATTTGCTACCACTTGGTTAGCATTTTCCAGTAAATTCATATTTGATTGATCTAGTCATAGGAAATAACCCATGCTCTTTTGGCAGCCCAAGCATGAACCTCTCAGCATCTTCTGTGACCTCATGGGCGTGGACTATGAGGAGATGTGTCACTGGCTCTGCCACCGGAAGCTGGCTACTGCCACGGAGACATACATCAAGCCCATCTCCAAGCTGCAGGCTACGAATGCCCGTGATGCTTTGTCCAAGCACATCTATGCCAAGCTCTTTAACTGGATTGTAGATCATGTCAATCAGGCTCTCCATTCCGCTGTCAAACAGCACTCCTTTATTGGTGTGCTGGACATTTATGGGTAAGTGTACTGGGCTCGGTGACCTGCCAGAGAGCATGTCTCTCTAGAGATTTTCTAGGCACTCTACATGGGTATTTGATTCTATGTCCTGCTTGTAAGAAGTAAAAATTAGAAGAGAATTTCTAAAAATCTAATTTCATTTGCTAGTTTTTCTTCTCTGAGTACCCTTCTTTAACTCTTAAAATCCTTCTTGTACATGTGTGCTTTTTGAGGCCTACTTTTTCATTATCTGGCTCAATTTTTTCAAAAGAACCTACGAGATCTCTATTTCCAATTCCCCTCTGTGCGTATGTAGACACTGAGTCTGTGTATTGGCAAGAGCAGTGGCTTTGTCATAACACTGAATGTTCCCCACTTGGGGATGAATTAGCCCTCCAAAACTCATGCTGTTGAATACAACTACATACTGGAGTCTTTTAAGAAAGCTCTCTGTATCTTGACTGACGCCTGTCTGCTGGGCACATGTCCCATTATACTGACTTATAAACCTTTATTCTCACTGATGTAGAAAGAAAATTTCCCAAAGTTGGGAGATTTTCTATTTCTTTCTAATACATACATTTGTAGTATTTTTACAAGCTACTTGTTCCTTTTTCTCCTCTTCCCATATTATTTTTGGTTTTACAGATTTGAAACATTTGAGATAAACAGTTTTGAACAGTTTTGCATAAATTATGCAAATGAAAAACTACAGCAACAATTCAATATGGTAAGAATTTTCTTTCTTGAGTAATATTCTGCCTTAAATTATTTTCTTGAATTCATAGTCTGCACTTACATTCTGGTTCCTGAAATGAAGTTATGAATTACAATTGGTATCTGGTGTTTAGAACAGCTAAACTGCTGAGGAATTTATGATTAATAGATAATGCAACATTAGAAAAATATTTATGGTCCAGATAGGATTCAAGGTCATCCTTGGATTGCTGTCTGAGAATAGTAAAAACTTTGTACAAATAACTTGAGCAAGGGAAGCAGAAGGTATGTCAGAGAGTAACATGGTATGTATGGAGGTTTGAGCCTAAGGACAGTCTTCAGTTTGTGGTGCCTGAGACTAACTGTGTGTGGACTTGAGACTTGCTTAACTCTTATTTCTTGTATTAGCAAGACACCAGAACAAAAATTCAGAACATACCCTCTTTCCCACATTTTTTATAACCCTCACTTGATATGTTTATTGATTTTAAGAGAGAGGAAGGGGGGGAGAGAAAAGGAAAAATAATGAGATGAGGAGCATTGATCAGTTGCTTCCTGTTCATGCCCCAACCAGGGATCGAACCTGCAACCTAAGTATGTGCCTTGACCAGGCATCAAACCCTTAACCTTTTGGTGTATAGGACAATGTTCCAACCATCTGAACTGTCCAGCCGAGGCTCCTACATATTTTTTACATATTTTCTTTTTAACAGTTTGAGACATTCACTGAGACAAGGGCAACGGGCATGTTTTGAAAGGACCTCTTGTGAAGTAGTAATGTCAAGTATATGAGAGCATTATCATGATGTTGAGGGATTTGGAGGTACTTAAAAATGGTAGCAGATTGCAATAGTGAAGAGCACAGCGCCCCTGAGGTGAACTCCTTGGGTTAGAATCCTGCTCTGCATTGATCCAGGGGGACTTGGGCAAGTTAATTGACCTTCCTGGCTTTACTCCCCTCATCTGTATAATGGGGACAACAATAGTACCCACTGCACATAGTTTTAAGGATTAAATGAGTTAGGATATATAAAGTGCTCACTGCCTGACAGGCATAGTAAGTGCAAGATTAGGGGCAGTTAATTAGTTTTGATAAAAGAGGGTTTTAAAAATGAGTCACCCATAGGAATTGGAAGATACATGGAAGAGAAGAGAGCTGAAGGACAGGAAAAAAGAACGCTTAATAAATATTTTCATCTTTCAAGGAGAGAGGTCAAGTGGTATAGTATATAGTTGATGAAGAAAAAAATAGAAGTGTAAAGATACTTTTAAGTTACAAAGTTAAGAAAAAGATTTAAAGCTAGTAATATTGGGAGGATGTGGAAAAGCAGTGAAGAGGTGGTATGTGTGAAGTTAGCCTCATCTAATGAAGAAATCAATAGGTAATATTTCAAATAAGTAAATTAAGACACAGCTGATAAGCATATTCTTTTAAGATAAATATCAGAAGAAATATCTAAGGGAGTTAGAAAAGTGATTGCCACCAGGGAGTGAGACTGAGGTTGGGGAGGGATGGGAGACGGGATTGTTAACTTGTCATCATAAAACCTTTAGACTATTTGATTTTTTAAAAATATTGCATACTTCTGGCTAGTATAGCTCAGTGGATTGAGCATGGGCTGCGAACCAAAGCATCACAGGTTCGATTCCCAGTCAAGGCACACGCTTGGGTTGCAGGCCACGGCCCCCAGCAACCACACATCAATGTTTCTCTCTCTCTTTCTCCCTCCCTTCCCTCTCTAAAAATAAATAAATAAAATCTTTAAAAAATATATTGCATACACATTGATAAAAAATTGGAGCATATTTATTGAGCAAACTAAGCTACTTAGCAGAGTGAAATAATGTAGAGGTGATCTTAAAACCTTAGGTATTAAGAATATAATAGGTGTATTTTTCATCTCTGCATAAGGAACATTGATAAAAAACCTTTGAGGGACTAAATTGAGTATTACCTTTTCTCAAGGTTTTTCAAAGTTTCTTAATTCTCTCATCAGGGCCACAGCCTTCTGCTCTTTTCTAGTATATTTTGGTACAAGGTGACTGGAAGTATAAGGAACCAATGCCAGTCTCATCAGGGGCTGGCTAGTGTGTCTATTTCTCAAGGGCCTCAGCTCTCTGAATGTATGTTTCTGGCTCTCTCGTTTCTCTTTCTGTTTCTATCCCTCTGTCTTCTCTTCTCTCTTCTCTTCTCTTCTCTTCTCTTCTCTTCTCTTCTCTTCTCTTCTCTTCTCTTCTCTCTCTCTCTGTCTTCCCCCCTCCCTCTCTCCCTGCCTCGACACCCACACACCCACACACTATACACCCCATACTGGTTCTTAGCTTTTCTGCACAACTGCTCTACTCCTTCTTAGTATCAAATGGCATATTCTTTCTTTCTATTCTGTATGTATTTTCTTTACCTCACGGTTTCTGCTTACTCACTTTGAACTTCCTGTGAACCCAACAGTGGTTGGAGGGCACCTCCCATTCTTCTAACTTGCTTAGCTCACATTCTTCCTGACTTCTTTCAGAGGCAGCTTCCACTGATAACCCAGTTCATTTTTTCATCAGAGGTCCCTGGCAACAGAGTGCCCTCAAGTACCCATACTTGGTCTAGTCAGCTGCAACTAGGCACACAGGGCCTCACAGTAAAGAACTTGGATGTTCAGGGCTTCTCCCTCAGCAGGGACTGTGGGTAGGACATGGACATCAATAGCACATTGATGTTCCTCTCCCTCCCTTCCTAAAATAAGTAAATAAAATCTTTTTTAAAATTTACTTTCAGAGAGGGGGAAGGGAGAGAAAAAGAGAGGGAGAGAAACATCTATGTGTGGTTGCCTCTCGCACACCCCCTACCAGGGACTCAGCCCGCAACCTAGGCATGTGCCCCAACTGGGAATCGAACCTATGACCCCTTGGTTCACAGGCTAGTGCTCAATCCACTGAACCACACTAGCCAGGGCTACGCATCCAAAATTTTTCAGGGCCCATGGACTTTTTCCAAACTTAGATATAGGATATGTATGAAAAGAAAGCTCTGTTTAAGCCTGCAGCAGTGTTTCTGTTGTCATTGTGGAGACTGCATATAAATTAATGAATCCAAAAAAAGAGGGCTTGTGGTTTCAGAAAATATTGGTACCATCAGTCAGGGCATCCTGCTGACACGTGGTGCCTCATTGCCTTTTCATTAATCAAAGAATACAAGACATTTTCTTTTGAATTAGCATGATGTAAATATTCATACAGATGACCAGATTTTCTTTTCTTTTTTTTTTTTTTTTTTGACTAAAGCTTATTGCAGCTGGTTAGACTACAAATGCTGCAAATGAGCCAAGAGCAGCATTGTAAGAGAGTATGTATCAGAAATCTTGGTGACACTTCAGTTTTATGGGGTTTTGGGTCCTTAATATGTGTTGTCTGGTCATACCCACAGAGCTGATCTTTCCAGAAAAGTAGCAAGATGTGTGCACAAACCAAAGAAGACAAAAAAGATTAGTAAAGGAAAGCAGAAACGCCCGAGGACTAACAGGTGGAGGTCATGAGAATCTGTGCAGACTAGAAATTGTAGGTGGGCTGTGCAGGCTGGTGGCCTGGAGCAGGAGCAGCAGCAGAGAGGGACTGCCCTTCCCACCAAGACTGACCTAACTCCCTTCATCTGCAGACCTCAGATCACACAGCCTGTCCTCAGGGAAACCTCCCCTCCCCACTCTATGGCCAAACTAGATGAGGATGCTTGTTCTCATAGCTTGCATAATTTTTCTCTCTAACATTACAGTTTGTAATTATATTCCTTGTGATTATTTGATTTCTGCCTGTTTCTCCCACTAGTCTCCAAAGTCCATGAAGGCAGAAGCCATATCTATTTTGTTAATGGTATTTGATGACTGGCATATAGTAGATAGTCAATACATATTTTTGCTGAAATGCATGAATGGAGATTAGAAGCAGTGGTGAGGGTGCTAGCTGAAGCATTTAGCACAGATAGCATAAATTGATAGTGGTTCCAACTGCTTACAGAGCTGCATATAGAATCCAGAAGGATTTCATGACTGTGGAGAACAATCAAGGCAGAAACAAAAGACTAACTGTTATCTATTTCTGAGGCACATGAACCTCAACACCACAGCCCTTATGAGAATTACCTTGTTATGCTATAAGCATCATCCAGCATGGTTCAGTAGTCTAGAGGGCATCTGCTCTGCCTAGTTGGTCAAAGTCAGTGAAGGCATTTCTGAGCCTATGTTTGAACAACACAGTGCAATAATTTATTAAATAGGAGGTCAAAAAGTATATAGTGTGGTTTTGTGCATGGAACTCCAACAACCACGGAATTAAAGAAACAGTCAAACAGAACAACCAGACCAGTAAGGCGGTGGATGGAGAGAAACTGCAACAAGGCAGCAGCCATGCAAGCGGGGCTGGCTGCAAGGAGGCAGTGGGCTGTGAGGGCAGGACTGACTTAAGGGGAAACTGAGACTCAGAGTGGGTTGTGGACTACAGCAGTTGCCACGGCAGTTGCTGCGGCAGAAGAAGCTCCCAGTCTCACACAAGAGTTCTTTGAAAAGTGGACTGGAGATGAGCAGTTGAGCTGCATTGTTCCCTTTCTGGCCCTTTCCCCACAGGCAGCGCCATAGTGCAGCCAGGAGGGTTGCCCTGCCCCAGTGAATGCCTAATGCCCCGCCCCCTTACAACTTATAACTTAACAGGGACCCTGAAAAAAGAAATAGGGCCAAAATGAAAGAACAGAGCAAAATTTCAAAAAGAGAGCTAAATGATGAGGAGATAGCCAACCTATCTGATGGAGAATTTAAAGCCCTGGTAATCAAAATGCTCACAGAACTGATTCAGCTTGGTCAAAAAATAAAAGAACAAATGAAAGATACCCAAAATGAAATAAAGCAAAATATTCAGGGAACCAGCTGTGACAGGAAGGAAACCAGAACTCCAATCAATGATTTGGAGCAAAAGGAAGAAATAAACATCCAACCTGAACAGAATGAAGAAACAAGAATTCAAAAAAATGAAGAGAGACTTTTGAACCTCTTTGACAACTTGAAACATTCCAATATCTGAATCATAGGGGTGCCAAAAGGAGAAGAACAGCAGCAAGAAACTGAAAACTTATTTGAACAGATAATGAAGGAAAACTTCCCCAATCTGGCAAAAGAAATAGACTTTCAGGAAGTCCAGGAAGCTCAGAGAGTTCCAAAGAAGTTGGACCCAAGGAGGAACACACCAAGGCACATCATAATTGCATTACCCAAGATTAAAGATAAAGACTCTTAAAGAATCTTAAAAGCAGCAAGAGGAAAGGAGTCAGTTACCTACAAAGGAGTTCCCATTAGACTATCAGTTGATTTCTCAAAAGAGACCTTGCATGCAAGAAGGAACTGGAAAGAACTATTCCAAGTCATGAAAGGCAAGAACCTACATCCAAGATTGTTCTATCCAGCCAAGCTATCATTTACAATGGAAGGGCAGATAAAGTGCTTTCCAGACAAGGTCAAGCTAAAGGAGTTCATCATCACCAAGCCCTTATTATATGAAATGTTAAAGGGACTTATCTAAGAAAAGGAAGATAAAAAATATGAACAGTAAAATGACAACAAACTCACAACTGTCAACAAATGAATCTAAAAAAATAAAGAAAAACAAAAACTAAGCAAACAACTAGAACAGGAACAGAATCAGAGAAATGGACATCACATGGAGGGTTTTCAGTGGGGATGGGGGAATGAAAGAACAAGGGGGAAAGGTACAGGGAACAAAGAAGAAGCATAATTGGTAGGCATTAAATAGATGAAGAGAGGTAAAAAATGGTATAGGAAACAGAACTCAAAGAACTTAAATGTATGACGTATGGACATGAACCAAGGTGGGGCGGAATAGAGGAGGGTTGGGGGGGGATGCAGGGGGGAGGGGGGACAAAGGGGGAAAATTGGGAAAACTGTAATAGCATAATCAATGAAATATACTTTAAAAAGTATATAGTACAGTTTTGGATGTATATATATCAAATGTTGAAGACTGCTACATTTTTTAAATTTTATTTTTATTTTTAATATATTTTATTGATTATGGTATTACAGTTATCCCATTTCCCCCCTTTATTTCCCTCTGCCCTGCACACCCCCTCCCACCCACATTTCCCCTCTTTAGTTCATGTCCATGGGTCGTACATATAAGTTCTTTGGCTTCTACATTATCTATACTATTGTTAACCTCCCCCTGTCTATTTTCTACCTACCATTTGTGCTACTTATTTTCTACCTTTTCCCCCTCTCTCCCCCTCCCACTCCCCCACTGATAACCCTCCATGTGATGTCCTTTTCTGTGATTCTGTTCCTGTTCTAGTTGTTTGCTTAGTTTTTGTTTTGGGGTTTTTTTTTAGGTTCATTTGTTGACAGTTGTGAGTTTGTTGTCATTTTACTGTTCATATTTTTTATCTTCCTTTTCTTAGATAAGTCCCTTTAACATTTCATATAATAAGGGCTTGGTGATGATGAACTCCTTTAGCTTGACCTTGTCTGGAAAGCACTTTATCTGCCCTTCCATTGTAAATGATAGCTTGGCTGGATAGAACAATCTTGGATGTAGGTTCTTGCCTTTCATGACTTGGAATAGTTCTTTCCAGTTCCTTCTTGCATGCAAGGTCTCTTTTGAGAAATCAACTGATAGTCTAATGGGAACTCCTTTGTAGGTAACTGACTCCTTTCCTCTTGCTGCTTTTAAGATTCTTTAAGAGTCTTTATCTTTAATCTTGGGTAATGTAATTATGATGTGCCTTGGTGTGTTCCTCCTTGGGTCCAACTTCTTTGGAACTCTCTGAGCTTCCTGGACTTCCTGAAAGTCTATTTCTTTTGCCAGATTGGGGAAGTTTTCCTTCATTATTTTTTCAATTTCTCAGTCTTCCTCTTCTTCTTCTGGCATTCCTATGATTTGGATGTTGGAACATTTAAAGATGTCCTGGAGGTTCCTATGCCTCTCCTTATTTTTTGGAATTCTTGTTTCTTTATTCTGTTTTGGTTGAATGTTTCTTTCTTTCTTCTGCTCCAAAGTGTTGATTTGAATCCTGGTTTCCTTCCCATCACTGTTGGTTCCCTGTAGATTTTTCTTTATTTCACATAATGCAGCCTTCATTGCTGTCTGGGTCTTTTTTATTCTGTTGAAGTACGTAGTGAGTTCCTGGAGCATCCTGATAACCAGTGTTTTGAACTGTGTATCTGATAGGTTGGCTATCTCTTCATCGCTTAGTTGTATTTTTTCTGGAGCTTTGAACTGTTCTTTCATTTGGGCCATTTTTTTGTCTCGGTGCACATGTTACATAGTAAGGGGTGGAATCTTAGGTGATCATTGTGAAGCTGTATTAAAAAATTATTTATTGAACTTTTATTTTATTTTATTTATTGGCCCTGGCTGGTGTGGCTCAGTGGATTGAGCTCTGGACTGTAAACCAAAGGGTCGCTGGTTTGATTTCCAGTCAGGGTTCATGCCTGGGTTGCAGGCCAGGTCCCCAGGAGGGGGTGTGTGAGAGCCAAGTACATGTTGATGTTTCTCTCCATCTTTTTTTCCCTCCCTTCCCCTCTCTCTAAAAATCAATCAATCAGTTAATAATCTTTAAAAAATAATAAAAAATAAAATTTTATTTATTGATTTTTAGAGAGAGAGGAAGAGGGGAGAGAGAGATATATATATATGAATTTGTTGATCCACTTATTTATACATTCACTGGTTGCTTCTCGTATGTGCCCTGACCAGAGATCAAACCCTCACCCTTGGCATTTTGGGATGGTGCTCTAACCAAATGAGCTACCAGGCCAGGGCAATTTATGACTTATTGACAATATTCACATACCTAGATTTACTTGTTTATCAAGAAGCCTACATAGCTGAGGTTTTATTGTCTGTGGTTTTTATTTGCTTTATTTTATTATTCTCTGTGTGTAAATCATGTTTCTCCCACAAGATTTTCTTGCTGGAAGCCATAGACTATCTCAAATTATGTTGGTATCTTAGAATGTTTTATGTAAAGGATGTGTCCTAACATTGTTTATGATAATGATGTGGTAATGCTACTTTTTTCTTATTTATTTCAGCATGTCTTCAAATTAGAACAAGAAGAATATATGAAGGAACAAATCCCATGGACTCTCATAGATTTTTATGATAATCAGCCTTGCATTAATCTTATAGAGTCTAAGCTGGGCATTCTAGATTTGCTGGATGAGGAATGCAAAGTAAGTATGACTCCCTGATGTACTTAGTCTATTAAAACAGATATATCAAGGTTAGAAGGTAAGTGGGTTTAATCAGAGATTCATAGTATCTCGTGAGATGCCACTGTGGCCTAACTTGCATTCTGCAGTCACTCGACTCAAAGGGCTTTAAATACAATTGAGAGTAGGAGAATTTCCCTTCTCTTTTCAGCTGACTCTAAGTTATGTGAAAAATTTGCATTTGATACAGCTACTATCAATTTTAGCCACTTTTATTAAATAGTATGTTTATATTTGGTACTTATTGTTCAGTGGTATGACATATTTAAAGAAATGAGGAATTACAAAAAGTATTTTGAATAATAGTTCTAAATATTCATAATTTAAAATTTGACTAGTTCTTTATTACTGCTATGCATGGTGGGGAGGGAGTTTTAGTTTTAATGTTTGAAGATGCAGTTAGCAGTAAAGCAGGATCCCCAGCATTACTGCTAACTGAATGATCTTAGACAAATGACCTCTTCTTTCTCTGTATTTAGTTTATATGCCATAAGTTACATCTGAAACATAGATTGATCCTCCTAAGCATCCAGGTTTTCTACAACATTCAGAATGCATGTAATGAAAAGGTTCTCAGCCTCACTCAAAATTAAATAAAATGCAAATGAAAACAAAAACGAGATACTGTTTTTTACCTAACAGGAAATTTAAATTTAATAATAACTTTCATTTGATACTACCAAGTGAATATTTATTGCATATATATTGCAATATAGGGCATGAATTAGTACAATATATTTTAAAGAAAATTTGACAATATTTATCAAAATTATAAATACACAGATATTTTGACTCAACGATGGAACTGCTGGGAGTTTACCCTGTGGCTATACTTGCAAAAGTATCTAAGGCATACCTGTAAAGGAACTCATTGTTACAAAAGTCAGTAACAACCTAGTAGCCATACATATAAGAATGCTATTATAAAGAGAACATAAATACAGTGAGTTTATGGAGTGATCCTATTTGCATATGTATATGCCTTTAGATGCCTTCAGAGACAAAAAAGATGATGTAAGTAGTGAGATGAGACTACTCTGTTGTATCTGAATTATAGAAATATTTCACTATGTGCAAATATTACTGGTTTTTAGAAAATACCTGATAGTCATGATATTTCATCTTTGATTTGTTGAGGCCTTTATTGCTTTAAGAGAAAATTGAATATTTATTTGAGGGCTCCTGGTATAGGCAGAATGAGTTGCCCATGGGAAGGTCTCAGTCATTGTTCTTTGTTAATAATTGTATTTTGGCCTCTAAGAGAGAAATGTGGAAGGAATGAGTTCCTAAATTGAATATAAAAATTTGACTTTGGGTAGTGGGCACACAATGCAATATGCAGATCATGTATCATAGAAATGTATACTTGAAACCTATATTCTTATTAACCAGTGTCACCCCAATAAATTTAATTTTAAAAATGTACAAAATTTGGTAGGTGAAGCCCAAAAACGGTCTCTTAGGTAATGCATCAGAAGAGACTCATAACAATATTCATCTTGTTTTCTTTCTTTTTTTCCTTTCATTGAATGTAGATGCCTAAAGGCACAGATGACACTTGGGCCCAAAAATTGTACAACACACATTTGAACAAATGTGCACTCTTTGAAAAACCTCGTCTATCAAACAAAGCTTTCATCATTCAACATTTTGCTGACAAAGTAAGGAAGCTTTATTATCTCTTTTCTTTTTTTTAAGATTTCATTTATTCATTTTAGACAGAGGGGAAGATAGGGAGAAAGAGAGGGAGAGAAGCATCAATGTATGGTTGCCTTTTGCATGCCCCCGCACTGGGGACCTGGCCTGCAACCCAGGTATGTGCTTTGACTGGGAATCAAACCAATGACTTTTTGGTTCGCAGGCTGGCACTCAATCCACTGAGCTACACCAACCAGGTCTATCTTTTTTCTTTTTGAATACTTAAGTTCAAAGAGAAAAAAAATCAATAGTCAAGAGATACTGTATTTTTCTGACCATAAGATGCACCTAGATTTTAGAGGAAGAAAATAGGAAAAAAAAATTTGAAGCATAAAATGTGGTAAAATATTTAATAACATAAATAACAATATTTTACCAATGTAAGTGTAAACAGAACTCAACAGCAGCATTAACAACCATTATTCCTCCCAAATTGGGGGCAGGGTTGGGGGGGTGCATCTTATAGTCCAAAGAAACGTTTGTTGTTGTTGTTCATGATTATGATATCTATTCAAGAGTCTTATTAGTTAAGGAGATTTTTCCATGTGTTTTCAGGTGGAATACCAGTGTGAAGGCTTTCTGGAAAAGAATAAAGACACTGTTTTTGAGGAACAAATTAAAGTTCTTAAATCAAGCAAGGTAACAATGTATGGTTTTCTTCAATCAGGATATATTCAATAAAATGTTAATTACTTAAGTATTAGCTTTTTTTAAGATTTTATTTATTTATTTTTAGAGAGGGAAGGGAGGGAGAAAGAGAGAGAGAGGGAAACATCAATGTGCAGTTGCTGGGGATCATGGCCTGCAACCCAGGCATGTACCCTGACTGGGAATCAAACCTGCGACACTTTGGTTCGCAGCCCGAGCTCAATCCATTGGCTATGCCAGCCAGGGTTAAGTATTAACTTTTTAAAATAATGCTTATTTTTCTAACAAAATCCGCTTTATTGTTAGTTTTTAACTTATCAAATACATAATGCTTACTGTGTGTTAGGTCCTGTTTTCAGTGCCTTACAAATGTTGACTCATCTAATCTTCACAGTAAGGTGGCATTGTCGTTACTCTGCCTGTTTCACAGAGGAGGGACCTGAGGCACAGGGATTTCATAGCTGGGGAGTTTTCCAGCCAAATTAAAGTCTAGGCTATCTGGCTCCGAGTCTGTGTTCCTCACTACTCTGCAGTGTTGTCTTTCAGTTTCATGTGAAATTTTTGCCTCCACAGCAGTTCTAGGCTCTTGTGCCTCTGTGAGAGCCAGTGAGAGAAGGCGGTATTTTTGCTGTGTCCTTTTGAAGGAACTCACTTGAAGCATAGCCTTATGCACTCTCTTCAGAGGGAGGTTGATCTCTGGATCATTGGGTACAATCGCAGGTGCAGCCCAGAGCACTTTGGGATTGTTTTTTCTAGGCAAAGACTCTAGAAACACTGCTTTCTAGTGGGAGAAGACTATTCCAGATGGCAGAGAACTGTGATGGTTACACTGGATTGTTTATTAAGTTGATCCCACTCTCTGTTGTTTTACTCTCATCAGGAAAAGAAAGGGAGGGATACTCGGCTCAGTTTCATTCTGCAGGGAGCAAACCAGGAAGCCAGTTACTCCGTGTAGCAAAGTGAATATTCAAATATTCAGTAAAAAACTAAAAATACTCATCAAAATCTCTTAGACTGCTGACTAGCATTTTTTTTTAAATGACCCAGTTGTTCTGGCTTATTCTAAAACAGTCCTTTTAACTTCAATGGAATATTATGTGAACATTTTGACTCTTGTTTTTAGAATAAAAACTTTTACTTTACATTATTGTGATACTAAGGAGTTCATATCAATACCAAATTCCAGTTTTAACCCTCAGAAAATAATAAATCTAAATGTCTTTAGAAAACATCAGTTTTTTACTTATCCTCATAGACATTGGACATTAATGCTTTATAGCTTATGGGACTGATGTATGAGAGAGAATTCTCTCACACGGCCAGTCTCTGAATATTATTCAGTTAAAGATTAGAAATCATTTTGATTTATGAATAGTGATGGAAACCATGAAATTCTAATGTCACCACTCTGCCTAAGTAGTCAGCTGAAATAGAATAGTCACAGGTTCTCGTTCCCCAGGCACCCATACTCAGTTGCGTCTGTATTCTGACTTAGCTTTTCTGACTGACTCATTATCAGTTTAACTGTCAGAAGATAGCTGTCTGTCGGCGCGTTCTGAAGAACCATTCGGGTGACGGTCAGTCTGGGTAGCGTTGCTGCAGCTGGAATGGGGGCTCTGTGTGATTCGATCAGCTTACAGGCCTCCTTGCTCCCCATCAGAGACCTGTCCCATGGAAACCCAGCCTGAGGATGTGAACTTTATATTTTAATGTCTTTGCACCCAATAGGGAGCAAGCGTAATATAGTGTTGACTTGTTCTCTTGGATGTACTAATCTTAGAAGGTTAATATTTGTGTTGTGTGTTTTGAATAGAATTATTTTTGTGATAATACAGTGTGGAGTTGTACACACAACTCCACACTGTGTGTGTGTGTGTGTGTGTTTTGTCTTTTTTTTTCCTTTAATTTTGCAGCCTGTAGCCAAATTTACAACTTATAAAGGAATTAAGGTATTGTAAACTTAACAGAAAGTGTCTCAAGAGTTCTTTCTGGTGAAAAAATATAATCTATGTTGCCTTATCTAATATCAGGGAGCACATAAATGAATTACAAACTTGACTAAATACTACTAAGTTGGAACTCTACAAAATACCATTAAAAAGAGTTATAACCCCTACTTTGCATGTTGCTAATTGATGAGGGGAAGCATAGTTCATGTACTGAGTTTATGCCTTAGATCTCTCATCTATAAAATAGAATTTATATCAGTGTCTAAGGAGTTGTTATGAGTATTAAATTGGTTTTAAGACCTTACAGTAGCACTTTATGCATAAAAAACTCTTAGTGAATAATGCTATTGTTATTATTACTGAAATGATGTCTCACATCTTCATGAAGCTGCTACGTAGATGCTTCTGTTTTCTTTAACACTATTTCCCAGACATATAAGCTCAGTCTTAACCAATTCTGAGCCCTGTTTTAGGAATAGACAGACCAAAGAAACAAAATGGAATGTCTGGGCATATCTATCTACTTAATATATTTGTGAATCTGTCTCTCTTGAAATAAAGTTGGCATCCAGTCAGTGGGGAATGGATAAATTCTTCAGTAAATGATTTCAGAAAATTAGGAATTTAGTCAGGTAAACAAGGTAAAAGGAGATAGGCAGAGATCTCTGCTTTTGTGTGGTAATAACCACTTAATCAAATATTTAGATAATATTATATCAAAGTGGTGAATGCTATAAAGGAAGTCAAACAGGGTACCAAGCCAGAAAGTGACTAAGCTTGGGCAGGGGTTTAGGCTGTACCCTGAAAAATGGGAGACAGCCGTGTCAAGGCAGATGGCAGAACAGGTGAGGAGCACATAGGCTGTCTAAGATGCTTGTGTTTGGGGCTCAAAAAAGAAGGCCAGTGTGGCTGGAGCATGACAGGTGAGTAGGCTGTGTAGGATGGGTAGACAGGAGCTACCTTCTGGAGGGAAGTAGAGTACAGAATGTGAACGCTATTCCTGTTGCCATGGAAAGTCTGGAAGGTTTTCGTATAGGGAATGATATGCTACTGGGTAATGATGTGTTTAGGGTGAGTGGAGATGAGGCAGCAGTGATCCAGGTGAGAGGTGGTGTACCAGGATTATAGCAGTGGGGCTGGTGTATAATTTGTGGGTAGAGTTGACAGATCTTGATGGATTGAGTGGAGAGTGAGAGAATGGGAGAAATTGAGGATGGTTTCTATGTTTTTGGCCTGAGATACTGGATGGATGATGGTGTCATTAACTGAGATGAAGACTTATAAAGGATCAGGCTTTGGGAGAAAGAATCAAGAGTTCTGCCTTGAACATGCTTTGCTTGAGAAGGCAGTTAGATAGTCCAAGTGAATGTGTCGTATAAGAAGTTGGAAATGGACTTCCGGCAAGATGGAGGAATAGGTGGACGCACTGTACCTCCTTGCACAACCAAGATTAAAACAACAATAATTTACAGAAATAATATCACTCAGAACTGTCAGAGGATTTATCTGAATGGAAGTCGGACAGCCAAGAAGTTGAAGTAGACCCGTACATCCAGACTGGTAGGGGACACCGATCCGGGCGGGTGCGGGGCTGGCGTGGGTCGGCGGCACACGGAGGTTGGGGGAAATTTGGCGCAAAATCGATGTGACAGCCATCTGGGGTGCAAGAATGCAGCGGTGATCCCTGAGTACGCAAGCAGCGGCTAGGGGAATCAGTGGGGCAGCAATTGTGGACCAGGGCAGAGATCTCAGCTCAGGAGCCCAGGGAAGTGTCTGAGCCCAGGAGAACAGAACTGTCGCCATTGATCCCTCCCGTCCCTGCTCCCACCCCCGCCCCCACATATAACATCACAATCTAGCGACTGGGGTGCCCAGCCACAGTGAACACCTAAGGCTCCGCCCCCCACTGGAACAAGAGTGACCAGACGGGGAAAAAAAATAATAATAGGAGAGACAGGGAAAGACATAAGGCATGTTTCCAGCAGAACAGATCAGTCCCCCAGGACTCATCCTTTTGAGCGACCAAAAAATAGCCAATCTATCAGATGCACAGTTCAAAACACTGGTGATCAGAAAGCTCACGGAATTGGTTGACTTTGGGCGCAATTTAGATGAAAGGATGCAGGTTACCATAAAAGGGATGCAGGAAGATACGAGGAGGAGAGCCAATAGTGAAAGGAAGGAATCTGAGTCTCAAAACAATACAGTGGACCAGAAGGAAGATAGAATCAACCAAGCAGGAAAGCATGATGAAATAAGAATTCAAAAAATCAAAGAAAAGCTTAAGAGCATCAAGGACACCTTTAAATGTTCCAGCATGCGAATTATAGAGGTACCAGAAGGGGAGGAGCAACAAGTGGAAAAGTTATTTGAACAAATAATAAAGGAGAACTTCCCCAAACTGGCAAAGGGAACAATCTTCCAAGAAATCCAAGAAGCTCAGAGAGCCCCAAAGAAGTTAGACCCAAGAAGAAACACACCAAGGCACATCATAATTACATTAGCCAAGGTAAAAACGAAAGAGAGAATCCTAGAAGCAGCAAGAGATAAGGGGACAGTAACCTACAAAGGAGTTCCCATCAGACTGTCAGCTGATTTCTCCAAAGAGACCTTACAGGCAAGAAGGGGCTGGAAAGAAATATTCCAAGTCATGAGAGACAAGGACCTACATCCCAGATTGCTCTATCCAGCAAAGCTCTCATTTAGAGTGGAAGGGAAGATAAAGTGCTTTTCAGATAAGGTCAAGTTAAAGGAGTTCATCGTTACCAAGCCCTTATTTTATGAAATGCTAAAGGGACTTATCTAAGAAAAGAAGATAAAGAAAAGACATGTATAGTAAAAGGACAGCAAACTCACAATTATTAACAACCACACCTAAAGCAAAACCAAAAGAAACTAAGTAAACAACTAGAACAGGAACAGATCCACAGAAATGGAGGGCACATGGAGGGGTAGCAGTAGGGGGGGTGGGAGGAGGAGAGGGGGGAAAAGGTATAGAGAATAAGTAGCATAGAATGTAGGTTGAAAATAGATAGGAGGAGGGCAAGAATCGTATGGGAAACGTAGAAGCTAAAGAACTCACAAGTATGACACATGGACATGAACTAAAGGGGGGGAATGTGGGTGGGAGAGGGGGTACAGGGTGGAGGGGAGTGAAGGGGGAAATGGGACAACTGTAATAGCATAGTCAATAAAATATATTAAAAAAAAAGAAGTTGGAAATGAAGATCAGTGGGTCATGAGGAAAGTCAGAGTAGGTGACATAAATCTGGAAGTCTTTAGAACTAGGTGGTTTAAAGCAGTGGGACTGGATGAGATTGCTCAGGGAGAATTGATAGATCAAAACATAGAAAGGCCAGAGTCGTTAGGCATTTCAATTTGTAGAGGCGGGCCTGGAGAGGAGTTAGGAAAGAAGCCTTAGAAAAGTCGCCCATGAGGAACAACTGCTAAAGAAGAAATTGTAGAGCAGTTTCTAATACAATGCTCTCCCTTTTTTTTAAGAAAAATTAATTTGGAAAATTAATGATTAACCCCATGCTGAGTTTTCAAGTCAAATCTTAGGAACTCTTATTTTTCCCCTTTGGAACATAGCTTTAACATTGCAATATAAGATATAGTAAAACATCTTTTTCCCCTTTTTGTAGCCAACCAGGCTAAAATATATTATTTATTCTATAAAGCAAGGGATACATTTGTGTAGCAAGGAACTGTTATTGGTATGTTATGTGTAACATCATGAATTATTTCCTAAATTCCCCTTATGATGGATATATAAATTAATAGCAAATCAAATGATCTGATTTTGTTTTTTAATGAAAGAACCCTCCAAGAAAATTATTTCTTGAGATATTTTTGAGATTATTAGACAAATAATTGGTAGTTTCAATTGTAATTTCACTTATGAAAAAGATTTACTTTATGTATGTGGAATGGGGCACTGTTATAAAGATATACATATGCAAGATGTTTTTCTGGATGAGTTCAAAGTCTCTTTTGCTCCAAAAAATTTTTCCCAACCCTAGTGACTGATACCATCCACCCACTTAATAAGTACCGAACATTTTGATAATCTTTCATATTGCTAGAACACAAAATTGATTACGGAAGTATGCAATCAAGGTATAAATCCTTTGAAAACAAAATATAAAAGCTTACAGGATAAGGACAGGGTTGTTTTTATTTATCCCCTCATCCCCCCAACCCCGTAATCCAATTTATTTTCTAAAAATTATTACCAGTTCATAACTATTTTTAAATATTTTAATACTGCAGAACTAGTTCCCAACACCCTTCCTGCTGAGATTTTCAGTGATGCTTTTTAGCTAGTGCTCACCATTTGAATTAGTGGGTAGACAAATGAAACTCTTGGTGATAAAATATTTTGTGGAACTAAGGTAAAAGATAGGACTTTCAGTGAGCATTTTGCTCATAAAATGATTATAGTTCAAACTCAGTAATATGTTTAGAGTAGATTAGGATTTCAAGTCTTAGTGGAGTTTTGATTTTGTTTCCCCCAAACATGGTTGTAGAAGTACTGCGTTTTTCCACCTGTATTTTTGTAGCATATATGGAACCTTCCTCTTAACACTTTTGGCTCCCAACACAGATACTGATTATTTCTGGAATGTGACTCTGAAAGAGTTTACTTAAAGGAATCATTATGGATCACAAATCTTCATAATGTTTCTGTAAAGGTTTACATTTGAGTTTGAGTTTAGAGTATAATTTCCTTTTGTTCTCTCTGACTCAGTTTAAGATGCTACCAGAATTATTTCAAGATGATGAGAAGGCCATTAGTCCAACCTCAGCCACCTCTTCAGGGCGTACGCCCCTCACTCGCCTTTCTGCAAAGCCCACCAAAGGTCGACCAGGTCAGACGGCCAAAGAGCACAAGAAAACGGTGGGGCACCAGGTGAGTTCGGGTTTCCCCTCCGGCTCAGCTGAAGCTTCAGGTCTTCCTTTCTCAGCCTCCCAGGTGGGATCCTCAGGTGAAGAGAGACTACAGCTTTCCCTGTCCATTCCACCCCCTTGGACCCGCTCCCTGTGTCTCCTCACCTAGCTTGAGACCTGTGACTCTGATTAAGCCTTTCCCAAAATAGTCTTCTCCACATCTTCATTCTTCTCCCTCCCAGAACACTGCTGACTTGTTTTATTTATTCTCTGGGTGTTTCCTCCCTGGATTTGTGCAGAACATCAGCTCCTTCAGCAGGAACAATGCCTTCTCCTTTTTTGGATGTCTTATGCTCTGTGGGGAGTGGGAAGTGTGGCATACATGCTTAGTGCCTGATCAGTGGCCTAGGGCTAGGGCTTTAGACAGGAGGCTGAGCACTAGTCAGCTTGTTTTCTTGTGTGGGGGACCCTGTGCCCGGTACAGACAAGAAGTGGGGCCAGACACCGGTCCACTGCCTCCAGTCCTTAATGCCCATAATGTCCACAGTGGTAACCCACCCTGGATGTACTCTCCCATTCTCCCCTCATTTCCTATACTCTTTTTACGATGGGTTGCCTCTTGCACACCCCCGACTGGGGACCCAGCCCGCAACCCAGGCATGTTCCCTGACTGGGAACTGAACAGGCGACCTTTTGGTTCACAGACTGCCACTCAACCCACTGAGCCATACCAGCCAGGGCCCTATACTCTTTCAAGTCATCTGCTATATTTTTCACTAGCTTACAGCAAAACTCCCACTGTACATGATTAATGGTCTTGATATTCTTAAAGCAGTTATATTTTTAGTCAGAATTCTGAGTTTGCAGTAGAAAACAGCAGAAACTTCTATTAAAAGGGGAGTGGGTAGACTGAACTCTGATGTAAACGATGGACTTTGGGAGATTAAGGTGTGTCAATGTAAATTCATCAGTTATGACGGATGTACGACTGTGGTGGGAGATGTAACAGTGGGGAAGGCTGTGCATGTGTGGGGACAAGGGGTGTATGGGAAATCTGTGTATCTTCTCTTCAATTTTCCTGTGAACCTAAAAGCACACTAAGAAAATAGAGTCTATTAAAAAAGGGGGAGCCAGGAAAAGGGGTGGGAGAGAGTGAGTGTATGTTTAGCAAAGTAAGCATGCAAATGGTAGAACTTAAGCAAATTTTAACCTCAAGTCCTAGAATTCTTGTTTAGTGTCAGCTTCCCTTTGGAGGATGGGTCAATCTCTACCAATGTATTAGAAGAAAATTTTAAATTGTTTTACATTATCTTTGGCTTTGATGAAACCTTGATGCCCCTTCCTGCTCTTTTCTGTGCAGTTCCGAAATTCCCTTCATCTGCTAATGGAGACCCTCAATGCCACCACCCCTCATTATGTGCGCTGTATTAAGCCTAATGATTTCAAGTTCCCATTCACGTAAGTGTTTCTCAACTGCTGAATTTAAAAGGATCCATATCTCATAAGGATTACCAAATTAATAGAAGGAAAAACTATTTAGATAATTCTTCGTGTGTTGTAGAGGGAAACCACTAGTTCACTGAATTAAAAAAAAATTTTTTTTAACTCTGATTCCCTACCCCCTTCATTTACCCATTCCTCTTACCCACCTACCCCTACCCCTGGCCACCGACAGTCAATTCTCTGAATCTGAGCTTGGATTGTGTGTGTGTGTGTGTGTGTGTGTGTGTGTGTTGTTTTGTTTTGCTTTGTGTATTTTAGACTTCACATATAGGAGGGATCACATGGTATTTGTCTTTCTCTGACTTATTTTCGTTTAGTGACATGCCTTCAAGATCCATCTATGTTGCCGCAAATGGCAGGATTTCACTTTCTTTTATGGCTGAAGAATATTCTATTATATATATACAACAGTTTCTTTATTCATTCATCCACTGATTTGGTTGTTTCCACATCTTGGCTATTATAAATAATGCTTCAGTGAATGTGGGGATGCATATGTCTTTTTGAGTTAATGTTTTTGGGGTTTTTTGGATAAATACCCAGAAGTGGAATTACTGGATTATATGATAGTTGTATTTTTAATTTTTTGAGGCATCTTCATACTGTTTTTTATACTTGCTGCACCCATTTACTTTCCCACTGAGAGAAGGTTCCCTGTTTTCACTTCCTCACCAACACTTACTTCTTGTCCTTTTGGTAATAGATATTCTAACAAGTGTGAGACGGTATCTCATTTTGGTTTTGATTTGCATTTCTGTGAGGATTAGTAATTTGAGCATCTTGTTATGTACCTGTTGGCCATCTATAGATCTTCTTTGGAAAAATATGTATTTAGATCTTCTGTTCACTTTTTAATTTAGATTTTTTTCTATTAGGTTGTGTGAGTTATGTATTTTAGATGTTAACTCTGTATTAGTTATATAATTTTCAAACATTTTTTCCACTCACTAGGTTGCCTTTTTATTTTGTTGATGAATTTCCTTTGTTGTGCAGAAGCTTTTTAGTTTGATATAATCTAACTTGTTTATTTTTGCTTTTGTTACTTTTATTTTTGGTGTCAGATTCAAAAAATCATCACCAAGAACTATGTCAGGGATCTTACCACCTATATTTGCTTCTAGGAATTTTATGGTCCTAGGCCTTATGATCAAGTCTTTATTCCATTTCGAGTTCTTTTTTGTGCGTGGTGTGAGGTAGTGCTCCAGTTTCACTGTTTGCATGTTGCTGTCCAGTTTTTCCAACACATTTGTCAAAGAGACTGTATATTGTATATTTTTGGCTTGTTTATCATAAAGTAATTGACCACATATGTGGGAGTTTGTTTCTGTACTCTATTCTGTCCCATTGATCTGTGTGTCTGTTTTCATGTCCATATCCTATACTTTCATAATGTTTGAAATCAGGGAGTGTGATGCCTCCGGTGTTGTTGTTCTTTCTCAAGATTGCTTTGTGTGCATTTTTTCCGTTTCTGTTCCTTTTTGAGAATGTGAGAACAAATTAGTAGTTAGCCTTCTGAAGATTTTAAAAGTTGAGGTTAAGCAAGCATTCATAGCTCTAATTTCTGTTTTGAATTTACTTCAGTTTAAGATCTTTCTGGGCTTTTGTTAATTTGGGCATTAGTTGAAACCAGAGCTGGTTGGGTAAGACTGCTTTGGCCAAGGCTCACAGTTACCCCTGTCACTTTTCAACTGCTGAAACCATCACAGAGCATCTGCTTTTACCGAACATCTTGTTCTCCATCAATTACCATATATGGAGGAGAAGGGTTTTTTCCAAAAGGGAAATATTTCTCTAATTTTAAAAGTAACATGTGCATTGTAAAAACAATTTTCAGGAAATGTAAAATACTATTAAAATACATTACAGAGCATTCATTATACCCAGAGAGATAACTGGATATTAATGGCCAACATTTTTTCCTTCCCTGCTCGGTGTGTGTGTGTGCGTATGAGAGAGAGAGAGAGAATAAAAGAGAGAACGAGAGACAACTAATAAAAGGGGAGGGTTCATGCCGTAATTGCTGTCATGTTTCTGCTTTTATCTTAATAAATTGTGGATACTGTCCATGTTAGTAAATAAAAATCCACATCATCATTCTAGTGGCTACATGGTGTCCCGTTATGTAGACATACCATCATTTATTTGAATTATTTCCTACTAAGTGCTTTTCGGTTATTCCAGCAATGCTGTGATAAACATTTTCTTTTTTTTTTCTTTTTTTTTTAACTTTTTTAATTTTATTTATTTATTTTTAGAGAGGGAAGGGAGGGAGATAGAGAGAGAGAGAGAAACATCAGTGTGCGGTTGCTGGGGGTTATAGCCTGCAACCCAGACATGTACCCTGGCTGGGAATCGAACCTGGGACACTTTGGTTCCCAGCCCGCGCTCAATCCACTGAGCTACACCAGCCAGGTGTGTGATAAACATTTTCTGCCAAACATTTTTGTGTTTTTGCCTGATTACCTCCTTAAGATAATGTATTTATAGAAGTGGAATTTGTGGGTCAAAGATTAGGTACATTTACCAAAAGTTACAATAACTCCAATTCCCACTCTACAGTGTAGGAGTGCTCTTTTTCCTACACCCCAGCCAGCTCTGCCCTCGGGGTGTTTTGCCTCACACTGGAGGGTAGTTCTGAAAAACTGATATATCTTCCTCATTACCGGGAAGCCCTTTCTAGAGGAAGTGGGAAGCAGGAAGAAGCTGCCAAGCCCTGGGCCACTCTCCAGGACACCAGAACACTTGACAAAATAGCACAGCAGAGGGTTGGAGAGGACACTTGGAGCTTAACTGGGGGAGTAAAGGGAGTGATCATCCAGCAGCTGGCAGGTCTTACCACTTCCTCTTTTAGGGTTAATTTAATGTTAAGATGACAGTTGTTTAGAGTAAAATAAACATAAATCATGTAAGACAAAATACAAAACAAAATTATTTTTTATTGATGTGGACACTATAAATGCTTAGGATATACACATTCCACTGAGTTGAATAGCTTTTAGAACACCAATAATTTTCTTAAAAGGATAGCTGGGACATATTTAATGCATCCTTCTTGTTAGAGAAATCTCCAGAGGTAGCCAGTCTTTATTCCAGGGGAGCCTGTATGGTGAGCTAAAGAATTACAGAGTTATGAGAATGGAGAGTCAGGCCAAGCCATGTAATATCGGCAAAGGACAGGAGTGGGGTTGTTTGTTTGTTGTTGTTGTTTCTAATATTCTCCATGGTATATCCTGTGAGTTGTAGTGGGAAACGAGAGCTAATGTTTATGGCTTTCATTTTACTGCTAATTGTCTCCTTCCCATTCTCACAGGGAGTTTTCCATTTTGATAACTCCTCCAACTTTTGAATGCTTTCTTTTCTAATGCATCCATTTGGCACTTTACTGAAGAATTTAATCTCTGGACTGAGGAGGGTAATTTGGGGCTGCAGCCAGGCTTCTCTGTATTAATGACTTTTATTTGTACATGCAGGTTTGATGAGAAGAGGGCAGTACAGCAGCTGAGAGCATGTGGTGTCCTGGAGACCATCCGAATCAGTGCGGCAGGGTTCCCCTCACGGTGAGCTTGGCATTTTTCAGATATAGGGATCCTAATGGAAGAGGTTCCTACTTCTTTAAATAAGCTAACGTGAGTCTCTTTCTATAGGTGGACTTACCAAGAATTTTTCAGCCGTTACCGTGTCCTAATGAAGCAGAAAGATGTACTGAGTGACAGAAAGCAGACATGTAAGAATGTATTAGAGAAACTGATTCTGGTAAGAAAAATTTTCACTTATCTTTATCTGAACAGATTATGGCCACAGGCCTTGTGATTATAATCTGTGAGAGCCCTGGGAATATCCAAATACCAATAATCCAGATTGTTCAGGGCTGGGAGGGTGGAGGGGCACACTGCCTTGGAGGTCAAGGCTCCCTGTATTTGGGAAGCTCAGCCTGACCAGTGAAGGTGGTAGTCCACCATCACGCCTGGACCCAGACTAGAGACGCATTCTTTTTTGAGTTTGATCATTATCTATAAAAATTTACCTAGTATTTATTATGGAAGTAAGTAAGATGCTATGTGACAAAGAAAAAACTAAGTCTCCTCCTCTGGTAACATAGTCTGTCTTGGAAATTAATGCATTTTAAAGGTAAATATAATATATCTTAATGTCTATCATGGGCTGAGGGAGTGAGACAGGAAATTAGAGCAAGGCAAAGCCACATCTGCTGTGGAAAGGAGGCATAGTGTCATGGGAGGCATGTGTTTTGTGTCCGGCCCTGAAGAATGGGTAAAATTTTATAAAAGTGGAAGAAGAATATTTTAACAGAGAGCATGACGTGAAGAAGTAGGAAAGCATAGTTTGCTCAGCAAGCAGTAATGTAGTTTCTTTGCACTTTTAAGATTAGTGTGTGAGACAGTAGGGAAATGTTTAGGAAGCGTAGGTTGGTGTTTGGAGAGCCTTGCCTTCCAAGGTAAGGAGGCTCAGACTTTGGAACACGTCAGAGTCACCTGCAGGGCTTGTTAAAAAGTGCAGATGGCAGCACCCCACGCCTAGAACTTCTGACTCAGTAGGTCTGGGCTGGGTCCAACAACTTGCTGATGCTCGTCTTGGATTACACTTTGAGAACCACTGATCTAGGTCCTTGCAAATGTAAGATTTATGAAAGATTTAAAAAATTTTTTCATTTGTTTGACACTAGTTTGGATGGATTACCTCACTCTGAGGTAGTTAGTCATAATTAACTAAACATAATATCTCTTTATAATATTTTTTTTGTAAGAGCTAAGACCATTTCCTTAAGAATGTGTAAAAGAATCAGATGCTCTCTGAGTTTGGCCCAACTGCTCTCCAACCTGGGTTCAGATGGGAATGCAGGGCAGAAGGGAGAAATGGTCCTAGGCCTGGCCTCCTCCCCCAGACCACTCCAGGCTGGTTCAGGGCTTTGCAGCACAGAGGTACCCATAGAGGGCAGGGTTGGTATGGGGTGGTGAGGGGGAGGCTGAGATGGGACAGGGAAAAAGAGAGTGAACCACTTTCTAGCTCTTTTTATATCTCTAGCTAGGCTTTCTATGTAAATTTTATTGATTAAAACTGAAATAATTTTAGGTAGTTTAGATGTATGTAGAGATTTCTTATTTTCCAGTTTCATGTACAAGATAGGAGATACCTGCTTACAGAGAAAAGGAATTTTCTCTTTTCACACAATTTCACATCACAGTTGTGATTATTATAAATAAATTCCACCCTTCTTTTTATACGAGAATGGTTAATAACATTCATGCTTCTAGATAAGGCGGATCAGAATGTAGTACACTAAAAATCGCATGTATATCTGTGTTTACTACTCAACTCCGCCTGTAATGAAAAATAAATGGCCCTGGCAGTGTTGCTCAGTTGGTTGGAGCATCATCCCATAAACTGAAGGGTCACAGATTCAATTCCCAGTCAGGGCACATGCCTAGGCTGTGCATTTGGTCCCAGATCTGGGTGCATTCTGACTGCAGTCTGGGTGTGAGAAGCGGCAGCTGATGGATGTTTCTCTCTCACATCAATGTTTCTCTCCTTCTCTTTCTCCCTCCCTTCCCCTCTCTCTAAAATCAGTAAGCATGTCCTTGGGTGAGGATAAAAAGAAAAAAAGTAAATGAACAATATAAATTATTTTTATAAAAGGAGTTTTGAAATTTATACAAGTATTTTAAACATTTATAGGGTTTTGCTTATTTTTAGATACTGTTGATAAAGCAAAGATATAACAAGAAACTTAACTCTTTTAATATGAATGCTTAAGGTTTTTTGTTTTTTAATTTTTATTTTGTATGTATTGCTTCTTGCCTTATTCTTTATACTGGTATTTCTGTCCCTTCAGCTTTCCATGGAACACACAACCCGATGTAAGCCTTACAGCCTGGGTCAGTCAGAGGGAGTGTCAGCATCTCCATTTCCTTGAGATATATAAAATACAAACAAGCAAATAATAGCTGCCTCTAACCCACAACCAAGTTTTTTTTGCCTCAGATAATCATTCCAGGTAGAATAATTCTGGAAAATAACTCTTAAACTGCAGTTTTCCTTAAAACCCCTTCTATTTGCTCAACTTGCATAGGATCAAAAATCTGGCTCTATTAGTTAATCATGTAGCCCAAGTTTTAGCTAATAGATTCATCCCTTCACTGATTCTGCTTTTAGATGTATTTTTTTCCTCTTTTAAAGTTTTGTTTACATGTTATTATTTCTACTGCTGAGTGTACAATTTCTTCCAAAAATAGGACAAGGACAAATACCAGTTTGGTAAGACAAAGATCTTTTTCCGTGCCGGTCAAGTGGCCTACCTAGAAAAATTGAGGGCAGACAAGCTGAGGGCTGCCTGTATTCGGATCCAGAAGACAATCCGAGGGTGGCTGCTGCGGAAGAAGTACCTGCGCATGCGGAAGGCAGCCATCACTGTGCAGAGATATGTGCGAGGCTACCAGGCCCGATGGTAGGTCTCCTGGGGACCCGTCCACTCTGGCTCATGGCTCCTAAGACTACACAGTTCATCTGATTCATTGTCCAAACCAGGAAGGTTTTGAGTGGTCATCCTACCTGAGAAGGCAACATCTCACCTCTTTTTAGATTCAAGGAATAACAAATTAAGTCATAAGGACTGTTAAATAGAATAAACATTCACTCTTATGATTCATCCTCAAAAAATTACAAATTACTATGTGCTCATATCTTCAGTATCTTTTTTATACCTTTTTAAAAAATATATTTTATTGATTATGCTGTTACAGTTGTCCCATTCCCCCCTTTCATTCCCCTCCATCCTGCACACCCTCCCCCACCCACATTCCCCCCCTTTAGTTCATGTTCATGTGTCATTAGTTCTTTTGCTTCTACATTTCCCATACTGTTCTTGCCTTCTCCCTGTCTATTTTCTACCTACCATCTATGCTACTTATTTTCTGTACCTTTGCCCCCTCTCTCCTAAATGATAGCTTTGTTGAATAGAGCAATCTTGGATGTAGGTCCTTGCCTTTCATGACTTTGAATACTTCTTTCCAGCCCCTTCTTGTCTTCAAGGTCTCTTTTGAAAAATCAGCTGACAGTCTGATGGGAACTCCTTTGTAGGTTACTGTCTCCTTATCTCTTGCTGCTTCTAGGATTCCCTCCTTCATTTTAATCTTGGCTAATGTAATTATGATGTGCCTTGGTGTGTTCCTCCTTGGGTCCAACTTTGGGACTCTCTCAGCTTCCTGGACTTCCTGGAAGCCTATTTCTTTTGCCAGATTGGGGAAGTTCTCCTTTATTATTTGTCCAAATAACTTTTCCACTTGTTACTCTTCCCCTCCCCTTTCTGGTACCCTATAATTCAGATGTTGGAATGTTTAAAGATGTCCTAGAGGTTCCTAAGCCTCTCCTCATTTTCTTGAATTCTCGTTTCTTCATTCTTTTGTTTGGTTGTTTCTTTCTTCCTTTGGTCCACTCTATTGTTTTGAATCCCAGTTTTTTTCCCATCACTATTGGTTCCCTGTGCATTTTCCTTCATTTCGCTTAGTGTAGCCTTCATTTTTTCATCTAATTTGCAACCAAATTCAACCAATTCTGTGAGCATCCTAATCACCAGTGTTTTGAACTGTGCATCTGATAGGTTGGCTATCTCTGTGGCTTCATTGTATTTGCTGTGGAGCTTTGATCTGTTCTTCTGTTTGGACCTTTTTTTTTTTTGTCTTGATACACCTGTTACCTGTGAGGGGCAGAGCGTTAGGTGTTCACCAGGGTGGGGCAACAGAGTCACTGGGTTGTGACGCTGTATGTCAGAGTGGGGTCCAAAAGGGAACAATGGCGGTTGCTCTGCTTTCTGTCAGATTTCAGTACCTTCCACCGCTTCCCCCAAGCAAACTGGGCCTTTCTGGTGCTGAATCCTATTTGGGTGGGCTTGTTTATGTTTTAGGACCCTGTAGGTCTCTCCAACAAACTCTCCTGTGAGGTTGGGAGTCTCTCCCTGCACCTCGACCCCCACAGATGTTTTCAATCGGTGATTTGAGGCTTTATTTCCTGACGCTGGAACCCTGGGTTGCGTGGTCTGTCTCGCTCCCCAGTTTCACCTGGTTTATCTGCATGTGAATGTGGGACTGCCTGGTCAGCCAGCCGCCTTGCATGCAGTGTCTCGCTTCACAATCGCTGCCTTGCTGGGTCTGCTCGTTGCCGCCCCACATCCTGGGTCTGCCAGCCACCGCCTCTGCGCCCAGTGCCACCACTTTTTATGCCACGACCCATCTCTGCCCAGCCACCCAATTCCGCCCTACTTACCGGTCTGGATGAATGTGTTTATTTTAACTCCTTGGTTGTCGGACTTCCATACAGTTCAGTTTTCTATCAGTTCTGGTTGTTATTTTATTTCTAAATTGTTGTTGTCCTTTTTATGGTTGTGCGAGGAGGCACAGTGTGTCTACCTATGCCTCCATCTTGGCCTTAAGTCCCCTCTTTTTTTATACTTTTATATGGGCTTGAAGAAATTATCTGTAAACTAAAACCATCATGGATATGAACTAGTTAATAATAACTTAGTTGAGGAGTTTTCAGGAGCAATCAACTGTGAAGACCTTTCTAGAATTACACTTCAGTGTGATTACATGTCAGGATAATTTTAATTTAGAAGTATCAGTAGAAATGAATTAGTGATAAAGAATTTATGCCCAAACAGAAAGAGTTTGAAAAGTATTGTGCTTAGTGATGGATAGACCTGAGAGAGCTGGTGAGGAGTGAGCATGGGATGACTGTGTAGGTGGTCTGCTGTTCCAGGGGACAGAGCCTGGGGCAGTGAGCACTGTCCTACAAAGAATGACCCTCTATGAGGGTCACTTTCTTTATTGCAAAATCAGGTAATATGGGACATCCTTATCTGTAGGTTAGAGAAGACTCCAATAAGATAATGAATGTAAAAATATTTGGAGGAACTACAAATTGTGATACAATTATAATAAATGTAAATGTTGGTTTAATACTGTATATTACTAGAATAACACAAAGGAGGTACTACTTAGGCCAGAGATACTGGTGCTTTAAGTCTCTACAAAATATATTCCTGGGCTTTCCTGATTACTAACAAATGCACTGCTTCTCTCTTTGGCCAGCTACGCTAAGTTCCTGCGCAGAACCAAGGCAGCCACCGTCATTCAGAAGTACTGGCGCATGTATGTAGCCCACAGGAAGTATAAAATTACACGAGCTGCCACTATTGTTCTTCAGTCTTATTTGCGAGGCTACTTGGCTAGAAATAGGTATCGCAAGGTGAGTCATTATTTTCAACTTTGTTTATCCGTTCCATTAATATTATTCATATTCTGTGTCTGTATCTGTGCAAAGTCACCACATGGACTGTCAGTCTCTGGCCAGCTCAGCTGCAACTGCAACGATGCAGTGCGGGATGCAGGCCAGATGTTGGCGCATGTGTAGTCCAGTATCACCCCATATGGAAACAACCAATAAGTGAAGTATATTTTTAAAAATTAAATAAGTGCATATATTTATTAAGACAATGAAAAAAGGAAATCTACCTCATTTTTCCCTCCTTGTCTCTGTAATTTGGAGAAAAGTTAGTGTATTAGTTTCCTGTGGTTGCTATAATAAATTTACCACCAACTTGGTGGCTTAAAACAATAGAAATGTATTCTCCCTCAGTTCTGGAGGGCAGGAACCCCAAATCGATATCACTGGGACAAAATCAAGGTGTTGGCAGGGCTGCACTCACTCTAGAAGCTCCGGGAGGGCGTCCATTCCTTGCTTCCTCCAGTGGCAGATGGCTCCCAGTGTTTGTGGCCACACGACTCCATCCTCTGCCTTCATCTTCCCCTACCATCTCTGGGCACCTGACTTCGCTTCTTCTGTCTGTCTCTTATGAGAGTCTTCGTGATGGATTTAGGGCCCGAAAGGATAATCCTATATAATCCCTTATTGCAAGATTTTAATTTAATCACATCTGCAAAAACCTTTCCTCCAAATAAGGTAACATTAACAGATCGCATAGATTCAGATGTGATATCTTTGGGGGCCTTTGGTGAGCTTTGACTGGGTATGGTGTCTGACATATGGGTGGAAGACTGTTCTAAGAAATGAAATAACCCTGAAAAAAATTTACTGTGGTGAAAAGGAGATAAATAACATTAATGTGGTTGAACTTATATTGGCTGGAGTATAATGATCTGAGAGTTTTTGACAAATACTCTTTATACCTGGCAGTAATCAACATGACTATAGATAATGGGTCACCAGATTAATCTTAATCATCACCTCTGATATTATATGATCTAGTGGAAAGGTATTTCTCTCCTTTTGGCAAGGTTTGTAGTCTGTCCTATATGATACATCCCTAACAGGCCAGAATTCTGTATACTGGGTCTCAGAGCCCTGTGGGCACCACTGTTAGAAGGAGCATCACCAGAGTGATTTGAGAGACAGGTCTCTAATCACAGGCAGTATGTGAGGGTGACCCAGGCACTATTCATGTATGCATTTTACTTTCTTATTTTTGAAGTAATTTTAGACAACAAAGAAAAAGGAAAACTAATGAGACTTGAATGAGCATATTTCATAGCTGTGTTTTGAAGAAAATTTGAAAATAGTTACTCCAGGTGTTTCTTTCTGCCACACCAGCTTTATAGTCTAGTGTCCTTTCTCTAAAGGCATGAGCTTTAGGGGAAGGAAAGGCCTTTTTAAACTTGACCTTTTAGATAAACCAAACTGGGTATACTTTTTTCTTCACTACTATCTTCAGGAATGCCTCTACTGGGTTTTGAGGCCATTGGTTGAGCAGTCTCAGTCTCTGGCCAGCTCAGCTCCAACTGTGACGACACAGTGGGGGAGGCGGGCCAGAGGCTGGCGCATGTGTAGTCCAGTATCATCCCATTGGTGCCCCTCTGGTCATGTTTCTGGTGCTTCCAGCCCAAGCTTCCCCTTCATGGGGCTTGGGAGTCTAAGGAAGAGCAGGTATAGTTTAATTTCTCTAACTCACTAATGGAAATGAGATCAAGAATGGAAGATCTAATTATATACTGTTTCCATTTGACTGAAATTACAGAAATGGACCAATGTCTGAAGTTACATGGAGAGAAGGAAATGGAATAGGAAAATTGACATTAATAGCTTTGCCATTGTGTGCTGCTTGAGTTTGAAAGTCTGAAAGCCTTCAATTTGTCATTACTGAGTCTTATCTAGTTGGTCACTCTTCATCCAGATAAGAGAAGGGGCTCCCTGAGGACGGTGATGCCCTGGGAGAGCTCTGGATGCCTGACTTCCCTGCAGTGTGGTGCACAGCGACCACACTTAGTGGAATGAAAGGACTGCCCTAGTGTTCGGTCAACAGCCAGAAAGGGCAGTCCTGGCCTGGCGAAGACACTGTTAAGGTCTCCTAAACAGCAACGTTTATTTTGCATTTGATGGTTTGACATTTAAACCACTTATTTCTTAAATGTATCCTCTAGAATGGCACATTTTTTTTCATTGATTTTCTCAGGTCCATAACGTACAAATAGGAACTGTTTAAACTGCTATCTATTGGAATAGATGGTTTCAGGAATTTTTACATTTAAAGAGTTTTATAAGAGATACATTGTGTCCATTTGTAACAGTCACTAATAAGTACTTATAGGCACACATTTAAATATCATTTACATCGCACAAGAGTTTTATAAAATTATAGAGTGAGGAGGGCCAAAATTATAGACCTTAGACAGTTTTGCTAGTTAAACCTTCATTTAATTTGAAGAATTTTTTCTCCATTACTCCTGGAAATTGTACCCATGGTCTCTGCCTGAAGGTCTTAGTGATAAGAAACTCATAAGGCAACCTTTTTGTTATAAGTTGTTTATAAGTTTAGAGGAGTATATTTTTTTGTAGAAAGTATAACAAAATCAAAATTTAGATTTGTGTGCTTCCCTTTATCTTACTTTTAGCTTTCCTTTCAAAGCTTTATCCCTACTACCTTTGAATCCCATAAGAAGGTTCCTATTACATTTGAAACAGCAGTAGGGAATCACCACTAGAATGGTATGCCTCAAATAGGGTAACCAACAGTGTCACTTTTTGTTGTTGTTTCTGGCAAAATATTAATAAATCAGTAATAAACTTTGCAGCATTCCAAGTGTTGGCTTCTACAGACACCTTACTGGTTGTACCCCAAGTCCTCAAGCATAGAAATAATGCACAGCGAGATAGTATCAGCAGTACAGGTGGTGGCCAAGTCTTTTGTGTTAATAGCACATAATTCACAGGGTGCCAACTTCTCTTCACTTTGTAGAGGACCTCCTGTTGCTGACAGATATCATACACCAATAAGAAACCTAATGAGTTTTTCTTTCTCTTTAGAATTGTTTTCCTTTGAATAATCTAATGTCTTTTATTTAGACAGTTTCTACATGTATACTCTGTTTCTCAAGTTGCCCTTTAAAATCAGCTTTTTTAATCACCTTTTAAAATAATTTTGTGCTTCCATATATTTTTGATGTGTACAATCTACATAATACATTGTTACTTCAACTTTTGCATCTTTCCGTTTAGGTAATACGTGACTTCTCAGCCTGATAGCCTTGTGTTGATAGAGTCTAGTTCAGGGTCTGATGTTATTTATACTTCTGCTTCTCTGTAGATACTCCGTGAGCACAAAGCAGTCATCATTCAGAAGTGGGTCCGGGGCTGGCTGGCTCGCACCTACTACAAGAAGACCATGCATGCCATCATTTACCTTCAGTGTTGCTTTCGGCGGATGATGGCCAAGCGTGAGCTGAAGAAGCTCAAGATCGAGGCCCGCTCTGTGGAACGCTATAAGAAACTCCACATCGGCATGGAGAACAAGATTATGCAGCTACAGCGCAAAGTTGATGAGCAGGTGTGTTTTAAACAGGAGCCCTGAAAGTGAGCATGCCTAGAGAAATCCACTGGGATTATGGTCAGCTTTGTCTTCCCTGACTCTACCTTTCAGTCTTAGCAGAAGAGTAAAATAATAATGATAGTAATGAGTGTGGAAACAGTGACAAGCTCATGGGTAAGATTACAAGGACTAAGGCTGGAGATTATTTCTGAGAACACAACTAATATTACTAGCGCTCCAGACTTTTATGACCAAGAGCCATCGTGTACTTTATACTTCATAAAACTCTGGCCATTACAGTCTATTTGCATAAAGTATAATGTTCCTTTTGCAGGTGAGTTGTTTAGCATTGAGGTGGCCAAAGAATCAGGAAGATATGGATGATTCTGAAGAATCTATAGCCTGTTTACAGAGATAAAAGTTTGATTTCTTAGAGATAGTTACTATGTAATATTTTAGCTCACGCTAATGATAATGTAGTTAGTAATACATAAATACCACAGAGTGTTAAAACAACCAATGAAATAGAATTCATCAGAAAGGTTTTCTGGCGCTGGCTGGTGTGACTCAGTGGATTGAGTGCCAGCCTGAGAATCAAAGGGTGGCCAGTTCAATTCCCAGTCAGGGCACATGCCTGGGTTGCAGGCCAAGGTCCCCAGTAGGGGGTGCGTGAGGGGCAACCACACATCGATGTTTCTTTCCCTCTCTTTATCCTTCCCTTCCCCTCTAAAAATAAGTAAATAAAATCCTAAAAAATGAATGGAAGGTTTTCTAAATGTGAGGAGGAGTTTTGAGGTGATAAAGATTTGTAAGAAATTGGTGATTCTGAGGCCATTTTATCATTCTTAGGCATCACCTGGCTAACACATGGCTTTCAGTAGCACAGTGATTTGTTTTCAAAAGCAGGTATAGATTTTCCTATTTCTAGAGTAAGAATCAGGAAATTAAGAATTTATTCTGGTAACTCACCTTGCAACTATGAGAAGAATCACTTTCATGTTACTCATCTTGTAAAACAGAAATAGTGGTGTCTGTTCTCTCTTTGTATCACTACGAGCGTATTGATTGCGTTACTATAAATGTTGTGGTTAGAATTTTGGTTAGATTTCATAACAGTATCATGATGATATGGCATGAATATCATGAATAAGCCCGGTTTTCTCATTAAATACATTTGATGGTATGTATATTTATTTATTGTTTATATGTATTTAAAGAACAAAGACTACAAATGCCTCATGGAGAAATTGACCAATCTGGAAGGAACATACAACTCTGAGACTGAAAAACTACGAAGTGACTTAGAACGTCTTCAACTAAGTGAGGAGGAAGCTAAGATTGCCACTGGAAGGGTTCTCAGTCTACAGGAAGAAATCGCCAAGCTCCGGAAAGACCTGGAACAAACTCGGTCAGAGAAAAAATCCATTGAGGAACGTGCAGATAAATACAAACAAGAAACTGAGCAGGTAGGAAGGAACTAAATGTTCACGCTTTCACAAAGGAAATGTGCTGTCATCTTCACCTGGCCCTCGTGGTTCTCTGTTAGTTTCCATCAAAGCTGAAATACAAATTTTATTACTAGTGTTTCCCAGGCATTTCTTCCACATGATGAGTCAGTAGCTATAGGTCTTTTAGTAGGATCTTTGGACTCTAATGAGAACAGAGGAAATGCACGATTGTAAGGAGAGAATTAGTGGCCATGTCCCTACTATACACTCTTTTTCTTTAAAAAGGAGTCTGCACTCCTTTTCCTTGGGTTAACGTGATTAAGAAGCAAATCAAACAATGAACTCTCAATAGCTGATACTAGGGAACTTTATGGAAACCTGAATTAAGATTATGTTAAGAGGTCCAAGGGAGAAATCCAAATGTCTGCATACTGATTATAGCTAAGAGCTGCTATGCAGATAGAACAAAAAAAAAAGAGGAAAAAAAAAGAAAGAAAAAAAATCTTTATAGACTGATCAGTGTTTCCATACTACAAATTTCTATTAATTTATCTCAAAACTTTACTAAATACAGAAAAAATTAAGGTTCTCAAGCAGAAATGAAATGCATTATTTAAACAAAATAAAACTACCTCAACATAGGCTTACTGTAAAGAAAGTAATTTTCAGAGACTCCACTAGAGTGACCATCTTTAAATGAAAACAGAGTTGACTGTGTCGGGTGTAACTATGAACAAGAATCCCAATATGCTGTTTCTGTGCTGGATTCTGAACATTAAGTGCAGCGTGTAGAATGAGAAGCTCAGAAGGAGCTTAGATGCAATTCAGGTAGTATAGCTAATAGATAGTATAGCTAATAAAATTGCAGTCCTTCCATGGCATTCAGGGTCCTAATAAAATAATTCCTCCTATATCTCTAGCAGATCTGGGCTCTGTATGATGGATATAGCAGTGCCACTAATATGTTATTTTTAAATGGCAAGTTCAGTCAGAATCAGATATGCATTCAAAGTAATACTCTTGAATTTAAGATCTTCCTTATCTATCTATCTATCTATCTATCTATGTCATTTCCTGAGTCTGCAGAAGCTTTCCATCAGAATCTATAGAGTATTTGAGCTCAGTAGGAATATTCTCTTTTCCTCTTCAAAGTCAACTTCATACCTTAGTAGTCTGATAGAACAATACCCATGAGCAGATCTAGATTTCTCCTTTCTTTTTTTATTATCTTCTGTTTTTCACAGGATAGCTAGAGGCATTATCACTGATTCTTTTGGAGTGTAGTAATGGGGAAGAATGAAAAAATTTCACTGATAGCCAGTAAAACTTTTTCCAGTCATCCTGATCAAGGAGACTAGAAGGCACACTGGAACTGTGGTCTTTAACCAGGAGTGTGCATCTATCTGCTGATAGGCTTTACAAAGACACCTGCCCAAAATCTGGGAGTGTGGGCTCAGCACATTTATTTTGAAAAAGCACACCCTTGACAAAGAGCAGCTTCTCTCAAAAGCACATAGACAACTGAGGCCTTTCTACTGAGGGTGGATGTTTAGGCCATATCAGTATGGAGGGAAGGACCTGGACCGTCACTTCCTTCTGGACTGACTTTTGCTGTGGCACAGGGTTGTCTAACTTCTCTGTTCTTCAGGATCCTTACTCCCAGAGCTCTCTTTCTCCTCTGAACTCCTGACACTTCTCTTTATTACTAACTATCACTTTTAGAGTCCCTTCAACTTATGCTTAGAGAAGGAATTCAGATTTCATTCATCACAAGTACACATTTTATTGCAGAGATGAACTGAATAAATTAAGAACTTTGCAAAGTTATCTTTGGTTTTGATTTTTGCTTCCTGAGAATCTTTACCCAACTAGGAACTAGAAATTTAAGTCAATGCTTTTTAAGAAAAAAAATTGTGATTATAATATACATAACACAACAGTTACCATATTCACTATTTTTCAGTGTATAGTTCAGTGGCATTAAGTACATTCACCATCATAAAGTCAATGTCTAAAGTGTAATAAAGGGACTTTACAACCTTGCAAAATTCTTAAAAGGAAATGAAAGGGAAATTCTCTTTTCCAAGACAGACAGACAGAAAGGAGCTTTAGAAAATATTCAATGAATTTCCAGAACCAAATGCCCTCCATATCTTTCTTAACCCCTTCAATCCCTCTGCTTGAATCACGGGTACAAATAGCTTTGCGCTAGGCTGTTGAGGTGAGGAGGCATTCTTGTTGCTTTAAGAGCAAATGATTATGAGGTGCCACACAATTGGTAAATGCTTAAGGTACAAAGCAAACCAATAGCAGCAATCATCTTTGTCTTCCAGAAATTTCTAGCCTACTATGGAAGTAGAAGTAAATCACTTATAAGGGCTATAAAGAGGCATATACAGAGTCCTGGCAGTAGCCTAGAGAAGAGACATCTGTTTGGAGGGAGTTTTTAGGAAGGCCTTCTGGAGGGGGTAATGCTTGAGTCTAATTTGAAAGGTGACTAGACGTAACTAGGCAAAGAAATGAGGCACAGAAATGTGGAGGTAAGGAGTGACCACTACGCATGGTCTTTGTACTTAGTATCTGGCTTATTTTATCTATTTAGGCCATCTCAGTTTATTATTTTATTTTATAGCTGGTATCAGTTCTGAAGGAAGAAAATACTTTGCTGAAGCAGGAAAAAGAGGCCCTCAATCACCTCATTGTGGAACAGGCTAAGGAGATGACAGGTAAGGCTCACGTGGGCTCATACTAATGCATGCCAACCAACTTCAGACCAATGTTTTATAAGGTACAACTTTGTTTAGAACTTAAATATTTTAAGAAGTTGAGGCTGTCATCAGTAAATTTATAATGTTCTGAGTGGCAAGCACTCTAAATATTTTGGTTGAATTAGTTGGTGAACTTATAAATCTTGTCTGTGTACAAATGTGAACTCATGTTTAGTTAATATCATATGACAAAAATTAATTCTTAAAATATTAAAAAGTTTAATTTAAAGTTAAAAAATTGTTCTTCATGTATGATTTATCAGTTATGGCTTAAAGGATTCATGTTGATTTAGGAAGAATTCTTGAGCTAATATGTGTATGTGTATACATGTCTATGTATTATTTTTATTTATTTTTTGCTAAATCAATGGATATTATTTTTTCAAGATCAACCACTTTTTGCCACCAAACAGAAAAGCCCACTGGTTTTTTTAAATAGAGAATTACATGTAGACATTTATTCTATTTGCTCTTTGTGAGAAAGATTAGAATGATGATAATTTATAAGAAATCCACATATTCATAAACATGGGATAAGAAGATGCAGATCTAAACTATAGTAATTGGTGGTGGAAATGGAATGGAAGAGATGGATTGGGATGAAGATATATCACATGAAAAGATCAACAATGTTATTTTTGATGTGGTATTCAAAAAAGGAATAAAAATATTTTAAAGTTTTGGTATATCAAAGTAATAACAATATATTATTAGTAATGGGGAAACTGAAAGATAAAAGTACCTGCTCATGAGGAAAATTAATAGATCAGTTGTTAGAGTGTTAAATTTTGGTTGTCAGCTAGGGCCTCCAGATAGAGGTATTCAGAAAGCACATTGAGATGAAGGATAGAGAGAAAGAAATGAGCCTTAAGGTACCCATTAAAGCTATGATGCTAAAAGAACCCTCTGTACTCTTCCCTACACTGTGCCCTTCCTCCCAATTAAAGGTAATAATGTAAAGGAAAGAGAAGAATATCTGGAATTAAGCCTTAGAGGATGACCATATGTAAGGAGTAAAAGTGAAGGGGCAAAAAAGAAGCCAGGAAAAAATTGAGAAGGAGAAAAGAAAAGTCACTGAAGACATGGAAATAAGGCTGCTAAGGCGCAGAATGTGATGAAAAGATTCAGAATGATGAGAACACTTCTAGGAAAATATACAGTGTTATCTGAAACTGAACAATAAGAACAAAGAAGTGACAAGAGATTTGCCTAGGGAAAATTTGTTGGTAGCTTTGGGCACCTTCTGCAAACTGGTGGGAATAGAAGGCAATTTATTGAGTGTTATAGAAAGAATGCTTTCATTTACAAGTTATTAAAGCCTTATGATAGGGAAGCATTATTATGGGCACCAAGGAAGCAGTTGTGACGAGACTTTTGCAGCCCTTGCCCGCCTGGAGCTTGACAGAGAAAGAAATGGTGAAACAATAGAAGCAAGCAGGGCAGAATAAGATTTAGCCACAAAATATGAGGGTAAAATGGGCCAGAGAGGTAGGAAGCTTAATATTTATAAATGTGACTGGTGGGCTCATGGAGCTAAAACATACAGCTGAGATTTGAGGCATTTTAAAATTTTGCTTTATCTGCAGTCAGGGGCTAATCTCCAGTCCCCAGATGCTGTTCTAGGCAAATGCAAGCCACTGGCAACAGAGAGGGTTAGGGTGGAGCAGGTAAATGGAAAGGTTGGGAATTGCCCAGGAGCACACCAGAGAAGTAACACAGATGTCCAGGCATGGGGAGCTTATCTGGTTAGAAGTGGGCAAGTAATAGGACAGTGGGGGAGTTCAGAGTGCTGAAAATTGCTTAACAGAATCCAGAGACTGAGGGGAGTGGACTTCATGGCATAAGATAGCAAGGTCTACTAAGAAGTCACCATTCCCTCGGAGACTTGAGGAATATCTGACTTTTTGATGGGGTGCACTCGTTTGGACAAAAGAACTTATCCTGAAACAGAATACTATTGGAATAAAAAAATGTATAAGTCATACCTTGGTATTCATCAGCTTCAGTACTCATCAAACCCTGCACTCCTTGCATTTTGACAAGAAAAAAATGTTTCAGCACTCAGCACTTGCTCAGGACTCGTCACACTTGCTAGAACTGCTATGAGTCACAACAGCACTCCGAAAGAGAAATGCTTCATCCTTCCGTGCTTGTCTGTTTCGGCACTTGTCATGAGTTCTGGAATGAATTAACAATGACTGACAATGACTGTCAATGACTAACAATGACTGTACTTTTGTTACCCAACCATGACTAGTGGAAGTTATCAAAGATGTGCTATAACCAGTGAGTTAAGTAGTGGTACTAAGTCTGCAGTACACACAACTCAGTAGGTGATTGTTATTATTATTAGTAATTACTTCAGTTTTTTGGTCATGATATTTTCTCTTTCCCTATGTTGACTATGAAGATACTCTTCATAGATTGTAGTGGTGCTAAAGTGAAGCCCCTTGTGGAGAACCTGGAAGTGAGTGTATGTGTTTGTACTGCTGTATTTTGGGGGGGCATCTTTGATATGCTTTTCCCTCTTCTTTTTTTCAGAGACTATGGAAAAGAAGTTAGTAGAAGAAACAAAACAACTGGAACTTGATCTTAATGATGAAAGGCTGAGATATCAGAACCTTCTGAATGAGTTTAGTCGCTTAGAAGAACGATATGATGACCTCAAGGAAGAGATGGCTCTGATGGTGGTGGGTCAAATACTTTTGCTTTTTTTAAATGGAAAATTTTAAGCACATACAAAAGTAGGTAGAACAGTAGAAGAACTCCACGTATTCCATGGACTCATCACCTGATTCCAAAATGGCAAACACTTTTCTGCCCCTTCATCCCATCCTATCCAATGGATTGGACTGTTTTAAAGCAAATCTCAGAAATTATAAAACTTTATTTATAAATACTTTGTAAAGTCAAACACTTTAAAGACTGGACTATAAGATAGTATAAAATCAATATAGCTGGGCTTTGTTTTATGCACTGAATGGCTTAGTGTAAAATTTGCATATAAAGCAAATCTTTATATAATTGAGTATTTTCCTCCACTGATTTTTCTTATAATATCAAAGACCTAGCCCCACAAAAAGAAAATTCAGCCTCTATTTGTAATAAATTATCCATTTCAAGGACTCTTCCGCATGTACTTTTTAATAGTTCTCCACACCCTCCCTGTTGTACTTCACCCACTTTCAGGAAACGAAAGAGTTCCCTGGCTCCCTTATTCCCTAAAAGTGTCAGCCTTTAAGGTCACCTCATGCTACAAATGGCCAGAAATGCTCTGAAATATATTATAAAAAACAGATAATTTGATCACCAAGGTTCAGTACTTGCTTCAAATTTTGCTTCAATATGGATTCTTTAAAAATGTGACATTTAAAATGTCAAAATAGAAGAAATTATGTAACAAAAGAAATGAAACAAATTTACCCCCTTGCAAATGAGAAAGTCTAGTCTCAAAGAGGTTAAAAAGCTAATTTAAATTCCACAGTTGGACCATTATTTCAAATCTCACTACTCTATTCTGAATTTGTATGTGACAAAGAAAAATTAGAAGTAAGAGTAGGTCACCATTATCTGTGCAATGGACAAATGGGAAGGACCCTCATTAAGTCTTATCTCCTATGATCTTCCTGCTGCACTTGACCTTGTGGGAACCTTTGTTCATTCACATCCTCCACTTTCTCTAGAGTCCTTTTCCTCTGTCTTTCAACATCATGTTCCCCAGAGTTCCATTCTTGCAGGTATTTTATTCTATTTACTAGGTAACCACACCAACATTTCTGGTCAATCTATACTTTAGTTATGGCTAGAACTACACTTTGTATCCCACTGGTTGTTTTAGAGGCCACTAGTTATTTGGGACATTAAGAAGTAGCACGGGGAAAAGAAATGATAAATGTGGGGATCAACCAGCTTAAACAGATACACAAATTTTTTTTATAATATTTTTTGGTTGCTTTAATAGTGTGTGCATTGTGAACCTCAGAAAATAAAATGAGAGAAGCTATTTATAACACTCTCTGAGCACATTCCAGAGACATCTGTGTGGTTAATGGGCCTCCTTAGTCAGAGAGGCAGCCATCTCTGGAAAAGGGTTTCCAGTAATTTCCATCATCCAGCAACTTAACAGACCTAGTCCTTCCTGCTGAGCGAGTCACTGCCTGCTATTTATTTGTTTCCAGCAGTGCTGTGGAAAAAGAAAGATGTAACCAAGATCCAGGGGTAGTTTAGCTGCTTGATCCCAGATTTCTCAGCCTGTTGCCTTCTCCACTGGATGTCTGTGACTCATTGTCACTCCTCTTGGGTAACAAAATGGTCAGAGGAAGGGAAAGGGAAAACAGCAGAGGAAGGAACCTCAGAGGTTGCTGCTTCCTACTCAGCTCTTCATTATGTCTCGTTTCCCAGTTCCAGATGCAATCAAGATCAGAGTCTTCAGAGAAAATGTTTGCCAAGAATGAAAAAATGACTTCATAACTTAGGACCAATTAAAATGTTAATAGCAACATCTTATTTTAATGTTTAGATAGAACTGAGCAACTAACAGATGGGTACTAATCATTCATTGACACTGTTCTGCAAATGAGCTCTCACTGCCACAATGCTAATGAATGCGTTTGCAGTTAATAGGCTCCTCAAATAGATGGTGGGGAAATTTAAGGGGGAAGCTTGATGGATTGCCTCAGATAGTACCACTGATTGCTGGGGTCTAGATTTGTTTTCTCTGGGACCAAGAAGTGTTGTGGGATTTTTCTCCAGGAACAATAGGTTGTAGGGCTGAGGCAATGAAGGGCTAAGGAGTTTTAAACCAACAATAAAAGGATAATGAGGCTAGTGAATCCAGACTTATGAAGTGTTTGAAGATAAATTAATTCCAAGTAAGGAGGGAATCCAGCATGTCAACAACAGGGTCATTAATCTTGACAAAGGGAGTAAAAACAGATTCAAGAAAAGAAGGAATTATGGGAGAAAAGACAGATAAGGAGAAGAGGAAGTGCCACATGCAGATCTTGAAGGAGAACATGATGATCAAGTCATAGATTTGTCCTTGTAAAATGAATAGCGTATTGAATGAAAACTGGAAGATCACTAAGGGAGTTGAATTACTTCAGGGTCCTAACAATATGCAGCATCAGCTACCATTAGTTGAGTGCTTGGTATATCCCAGGCCCTGTGCTAAACTCCTTACTTGCACTGTCTTACTCAGTCCTCACCTAAACACTATGAAGTAGATCCTCCTTTCTGGGTGATGAAAGTAAGTCCTGGAGAAATTGGGCAAGGGGCAGGTAAGTGGCAGATTCCCACCCAGCTCTCTCCTGTTTCAGACTCAGAACACTTCATCACTGCCATGTATGCAAAGTTACATTAAATAGAAAATATATTCGAATAGCATTGCTTCTATTCATACCTTAAGGCATTTGTTATTTAAAAATACATGTGGGAAAGTAGGGGTCTCACTCACCTTTAATAAGCTTATTAAAAATCTTTGTTCTAGTATTTATGGGCATACCTATTTTTCTTAAAGACACAGCCAATTTGTTAAATAAACATTATCCTCTACAACTGTTGCCTTGGGCTAGCAACTTTAAGTAAGAATGCCTGTGTGTAAACAGTAAACCTGAGTATCTTTGACTTAGTTGTGGCTGTTCTCCCCTGTAGTGTGCACCCAGCTGCTAGATAGTTTCAGAGGTTCTGGTGTTCTTGGGTCTTCCCTGTGCCCTGGAGTACAGGTTGGGCTGGCCCAGGAGACTTTCGACTGCCCTGACACTGGCTTCACTTTGGTTGCACAGATGGATCTGCTCCTGATAAGCCTGGATATTGGAAGGAAAGAAGCAAAGAAGCTCTTTGTGGCTTTGGACTCTTTTCTGGTAGCTAGGGAAGGAGTAGAGAAAATTGAAGAGATCAGAAAGCTCTCTAAGGCCTTTCTGAAGCTCCCAGGATCAGTAACCCTATGAGATCCAGGCCACTGAACCTCTCTACCACTTCTGCTGGGGGAACACGAGGAATGAGGAGCACAAACCCAGCCTTTTTCTTCCTTCATCCTTCAAGCCATTCTCTAGCCCCTTTTACAGAAAGGAAGGAACTGCAAGTGCTTAACTTTCCTATTCCCCTCAAGCCTTCTGAACACAGTGTCATAGGTACCACATGTCATAAAAGTGTCTCCTGGACTCCCTGAATTAATAACCCCAGGATCTCCACAACATTCTTAGAGCAGCTTTCTTGCCTGTCCTGCATTGCTCATCCTTCGAGGTGCTGACTCCAGACAGTCAACTTCATGCATAAAAGTGACAGAAATTATAGGTACTTTGTGGAAACCCCCTTTTTTTTTCTTTTCAACTGTGCCCAAACACAGCACGGTAAAATGACCATGCTGTCATCAAACATATCTTAAGAACCTTTGGTAAGGATTATTTGACTGCAACACTGAAGTCAGTATGTGCATGCTGAGGCATCATCCCATGTTCCACCCAGTGTGGCTGGCCACTCACAATTTTAAAAACCCATAGAGGTCTCTGCTAATAATCACAGGTGGTTTTCATTTGAGCATTTGACTTTGCCACTTTTCTTGTCATGCCCTGCGGGTGCATCTTCCTTTTTTCTTTGAGGAGCTCAGAAGATAACCCTTTTGTAGGGATTTGGTCAGGACAACAGGAAACAGATGGTTTGGCCATGAGACCAGTGTTCAATATGTGGAGATTAAAACTAATTTAAGGTAAATGCTGTCTTAAGTATATCAGGTTGAATTTTGTTGTGTCAATTATACTCGGTTTATTTGCCTTGCAGAATGTGCCGAAGCCTGGACACAAGAGAACAGACTCTACCCACAGCAGCAACGAGTCCGAATACACCTTTAGCTCTGAAATTGCAGAAACTGAAGACATTCCATTGAGGACAGAGGTACATTTTAGACACCTATCACTAAAGGCAGGATATCATCGTGCTGTTATTAACAGTACATTTCCATTGCAGAACAGACCCCATTTACCCATGCGTGTATCATTTGTTTTGAACTATTTATTCTTCATAAGTGACTTATAGGTGTTTAATTAGTTGTGTACATACATACTTATCATTATATATTTTTGTTAATAAACATTTAAACTCTTATGTAATTTTAATGACCAGATTTTCCCTTTTACACCTTAACATATTCTATGTATAAAAAAATAGCCCATCTTGAATTTATTTCAGACTGAGGAAAATTACTTAAAGAGTAAACCCTTTGCCCTTGAGTACTGGAAATACCAGTCCCCAAGAGTTTAGTAAGACTGTTACCTCTGTTTGATGACAGTTTTTACCCATGTAATTTTTCCCACAAAAATACATGAAAAATAGCTTATAAATCTGCCTTAGTGTTTTGATTATGTGGTATAAAACCAAAATGACATATTGCTGTAACTCCAAGAGTACAGTGACTCTAAATTAGATTGTTCCCAAACCAGTTCTCAGATCTTCTTTTCAAATATATTAGTTTCAGTAATGGGTAATTTGGGCACAGCTCTTCTATTTTTATATCATATTCTGAGAAAATGGCCAGAAATAGACTGCTGCTGGCACAGTAGCTGAAAAAAATGGGGTTCTCTTCCTTGGGCCTCGCTATGTGGCTTCTCTCTTCAGCAGTGTGGTGAGCAGGTCCTCAGAATGCAAGAGCAAAAGATGCCAGGTCCAGAGCCGGCACATTGTCAATTCTGCCACATTCTATGGTCAAGGCCAGCCCAGATTCAAGGAGTGGGAAATAGACTCCATCTCTTGGTGGGAGGGAAGGCGTCTGTGTTGGGAGAAAGCCTTGGTGGCTATCTTTGGACACTCCCACAAAGTTAGCCTTTGAGGATTTCAAAATTACCACTTCTGAGCCTCTAGAGAATATGTTGGTCTTAGTGGGAGAGCTCCTCCCAGTGGTCTGAGGGCAGTGTGTTAACAAACTGCCGACTTCAATGTAACGTCCCTGAGCAGTGCCTGCACAGGCTTGGACGGGGAAGCCGTGGCCACAAGGGTGTTTGCTGCAAATTAATTTGTGTTAAACTCAGGACAGAGAGACCTCTTGTTCCCAGTTTTGATTGAGGGCAACACATTTCTAGGTTCAAAACTCTTCTGTGCTTAACCTCACTTTTTTACCAGTACCAGTATTTATCAGGGTATTTTTTTAATTTTTAATTTATTTATTTACTTTTTGCTATTTTTATGGTGGTAAAATATACATAATCATTTTTTTTAAATCATAGTAATGCATAGTAATGCTGTTCTGGACAAGATAATGTTTACTGATGAAAGTGTAAACTAACCCAACCAATTTAACAGACTTAAAAACAAAGTTTAGATATTTATGTATTAAGATGTTTATTTTAGTATATTTCAATAGCAAAAAAATTAGGAACAACCTCAATGCCTATCACTAAGGTAATAGCTAAGCAAATGATGGTTCCACCTGTCAAAACAGCCATTAAAAATTACAGTTTCAAATACATTGTGAATTTAGAAAATAGTTGTAATACAATGCTAAGCTTTAAAACAATACAAATTTATAGTGAAAATATTACTCTAATTCTATAAATCTATAGAAAAACAACTGAACAAAAATTGTGAGTTTTCTCTGTATATGACACTATGCCTGCATATTTCTTCTTTGTACTTTTCTTATTTCCTAAATTTTCAATAAAAAATTATTTTGCTTTTATATCAGAATAAAAAACATTCATTTTAAACATTGGCAATTGGAAATAAAAGATTAGCTAATCAGTTAGGAATTATACTGAGACCATTTAGTTAAGTAAATGTTATTACTGTTCTCTCTCTTCTTCTCAACAAAAAGAGACTCTTTATGATTTATTAAATCTAAGGATACAGTTCTTTTCCTTCTTACCTCATTAAAAGTTCAAACTCAGAGTATACAAGGTGAAACAATTATGGCACTCTCAGGACTAACATGATGGTGGTTAGTTTTTTCCGTTTGCTTAGCTTTATTTAGTGTGTCTGTATTTATCCTAGTAGTTTCCACTGTGGTTCTGTGTCAGAACTAATTGCCATACTTTTAAAATGCTACTAGGTTATCTTTCTGTTTATTAAGGGCTATATATGTTTTCATTTTTCAGTTTTCTCTCCATCTGATCCAATATATTTGTGCATTTTTCAGTTTTCTCTTCATCTGATCCAATATATTTATGCTGGCCCTTCACCTTTTAAAAATTATGTTTCCTGATTACAAAAGAATTCAAATATAGAAGTGTGTAAAATAGAAAACAAAACTTTTTTAGACCTCCTATTCTCCAAGGTAATCACTGATGGCCTTCTAGATTTTTGAATGCTATACACTAGGTGTGTTTAAAAGTCACATATATTTGTATTATATTTTTAACAAAATTTAAGTTTATAATACTATTGTACACCTAGTGTATTTCACTTAATTCTTTTATCTAGGACATATTTATCTACATATGTATTAATAAGCTAATAAGTATTAGCTTACTTATACTTCCACCAGTATCATACAAGACAGTGTTGCTAACACATGGCATTATTCATCTTTTTGGTCTCTGCCAGTCTGGTAGGGGAAAAATAGTACCTTACTGTTGTTTAACTTGCATTTCTCCATTTATGAGCTAGGTTGGACATATTACTTCTATATTCTTTGGCCCTTTATATTTCTTCTGTAAGCTTGCCAATTTTTTTCTGTTGGGCTGTTCATCAATTTCTCTTTTTGGATTCTGTGTCTTCTGAGTTGTCTTGACCATCTCATTTTTTTCTGGGGTTTAGGAGCCAAGTGAGAAGAAGGTACCTTTGGATATGTCATTGTTCCTCAAGCTCCAGAAGCGGGTCACAGAGCTGGAGCAAGAGAAGCAGATGATGCAGGATGAGCTGGACCGCAAGGAGGAGCAGGTGCTCCGCAGCAAGGCAAAGGTGTGCAGTGCTGCCTGACTCCAGGGCTGTGGGCAAACCGAGCACTGAGGCTGGGACTTTATGTTCAGTCCTGCAGTCTCCTCATAATGGAAACTCAGCCCAGAAGTACTTCAACCCAGTAGGATTTGGTTCGAGTAGCAAGGGCTAACCTCTCCTCACTGTTTTCTGCAGAACAAGGAAATGTTCTTAGTAAAAATGTAACAATTAAAATATGACTCCTTATTTATATTTTAACTTATGTTTTCCCTAGGAAGAAGAACGACCACAAATCAGAGGTGCAGAACTGGAATATGAGTCACTCAAGGTAATGGGAAGTTTGTGCCCAAGGCTTTGAATATTTTGTTTTGGCCAAGAGGCCTGTGAAAAGCCTCTATTTTTCAGAGAACATCTTTCAGGGCACCTGAGGCCGTAGCTTAAGACTTAACTCAGTCATGACTTCTAGCCTTGTATTGTTTCCTTTTATGGGTTCTCATCTGTATAAGATGGAGTTCAGTCTAAACAGAAACATGAGCAGTAGCTGCCATTTGAGAGTGTGGAAGGTAGTAGAGGACATGGACTCTAGTGTCAGACTGCCTGGGTTCAAATGCTAGATCCACCACTACGTGGCTGTGTGCAAGTTATGTATCCTCTCTGTGCCTCACTTTTCTCATCTGTGAAATGGGGACAATGACAATGTCGATCTCATAGGACTGTCGTGAGGATTATATGAACTAATCCAAGTAACCTGCTTAGAATAGTGCCAACACTATATTTAATAGTACCCAACAAGTGTTGGTTGCTATCGTTATCATCATTTAAATATAGGTATTTTACATATCAGCTCTAATCCTTACAATGACAGTCTTGCAAATCAGTGTTTTAATTCCCATTTTACTGATAAGAAAATTGAGGCCAAAAGATATAAGTAACTTCCCTAAGATCACCCCACTGGAAACTGACAGAAACAGGTATCTCTGGCTCCAAACCCCATGCTGTAATCACCAAACCCCACTGAAACTATGTGTTTGTGGAGAAAGATAGCTAGGCATTAGTGTGAAGAGTAGAAACACACTCTAACTTATTTTGTTTAAAAAATAGCTGTTGGGAGAAGGGGGATGAAGGTGGAGATTGTGTCTTCTTAATGGTCAAAGGCAATGTCTAACTAGATAGTTATAAGCTGCCACTGTGTGCCCCAGAGCACTTGAACGAGGGAAAGGCACTGGGTTAGGAACAGTAGTTCCTGAAACACAAAGCATCTTGGGTAACATAGGAGTTGAAGTTTAGTGGGGGTGGCGAAGAGTCCTTTCCTTGACACAGAGCAGGCTGTGCCCACCCCCACCCCCAGCCCCTTCATCTGGTTTCCAGAGTCAGAGTCCCCTGAGCCCCGCAACATCTGAGCTCTCAGGCTATCAGCTCTCAAAACACCTGCAACTTCAAAAGTTTTCCAGGTCAATTAATTAATTTATTGGCCTTAAATTTATTTTTCTCAGATATTTTCTGCTTATGTCATTTTTTAATTATTTTCTACTTTTGTAAAGTATAGTGTTAGAATAGCTGGAAATTTTATGATTATAAAACCAAACAAAGCTAAAAGTTAGAAAAGCCACAAAATAGTGTAAGGAAACTCATTATTTTTAAGCCTTTATGTATATTTGACAATTCCTAGGGTTTCTCTAAACTATCCTGAAGGGTTTTTCTCTTCTTCAGTAATATTACTTCAAGTCTAATCCTGACGTGTTATTTCCTAACACTGTGATTTGGCACATAACTTATGCACATTAAAATAGGTCCCTATCCTCTGTTGATTTGCTACTTCCTGCTGTCCAGAACTGATTACTTCTTCCTCCCCAGCCTGTATGGCATCTTGGTATAGAGAATGCCTGTCCTCTACCCTACCTAAACCCACAATTCTTTTTTTTAATTGTTGACACTATTACAGATGGCCCCCATTGCCCCCATCCTTTGCCCACCTTCACTGAGCCCCCACCTCCCCATCCCCTGGCCGTCACCACACTGTTGTCTGTGTCCATGGGCTACGCATACATGTTCTTTGGGTAATCTCTTTACCTTCTTTTATCAAGTACCCCCCCCCCCAGCTCTGCTCTCCCCTCTGAGATCTGTCAGTCTGTTTCATGTATCCATGAAGCAGAAGCTCCGGGGTTAGAGCCCAGCAACCTGTCCTCCAGGTGATCCTGATGTACATTGAAGTTTGGGAAACACTGCATCAGAGCTTAAGTGTCATATTAAAAACAGTCCTATGTCTTCTGCTGCAGGAATGAGCAATGCAGATCTGATTACCAGTTGGTGGGAGACTGGGGATAAGAAGGAGCATTATTTTTTCACATAAGAATGGATTAATTCATGAAAGAAGGGGTTATTTATTCTCAAATAGAAAAAAAGAACTTTAAATAATTTTACTATAACATGTTGAAAGGTCTGATATAGTGCTTTACAAACTCAAGTTTGCCTCTCTAAAAGAAACAATAAAGTATTTTATCCTTATACCGAGGTACCTCATGTCCACTATCATAGGCCTTATCTCATATACTAAATAAGGCACCACAATGTCTTTAATTGTTTTATTTTTTATTAAAAAAATTTAACTACAGTTTACATTTAATATAAAATATTTTGTATTAGTTTCACATGTAACCATGGTGCTTTTACATGACTGTCTACTGTTTCTCAGCTGGCACTCTGTGATGTTTGCATTTTAGTGCCAGTAAACACAGTTTAATGTCAGAACTCTGTTCTGGGTTCCCATTGCCATTGTCTGAGCAGAATGTGCAGAGAGCAGCACCAGCCAGTGGCACAAGAATGGCTGGTAGTGTGTGCAAGTGTGGCGGGGTAAAGGATGTGTATGCTCATCTGGGTGGCTGAAGGAGGTGGCAGCCCATTCTCTGTCCTCACCTCTCAGAGCTTCTGCCAGCAACTTCACAAACATGTCACACAGGAAAGAAGTGTGAAAAAAGTATTATTTGTTGTCATTGAAACACCAAAGGGAATTTTACTAGTTTAAGTGATATAATTTTTTTAAATTAGAAATTAAAAGCCTAAGATTTCAATGGTCTTTCCATTCTGTTTTACAAAGAAAATAAGGGGATACTACTCTTATTTCAAGGATCTATTCATTTGAACAATTCATTGGAAATAACCAGACTAGCTGGACCCTCATAGCTGCCCTTATATTTATTTACCCACAAACAAAACCTGAGCTTCCTAGGACTGGGCTAAACTTATCTCTTGGAATGTGGCAATCTCTCCAGGCCTGTGAACACACCCTGGGCAGGCCTGGAATAAATTTGACTCAGGAACTTGTGCTGATGAAGCTAACTGCCATTTACCTTACTAAATTCTACTTGATGTCTGACTTCCTTAATTTGCAGAGCAAAGTTCCCAGTAGAACCTGGGAAGACATTCACTGGAATAGCACTGATGATCTTTTCCAGCAGAATTCTTCTGCCACCTCAGGGAAAGATGAGCATTCCAATGTAAAGTTCAGGATGACTGTAATGAACTATTCTTTGTCTCTTCACACAGCGTCAAGAACTGGAATCAGAAAACAAAAAACTGAAAAATGAGCTAAATGAATTACGCAAGGCCCTTAGTGAGAAAAGTGCCCCCGAGGTGACCGCTCCGGGTGCACCAGCGTACCGTGTCCTCATGGAGCAGCTGACCTCCGTGAGTGAGGAGCTAGATGTCCGCAAGGAGGAAGTCCTCATCTTGAGGTCTCAGCTGGTGAGCCAGAAAGAGGCCATCCAACCCAAGGTAAGCACAAGCAAGTGGCTAAAGAGGGTGTTTGGGTGCTGGCCTCTGTTTCTTTATGTCCACTCTGTCCATTGTATGAAGAAGCAAACAGTTAGGAACATTTTTAGTGTAAACAAGGATATTATCATTCTTTAAAAAGAATCTCAATGCTGTTTTAAAACTGTTGCAAATGTCAATTGGAGTGAGCAAAAAGCAAGGGAAACCCAAATGGTTTTCAAAGTCTCATCTCTCATTCATGAGCATAGGGCTTTGAAAATTAATTTTTTGTACATTTGGCCACAATACATTTTGATCAAAAATTAAATGTTATTAAGTACAAAAATTCATAAATTGTCTTGCTGTGAGAAGTTTTTAATACAACTTTAAAATTGTTTGTTGGAATAGCCTGTTTAACTGGAAAGATAACATGAAAAGATTAGAAATGAGATCAGTGAGTGGAAGTTACCTGGAGATGAATTCTGTTCACTTCAGGGAGTTCTGTTTAATTGTGGGAGCTGTCCCAGTGGGGAGGGGCTGTGTTTAGTGATTCAGCAAAAAGGACCACGCTAGAGGATATAGATGGCCCCTTGCAGTCCTCCCCTGCCCGCAGGTATTTTGAGTCCTAGTGCTGCTATGTGCTGATTAAAATGGGCCTTTTTGTCACTTGCCATCAGACAAAAATGATCTGAGTAAACATCTTGAAGCCTGGCCTGCGCCCCTGCCCATGTTCATGTAGCAAAGTGTTACCAAGATTTGAGGCAATCAACTGTCCCAACTGTGTGACATGCTATATAAATTATGACTGTGATATATGGTAAACTAGATGCTCGAAAGATCTGAGAGTGCTTGTCTTAAAGAATGGTAGTTCTGCATATGATTAAGATAGTAAACCTGGTCCTGGCTGGTGTGGCTCGATAGATTGAGCACTGCCCTGAGAATCAAAGGGTCACTGGTTCGATTCCCAGTCAGAGCACATGCCTGGGTTGCAGGCCAGGTCCTCAGTAAGGGGGCACTCCAGAGGCAACCACACATTGATACTTCTCTCCCTCTCTTTCTCTCTCCCTTACCCTCTCTAAAAATAAATAAAATCTTAAAAAAAAAGATAGCAAACCTGGCACATAGGTTTGGATTTCATAACGGTAACTCTCACCTAGGATTAACACTGATCCAGAAAATATCAGATTCTGGAATAGCCCAGTAATAAATGGACTTCTATGAAGAAATGTCCTTCCTTATTTTAAAATAAACACAAACCTTAAGTCTGAAATGAGAAGTTAGAGAACAGAATCTCTCTTTTGGCTTGACTCTGTACATACATCTCGCCTTCCTTAGGGCTGTTTCAGTTTGGTTCCCATGACGACCACTTAAGAAACAAAGCTTCCTTTGCATGCCAGCTGGAGCAGAGTTCACACTCAGGATTTCTCTCTCTGGTTCCCCTGTTACAAACTGGTATTCTCATAAGAAACTTGAGTAAAAGTTAAGAAAAAGAAAAATGAACCAAAGGGCATAAAACAATCCATCTAACAGAACACATAGTTCTGGGATCACACACTGTCACTTACCCAGCTCACATTTTCCATGTGACAACTAACTGAAGCTTAACCAAGGGTTCTGCTCCCCAAGCTCCCAGCTTACACGTGGCAGCAGCTTGTCCTCTCCTAGGAAAAATGCCCAGGGGGCTATTTGAAACCTTCCAAATACCCCAGGGCTGTTCGTCCCTCTCAGTTTCTACTCATGGAGACATCATTTCACAACTTCTTTGCAGGACAGTGGTAACCCCCAGTGAGCAAGGTGATGATTTGGCCCAGCCAGGTCTGGTTTTTCCACTCCACCTCGTGAGAATTCTGGGAGGCTTTACTTGGACAAATGACCTCCTATCAGGGCATTACTGCAGCTCTCACACACCTAGGGAAAGAATTGCATTCATATTCATTGACAGAGGTTTGTTTTCTCACATACTTAGAAATACTTTACAATTAGAAAAAAATACTAAAAGAATTTCAAGTACTTGTCCCTGAGAATTAAGACAAATATATATTAATGTCCACCTCATGTTAGTTCCATGAATATTAATTTATTGAGTTAGTTTTAGGAGAAACAATTCATGGTGTTTTTTTTTTTACAGTTTATTTGTTAGGATGGGGACTCAATGATATAATTTATTTATGGAACTAAGGGTTTATTGTTTTCTCCTCTTTTTTTGTGCTTGCTGGCTCGTGATTTTCAGGATGACAAGGTAATTATAAAATTTTTAGTAAATACTATTTAATTCTACTTTTAGCTTACAAATATCCCTCAGTGTATGCAATTGATGCTTTCTGGCCCCCTAGTCTACTTTGATATTTACAAATTGGTTTCCTGTTTTGACCCCTTCTTGTTCAGGAAGTCAGTGGGAAAATATGGGTGTAGTATAGTTCTGGCTCACAGAGAGGTCTTCATGACTTCTAATTCACGGTCAACTCCATGACTCACTGTGGAAGTTATGGTAGTCCATCCACAAGCGGGGGAGGCCCTGAACGTGGAGCACACTTAAAAGAACAGGCTCTCCCATGCTCTCACGTCTGTCAGCTGTGGGTTTGTTGGCCAAGGATGAAGAGGAGCCTGAATTGCTGAGCACACCCGGGAAGGGTGGAATTTTCCTACAGGTTGCAACTGTTTCAGGACTTACGGTTTGGGGAGACAGGCTGAGCAGTGAGTCGGGAACTAGTTCCTAATGCTGGCTGCCTGTCTGATCCCATGCTGCCGCCAGCACTTCTTAGCTGAGATAGGCCAGAGAGGGGAAGGACTAGCTACTTACTGTCAGAACAGCAGCATACCAAGAAACCTATCTTTCCTCCGCATCAGTTACTTAGATCAAGTTGTACTTAATTTACTAAAAGTTCAAAACCACGTCCTATAGCTAGGTCCTCAGATATCAGACAATACATGTAGCATTGTAGAACCTGGGCCTTTGAGAGTTACTGCTTAAAACTTAAAAATCTGAGTATGGCCCTTTATCGAGTAGAAAGAATTTATGCCTTTCAGGGAAAAAGAAAAATCTCTGTGTTTAAAATTCAATAAAATATAAAGTTTTGTTAATACCATTTATCAGTTATACTTGGTCTTCTCTAAGAATACATTTATAAACTCACAAAAGAATAGCATTAGGAGAAAAGATTTTTTTTAAAAAAAAAGATGTTTCTTATAAACACCAAAATTTAAAAGCAAGTATTTGTGGGCCTCCAGTTGGCATTAAAGTTATCTTGAAACTGGTCTCTAAGACCCTGGTATTTGAAGTGTATTCTACTAACACCACTTCATGGTGTGATCTGGCTGTAGAGCAAACGTTGACTGAAGGGTCGGATGTAGGCTATTTAGACAAATAGAATGGCCCCTTGGGTTCTAGAGTGTATTCTTTTTTAGGGACTATAGAACAGTGGTTTTTACTGTCTATTTTTGCCATTGTTTATGAGAGATACAGAGTAGCTGAGCAGTAGCAAAATTTTGAAATTCCAGTGGCTGCCAGACAGATGAGACCAAAAAGGAGAAATTAAAAAGGAAGTAAAAATGTTAGCAGAAAAGTTCTTTTTATACAAAGTCATTAGTTATTCTGACCTGCCAGACATTTATTTCAAAAAGCTTATGTACCATGTAATACTGTAACAGAGGAAAAAGAATTGAGTAACAGCAGAAGGGAGATATTTATAAGGAGCTAAATTCTGCCCATTTACATATACATATGTATATATGTATAGATGTGTGCTGAAGCATACATCGAAATGCCGCCTTTTTTGTGCTGAGTTTTTCATGGAAGAATGAGCTTTATATCACATTCTCAGTGTCTTATTAGGGCATTTGCTTTATTATAACTGATCAAAAAGTAGTAGGAAGAATAGCTTTGTCCATTTCACCACTCAGTGTTCTTGTCTGGTTTTTGTTCTAATGCTATTTATGTATTTCAAAGTATTCATATATTTTAAATATATGAAACCTATTTTTTATATATGTATACTGCAGAAGAATAGAGGACAGTGGGGCATAGGCAATCCAGAAAAAGAGGAACCTTCAGTCTTTGAGAGAATCCTTAATGCTCTGCTATGGATGGGGTGAGATTCTGGGATACCACAGCCCTGTAAATAAAGTAACTGATGAGCTGTGTGCATTTTACATCGTGTGTGTGTTGCTGAAAAAAGATATATGTATATATATTCCATTTGCCCTGTTATTGTTCTAATGCTGCATAATTACATATATGCATATATTCTATGTATATGTGTGGAAACATATGTAATATGTATGTAATGTGGGTAATATACACACACACACACATACAATAACCAGACAAATGGTTCCTCTTTTTCTGGACTGCCTATGCCCCACTGTCCTCTATACTTCTGCAATCTGGAGCTGGTGCTCTGGAGGGGCAGAGTTGTGCTGGATGGAACACAGAAACACAAATATGTTGTATGTGATTCAAAGCTTTTGAGCTGATTCTTAATGTGGAAATGTGTCATTTCCCCCTTCAGAATACAATGACAGATTCCACAATACTTTTGGAAGATGTACAGAAAATGAAAGATAAAGGCGAAATAGCACAAGCATACATTGGTTTGAAAGAAACAAACAGGTAAGTTGATCCTGTTTATTCCGTTTTTGTTTAATTGTATTGATCTTTAGTCTTCAAGCCTCTTTTTTTTTTACTGCTGCTGGTGTCAGTATTTATTTTTCACATTTTTTATTGTTCAAGTACAGTTGCAAAGTATTCATTCATTGCTTTAGTAGCTATCTGACCTTCAAAGGGAATCCAATTTTTTCAATATATTCAATGAAAGCTCATAACGTAAGGTAGCATTTTTGATGAGAGGTGTCAGGGAAAAGTTCTTTATATCAAGGGGATATATGTCTGTATCTTTAAGGTTTGAGCTTTGAGAAGAAAACCAAGTTGGTCACTGTTGCACTGTCTTGTATAGTCACATTTATGCATTGTTCAGGCTGGTTATTTGTGAAGGTTTGTAGGGGCAATTGCAGCTTTCAATAATCAAAATTTAATATGAAGAGAAATGACGAAGTACCTGGAATCATATTCGTATTAGCCATATAATTCTAAAAGGGTTCTATAATTTCTAGGGTGGGACCCTGATATTTGAGACCACATTTATGTCATGTTCCCTAAAGTGTTCTAAGAAAATCCTAACTCTGGTTTTATTCCATTTACTCTAAATATGAATGAAATTGCAGGTGGCACTTAGCTCAGTCACTGTACACTCAAGAATCTTAGGTGGGCTGGCTGAGAATGCAGGATTTGAACCATCACTGAATGACTGAACATTCCCAAAGCTTTTTCTGTAGCTGAGGTTATATCACAGAATAAAGCTCATCTCTGGAATTCTGTCAGCCTTCCTCTCACCACCTTCTCAACAGAGCCATAGTGCTGTTGAACTCTGAACTTAAAAGACTACATGCTTAAAAGAATATGGCCAGTGATGATCACAGAGAAAGACAATTCTGGAGATTTTTATTGTTAGTGTACAGTCTGGGTCTCCTGATGCATAGTATCATGATTGGTATATAGAAATACTTCACAAGCTAAATATCTTCTTTTATGGGAAAGGGTGGAGAATGTTTATTAAAGTATTAGGTTAAACTTAAATTTTAATTTATGAATTTAAATGATAAATAACACATTTTATATCTGACACATTTAAGAATGTGTCAGTATAAAAACAGCTAGATTACACTGTATATCCATCAGCTGTTCAATTACCAGATATGTATTGCATGCTTATTTAATGCCAGGCCCTGTGCCACGTGCTGGGAGTAGTCGCAGTCCCCAAGGTAAATGCATTCACAGAGTTTATAGGCTGTTGGGGAAATGGCCAAGAGAATTTGGACTTCATTTCAATGGTAGTGGAAGTAGTTGAAAGATTTTAAGTAGGAGAATAATATAATGAAGTTTGAGTTTTAGAAAGTTAACCCTGGCATTTATCTTAGAGACTAGATTTTAGTAGAACCAAGTTAAAGGTATAAAGACCGGTTAGGAAGCTATGACTGTAATCAAATGATAGATTATGGTGACTTTGACTTGGCTGGCGGCAGTTGGGATTGAAAGAAATGGGACACTTTGAAAGGTACAGAAGAAGATGAGGTCAGTAAGCCTTGTGTTTTATTGGATGTGTCAATGAGGAACAGGGAGTGGTGAAAGGTGACTTTAAAGTGTCTGCTGTAGATACTTTTTGTATGTGGTGATGCCATTTTTGATCCTGGGTCTGGGTGTAGGGAAGTATGGGGTGGAGATGATTGGTAGATTTACAGAAATTAAATTTAAGGAGCTAGGAAGACATCCAAAGAGAGAATCCATTAGGCATCTGAAAACATAGATCCAAAGCAGGAGAGATGCATGGGCTGAAATATAAATAAGTCATGAGCATATAATAATACAATTGAGACCATGCAAATAGATGAACTCTTCAGGGACAGGTGGTAGGTGGAAAATAAAAGAGCGTGCTCTGGAATGTGTTTTATGTAAACATCGTTTCAACAACAGAAGTCTAGGAGGAGGACCAAGAACCTGGGCTCTGGCATCAGATAGTCCTGAGCTCCACTGTGTTCCCGCTGTGTAACCTCCAGGTATCTTACTTCTAAGCCTCTGTGTCTTTCTCTGCACTGTGGCAAATGATAGATATTGGGTTCCTGGGGGAACTAAATGAAAAAATATGTGCAGAAGAATATAGAATAACACTGACACTTAGCAAACACTCAACAATATTTTTATTAATTTATTAATATTAATTTCAAAACTTCACTTTGAAATGGACTGTGAAAGTTGCCTCACGAAGGCGATAGCTGCAGCTCTCTGTATGTGTGTGACTGTCGTGGTTAGTCTCTAATATGGTAAGATCACTCTGCTAGATGGATAAAATGTTAAAAACATAACTTCTTTATCATCTTTTGAATAATTTCTTATTTTGCAGGAAAAATAGCTGTAGATCCTTGATTATTTTTTTTATTTTCTACCCATTTATATGTTACACATTTTTTAAAAAGTTAACCAAAAATATTTTTTGTAATAACATCTTGAAGCTATCTGTATTTAACAAAATCAGTAATATTGACAATAAAATAATGAAATACCATGTGACACTGTTGACCATCATCATCTCATTCCATCCCGTATTCCTTTGTGTTTTGCATTGTTGTTCCTTTTGCATGGAAGATCATCTGTGGATTTCCATGAGCTGAATGAGGATGGAGAGCTGTGGCTGGTTAATGAAGGGTTAAAACAAACCAACAGGTTATATTTGTCTCCTCAAAATGGAATGTTATTAATTTGTTGTTTTTCTTACTAACAGTGGCTTTCCGACTTTAAACTCTATATTTCTTGTACATTAATTGTCTTCCTAGGTAAATTTCAGTAAAATTTAGAGCATTCAGTCAGATACCTTCCTAAAAACCCTCTCTACCTCAGCGATGCTATTAAAGCTGAAAGAGAGTGATGGAGTATAGAAGAGTTACTGCCCATTAAGTGAAAGATGCTATCTGGTGTTCCCTTCAGGCACTAAAACTTGAGAGTATCTCAGAAGGAGTTGGAAGAAAACCAAAACCTTTCAACTAGAGCTCACACTACTGTGGGGAAAAGATTAATACCTATTACTTAGTAGTTCCTTGTTTGGAATAATAGTCAGTCTAATGGTTATGTGCCTATGGTGATATGGCTGCATTCTTATATATTATCAGGTTGGCTAAAAAGTCCACTCAGTTTTTTCTGTAAAATAAAAGACACATTTTTCATTTTCACCAATAACCTTATTGATTTGAATGTTTTTGAGTATGTCGTCTTTCTCCCGCTATTGGCTTCTAGTAAGTAGAGGCCAGGGGTGCTGCTAAAACATCTTTCAATGCATAAGACAGCCCCACAGCAAAGAATTATTTGGCCAAAACAAACCACTTTGGACACGTTCAATCAGTCACAGCACCTTCTCCATACCATGCACAAATCTTTTGCATTTCAATTACATTTTTACCGTTCTTGAAATAATAAAATGTAATATGCCCAACATGTTGCGTATCTTCTTCCATCTTCAATATTACAATGGCTGCACAAAAATTCACCAATTTTTATGTTTTTTTAATGCACGCTGATATGACAACTGTCACAATACAATCTAACAAAATTGTTTTTGAATGAAATTAAAGACAACTAAGCACTATTAGAGCCATCATATGGAAAAAACTAAACAAACTTTTTTGCCAAGCCAGTGTTATCATGCTGCCTAACAGCAGTATTTAGCACATGACTTGGCATTCTGTGTGCTTATATGAAGGTCAGATTTGGGAACAGCAAATCTGGAGGGTTTTCGGCATTGCTTCAGCTCAAAATAATTACCCAGACTCAACATGTTAAATATGTTTAGGGGAAAGCAAATAAAATTGAAATAGCAACATTTTTCTAACACAGACACTCTTCTGCTCTAGTGATATTTGTGTCTTAAGAATGTCATAAAAATAACCATTTTAGTGATCAAGTTGTAAAAAATACTTAATATGCTATTTGTTCAAGGGGCTTCTGCTTATTCTGCTTTGTTCTGTTCTTAAACCATTGTCATTAACTTTGTGGTGTTATTGGTTCAGATATTCTTGAAATTTTATACTCACTAAAATATGTTTAGTCTTCTGTTAACAGTTTGCTTGCAATGGCATCCATACATTTTGCCCAGCAGTTGGTAACCAAGGGGATTAGAGTAAAAGAACATCTTTTCCTTCTTCATGCTAATTAATTTCTAACTGTAACTTTGTTTTGTGTTTAGAAAAGGGGTGAATGTAGAGGTGGGGTGAGGGATGTGAGGTAATGGGGGCATGCTCTTTCTCTCTGCTGCTGTCACTGCCAGTGGTGTGGTCTGCCTACGGGGCAGCTGACGTGTGTGCTTGTGTTCAGAGAAGCAGTGATCCACTTTGTTCGTCCTATATTAATATTTATGGTCTAAAACCATGTCTCTTTAGGATTTAGGTTACTGATATGGAAGTTTATGGGGACAAAGAAGATGACAAATTTAAAATATTTTATATGAAATTTCAGAACTACCTGTCCAGATTTGGGCAAATCTCTATATATTTCAGAGGAGCGCCCCAGCCTTTCTGTTCTTCACAGATAAGAGTAGATAGTAAAAAAATGGGACTCTGGTTGCACCCTCTGCCTGAAATTAGAAATGCTGAAATTCTTAAAGGCATATTTAATTAGACCAGGAGTTTGTAATCTTGCTCTGTAGTGAAGTTATTTTGTGGCAAAGGTACTGTCTTTGCCAACTTAAATGCTTGTTTGTAAATGTAGCCAGCCAGATTAAAGCTATGTCTTTTAATTATTTTACTCATCATTCTGGTGAAGGAATAAAGCTAAAATTCTCCTGCTTCTCAAGGCCTTTGAGAACTTGATACTTGTGGCAGGGTCCACAATTCAGAAAGACACAAATGTGAGCATTCGCATCTGTCTCTGGTCTTGTTTGAGTTTCCTGACCTTGTGTCAGAGGTTACACAGCTGCTTGCATCCTCGCTTTTCCTGCCCTTGAAGTGAGCACGAAGCCTTGCCCCCACCAGGCAGGGACTCTTGTGTCATCTCCCTTCCCTGTCTGTGTGGCTTCTTCACAGGCTCCTGGAATCCCAGCTCCAGTCTCAGAAGAGGAGCCACGAGAACGAGGCCGAAGCCCTCCGTGGGGAGATCCAAAGCCTGAAGGAAGAGAACAACCGGCAGCAGCAGCTGCTGGCCCAGAACCTGCAGCTGCCCCCGGAGGCCCGCATTGAGGCCAGCCTGCAGCATGAGATCACCCGGCTGACCAACGAGAATTTGGTGAGGACAGGGGCCTGGCCCGAGTGCTCCCCAGCAGGCATTGTGGAGCTCTGCAGGGTGCTCCTAGTTTCTTGTCGGGAAAACTCACTGCCCCACACTTGTTACCCTCTTACTCGACAGAGACGGAGCGAGGAAAGTAGGACTCTGTTGGCAGAAATGAACCAGGCATGTGTGCAGGTTGTGTGTCTCACAGAAGGCTCTCTCAGACCTCACTTGGAGGGCCTGAAAGGTATCACCCAACTGTATGCCAGGCTTTTGATATCCATATTTCTATATAAAATCTATATTGTAGTGTCAGCCTGGTTTTGAAAAAAACTACTTAGGACTGGTAGTGTTTTGTCTTTTTTTGTTTTAATTCAGGGTTGTAATGATCTATAATAAATAGTTTGGATTTTCTCTGATGATTTAACAATCTGAATTATCCCTCTGTTACTCCTTTAGTGATCATTTTACATTACAGATAGTTTTTAGTACCATCTGTGTAACTAGCCTTTTATATTAATCAGAAACAAAACCCAAAGGCATTCTTTTCCCAGCCTGTCTGTCCCTGTGAGGCCAGGAGGACAGCATGCTGTGGGGGGCTGCCCTGTGGGGAGGAGAGACAAGGCCAAGGGCAGTGTTTGGACTCTTTCCCAAGTGACTGAAATGTCACTGATTTGTGGGGGAAATTTCTGAATCATGAACTATTTTTGAAATGTCATTTCATTACTCAAGTTTGTTGTTGCTTAAATTTAACTAACAATGCTTAAATGCCTAAGAATTGATAAGCATACTAAATAATATGAAAATGATTGATCGTTGTATAAATTTGCTGCTTACAAATGATTGTCTTCACACACAAGGTGAAACCATGCAGTAGAGACGCTTCTGGGCAGCACATTCCCGAGTTCTTTCACCCAGTCGGTTATGCATTCTCTTGCAGCCTCGTCTGTAGTATTAATTTTCTTGGTGGTTTTCCATAGCTAATACAAAAATAAAGTAAACCCCCAAATTCTAAGCTGGTGGTCTAGTTAATGAGTTTGTCTGAGATTCAGGAAAACCCTTTGTAGGTCAGCTGCTTCTCCTACCTCCCTGACTGCTAGTTCAGGAGAATGGACTCAAACTTAAATACAGGGAATGATGCACTTTTTCAAAATCATTTTAGCTTCTCAGTCTTAATTGTGCATTTCTTTAGGGAGCACTTGAGCAGAATATTATGGCAGCTGTGAACCTAGGCTTCGTTCTTGGAAACACTGCCCTACATAACCCGCCCTCCCATTCACCCCCCAGCACAGAGAGATGGCTTTTCTTCCTCCTCCAGTGAACATGCTTCACAGGCCTCCCCCATGCTGCCTGCGAGGGAAGGAAGGCTCACAGCTTCTTGCCAGCCATCCCACCTTCAAACAAGAGTGCCAGAGTTGCCATTATTCTCACTTCCATTTTAGCTGCACTCCCTACTGTTGGCGCAGCTGCTGGCAGCAAAAAAGTGCAGCAACTGGTGAGAGGGGCTGAGGAGTGAAATCAGAACAGAACAGCCTCACCTGCGGACTGAAGACCACCAGTTTGTTTACCTGCTAAATGGTGGCATCCTGGCTTTGACCTGTTTCCTCTGAGCATGTGAAAATATATGTGTATATGTGTAAAATTGGAATTATCTATACTACAGAGATCAGAGGGCAGTGGCAGGTAACAAATCAGAGGCTTTTGAGTATATACTGTTTCATTAAGTCTTAAAATATTTTAAAATTGATTTCACTGAGAGGTAGTATTCCCTTCAAAGACACAGAGAAAAACAAATATCCATTGTGCCTGTTTTTTCAGTATTTTGAGGAATTACATGCAGATGACCCTAAGAAGTATCAATCATATCGGATTTCACTTTACAAACGGATGATTGTATGTAAATTCAGAATGCTTTTCTGTTGTCTTCTTCGCTCCTTTTAGCTCTCTGTACCTGAGGGGCTGTCTGCTCCTCCCCAGGAGGTCTCTTCAAAAACTTTTTACGAAACCTGTTTCTCTCTACAGCTGTCTTTCAGCCAGTGGTGTGTCACCTCTGTCAGTGTCCTGCGTCCATTGTCATGTTTGGTTTGTTATTAACACCAGGCTTGCAGTGTGATGGAAGTCAGAAGTTAAAAGCCCCTACATAAGTTCAACTGTCCTTAAAACTTTGCACAAAACAGTTTTGCACTCATCAAAATTTATTTTGCCTCTTCCCCTTTAAAAGAAAACATTCCACTGAAGTAAGTAACAGTACATTTTACGGACATTTAATTGTTGCCCACATGGAGTCTACTGGAAAAGACTCTGCAGTGAGCCTGCTGTCCATCACGCTGAAAAGGATTTTACTGCATTATATATTTTAACATTTGGCTTTTGTTGTAGCTGTGTTTCCCATGCCTGCCAGTGTTCGCCAGGTGGTGGCTCCACCGATGAGCTTTTCTGTGAAACTAACAGCACTGTTTCTGTGGTTTTGTGTCTGCTTTCCTCCTGTGCATTTTAGAAGACCTATTTTGACCTTGCTGTTATATTTCTCACTTTTATCTTTAGGATTTGATGGAGCAACTTGAAAAACAAGATAAGACTGTACGGAAACTGAAAAAACAACTGAAAGTTTTTGCCAAAAAAATTGGTGAACTAGAAGGTATTTCAAACATGTTTTATGACAATTGTTGAATCTTGGTTTTATATTACTATACTAATGGCCCAATAGGTTTGCATGTGAATATCAGTGATGGGAACAAAAATGACTTTCAGCAAACCTAGTGTCTGTGAAGTGGGTACTTTCATTGCAAGATGGGGGAAAATGTTCTTGTCATTGTAGTAAACATTTACAAAGTGGGAGAATCCATTCAGCAAAGATCAACAACTATCTTCTATCCGTCAGGCACTGTGCTAGGTCGTGTTGCATAGAGGATAAGAGCATGGGTTCTGGAGCCAAGTCTCTCGGGTTCAGATCCTAACCTTGTGTTATTGGTCATCTGATATTGGGCAGGTTACTGAATCTCTCAATGCCTCACTTTTCCCACCTGTTAAATGAGAATGAGAATGGTCTACCTGATGTGGTTTGTAAAGATAAATGAGTTAACATATGGGATGCATTAGTATAGTTCCTGACACACAGTAAATGCTACATGTAACTTATTATTATCACTGTTTTTCTTAGTATTAAGGATACTAAGATGAGTAAGACAAAGTCTGTATCCTCAGAGAACTTAACCATATAATGCAGATAAAAAGAGAGGTAAATAAGAAAAAGTGAATTATAAAGAAATAAGATTTGTAAAAACATCTCATGATTTATATATGATGATAGGAAAATACCTTGAGAATGAATTAAACATCAGTTGTTATTATATACAAATGAATCTCATCTTGTGCACTACTATGTTTGTTCCTTCAGCAGGTATTTATCTAGGGTCCAGGAATATAGCAGTTAGCAGGCTAAGGCCCAATTTTGCATTTAGTCCAACAACACTCTCACTGTTGGAGAGATTTAGGGGCCCTCTTTGGAAGTGTCTTCAAGTCTATGCAGCCTAGTGTCATTTTGACCAGAACTGATGCTCTGCAGTCTGACTCCCCAATCGTTCTCTCGGTGTCACTCTGACTGATTCTTGCCTGGCTCAAAGAGTGAAGAGTCCCTGACACTAGGAACGTTCACAGTAATTACCATGACTCACTCTGTGTGGTTTTCATTCCCCAACATGCCCGACCTATCATAACTGTTCTTTTTGGTCTTCCTGCTTCTCTTGGTCAAATTCTGTACATCCTTTGGAATCAGAGATGTGTGCTGCATCCTCAAGAGCATCCTTTTCTGATCACCTGGATAGGCCTATGGTTCCGCCCTCTATGTACCACAATTTGACTCACATCTTTTATGGTTTTTCACTGTCATATTTTTAGCAGTTTTTCTGTTTGGATTATTGACTTCTTCAATGGACTGTGAGCTTCCTGAGCTTGGGACCACCTGTTATTTCCCTTTTTTGCAGAGAACCTAGCATAGTATCTGACCTATTGTAATCGTTCCATAAATGGCATCATTGATGTGTACTGTGAAGAGTATAATATTCCCTTGGATATACACGTGCTGAAAGATATATTTAGAAAACAGATTACTTTGCTGTCATATTTTTTATATAATTCTTTAGCATTATGTGCTTCAGATATTACATATCTGAATAATGTTTTAAACCTCCATTCACACACACAGGCTCGATGTCTGTTGGCAAAACTTTAAAAACCTTTATTCAGAGAACTTTTCTGCACTGAACTCTACACTAATTACATCATGAAATGATAATTAGATAGCAGAGTATTTGCTTGAAAAAAACTTGATTTCAAGGGCATCAATTTGTGAGATTATTATTTAAAACTTCTAATGGTTTCACGTGTTATTTTAAGTTTTTACTCAGTTGTAATTGAAGAGATAGATTGGGATATTAGCCACTTTAAGCCAGAATCAATCAGAAATCAATTCGTCTGTTAAATTGTCCTGCCAGCTATTTTCTCAAATGTGTAAGTAGCTCTTGAGAAGGCAATTCATAGATTAAGCAAAAAGGATGTTATAATATTCTAAGAAAAGTTGAGTGAAATGATACATGTCTAAAGAATAAAATGAGGTCTTTATTTGGCTGGCCAGTGGCTGAGAGCAGCCCTCCCCCACCTCCCAAAGTTAGAGAATAAAGGTGACGAGACTCTCCCTGCACTCTTCTCTTCCTGTCGCCTTCTGCTCTGTTATACGGAAAATGCTGGGAACATTTAAAAATCTTATTATATTTTTAAAAATATATACTGTAATATCCTTAAGTTCTTCTGGTTAAAACTAGCAAGACTCTTGCCTCCTATTATGGGCTATGCTTAATTACAGAGATTGTTTTAGAAGCCAATGAAAACTTTTTTTTAAATGCCAACATATATTATTTTAGCAGAAATTACATAGCTAAATGGAGAATGTTTCAAAATTTGATCTGCTTTGGGTTATATTTTAATCCAGGAGTGGGTGTTCCATCTCGATTTTGATGGAGTCAAGGAATTTGGAACTTAAAGAATTCTAGAAATGAGTTAATCATTTTGTAGGAGAAAAAACTGAGGCCCAGAAATTCTAAGCAACGTCCCAGGTCTCAGCCAGTTAGTGACCAAACTGTGAGCAGAACTCAAGCCTCCTGGGGGCTGCTGACCTCTCTCCTTAGTGTCACATTTCCAATAACACCTCTCTCCTTACAGGGATTTTCTTGGCTGTCTCAATTAAGCCTGAGATCAAGATCCTCCTGGTACCAAAGTGAGGAAAAATACATTTAAAAAAATTCTAGTGTCCTTTCCTGTCCAAGACCAAAAAGGTTTAGAAATATTTTCCCTCAACTATAAAGAATCTATGAAATAGAAATAGGGATTGCTTCAGGTCTTTCTGGAAGGGTGTCTGTATTAGATGGAGTATTGAACTGAGTGTCCCCCAAGGTCTCTTGAGTCTTTGAAAACTGGGGCAGCATCCTGGCTTTTCTCTTTCAGACTTGGTATTTAACTGCTGCTGTATAAGGATTGGCATTTTATTTAAATTAGTACAGAGATGACTTGCTAACTGAATCAAAGTTACATCGAGCTAACATCTATATTTTATCCAAGTTTTTTTAAAGACTTAAATTCCTGGGGAGAATTCAAAGGCAGAGAAAGCCCTGGCTGGTATGACTCAGTGGACCAAGCACCAGCCTGTGAACCAAAAGGTCACCAGTTTGATTCCCAGTCAGGGCACATGCCTGGGTTGCAGGCCAGGTCCCCATCTGGGGGTGTGCAAGAGGCAACCAATGGATGTATCTTTCACACATCAATGCTTCTCTCCCTCTCCTTCTTCCTTCCCTTCTCTCTAAAATAAAATCTTTTTTAAAAAGGCAGAGAAAAATTTTAGAAGTATGGCAGATTTTAACTTTGACACTTTTATACAGAACCAAAAATATCTTGGTTAGAGATTTTGCAAAAGGAACGTGACGCTTTCTTTTAAAACATGAAATCTCTTAATAAAAATATTCAGCATATTTCATAAATGCTGAGGTACACAGTTTTTGACATTTTAACATCTCTGAAATCAGGATGTGTCTCACGACTGTTGATGAGTTGCAGCTTAATCAGCAGTGTTTTCCTTCTTTAGTGTTATATAAAATAGTGTTATTTCATAATCAATGGCCCCATAGGTATGATAAAATCAGTAGGTTTAAAGCATTCTCTTTGTGTCATACAGAGCCAAATATGTGCATTTATTGGTAAACTTAATGTGCTGAATCTATTTCCTCCCCATCTGCCCTCTTAGGATTGTGGCTGAGGATGCTATTATTTTGTATTTTACGTGCGGCCACTTTGTGTGGACTTCAAAATCCTGATGCTGTTGTGTTTAAACTGACTCCAGAAATGATATATGTAAACCTGAGTAGTCTAAACCTCGTATCTCTTGTGTGGACACATACAGTTTCCAATTAGCCCTGTGGCTTCCAGATGGCACCAAGCATCTGAAGCACTAGATGCCACAGTGCTGATTTGTCCAGTCACAGGATGATCACCCCTTAGATACCGTAGTGTTGATGGACAGTGGTGATCTTCAGCACTTCAGTCCTGGTGTGTGCGGCTGTGGCAAGAGGTGCACGGGGAGTCACCAGCCTCTCTGCTTCATAAGCAAGAGCACTGACAGGGGCGGGCATTCTCTCTGATAACCTCCTCCTGTGGAACTGGCTTCCGAGAACTAACACAGGGATGGCCTGAGAGAGACAGGAGCAGCACGACTGACACCTTGTGCAGTCGGCAACATTAAACTTTCTAATGCATCTGATCTGCATTTGTTCAGCAAGCCTCTGAACTCCAAATAGATTTCTTAACTGCGCCCTTCCTACAGATAAAACGACCTGCCTACTAGCGTGTCTCCACAAATACCACCATAACTAACTCGTGTGTTCCCATCCCTTCTCTTGCATTCCCCATTCAGTTCTCAGTTTTGAGATGATACTGGAGACTTTTTTTAATCCTTAGCATAATTCTTCTCCAGCAGCTGCTAGTGACAGTAGTGACCACGTTTCACATCTAAAAGGCTGTTCGCCAGTGGTTATGCTTTAACAGTTGCAACACCAAGGCAGGACGTTCAGCACTGTACTAAAAACAAACAAAAGCTGAATAGTGTTTGGGAAATCACATTAATTGGAAGTGGTTTTATCTGCTTGTGAGTTCTTTGGGAATGAGAGACAGCAGGGGGAAGTTAGGTCTTTGCCTTGGGAAGCCTCTGTAAAGAAATAATACATTTCACATCAACTAGTGTGAAGAAACCCTGTCCTACCAGCTATCTTGATGTGGTCTGAACTGATTGCAATGATAGATTTAAAGTAAATGGTCTTTTTCCTTAATGACTAGATTCATAGAACTAAAGGTGAAAGGGAATCTTCTATACTCTTTCTTCCCCCTTGTAGACTATTATGTTTTTCCTTCTGTGATTTAAAGTCTAAATATCTTTAATCATTCATGATTGATAATGATTCATTAAGCAAGAAGTTAAACCGCTTACTTTGGGGACATTTAATCTTATTACACAGTAAATTTCTTATTTAAAAAATGCTTTTAAATCAAGTAAGCTTCTCTGACATTGACATTGAGAGCAGCCGAGCACTAGTGGCCGCCAGTGGCATCACCCCCTGATTTTGCACCTACAGCCAATGTTGGCAGAAAAGGTACTTGAAGACAGGGCAGTGAAGTGGCAAATGCAGCGTGTTTCTGTTGTTACTGAATTTATCATTTAAATTATAAGAATGTGGAACCTTCTCACCTTTTCTACCTGGAAAACATTATCTTCTCATGTTGTTTTTCATGAAGTGGGCCAGATGGAGACCATATCCCCAGGGCAGATCATTGATGAGCCCATCCGTCCAGTCAACATCCCCAGGAAAGAGAAGGATTTCCAAGGAATGCTGGAGTACAAGAAGGAGGATGAGCAAAAGCTTGTTAAAAACCTGATTCTGGGCAAGTATTTTCCTTTTCTTTTTTCTATTCTTTTTTTTTTCTTCCTTAAACAACAGACATTTATTTCTCCCAGTTGTGGAGGTTAGAAAGCCAAGAGCCAGGTACCAATTAGTTTGGCTCCTGGTGAGACCTCTTGCTGGCTTGCAGACAGCCCTTTTTTGGCTGTGTCCATTGATAAACAAGAGAGAAAATGGAGAGAAAGAAAGAGAGGGCAGTATTTTCTGTACAGGACAAGAAAGCTTTCTGGTACACGCGTCAGTGGTGGGAGAGACTAGTCACTAATATTTGAAATATTCAACACCAGTTTCTTTAATCGTCATTACATACTCTGCATTATAGTGCTGCAGAAGTGTCCTGACCACATGGTGTGTCACTGGTCAAAGTGCAGGGACACTCGCCTCAGAGGCAAGTCCCTCTGTGAGGATCCCTTGAGGCCAGGCCTTCTCAGCTCTAGCTGCACGTTAGACTAACCTTGGAAGCTTTTGAAAAGTACTGTTGCATGGTCCCACCACAGACTGGTGGCATCAAAATCTCTAGAGGGAAGAGCCTGGCCACGTCTAATTTTTTAAAAAATCCCTCAAGGGATTCTGATGTGTATCCACAGTTGAATGCCACTGTTCTAGGCCATTTAAGTTCCCGAATTTGTTTTCCCTACTTTCCTAGAAAGTGTATGACTAAATATATCAATAACAACAGTTCAATAATAGGGAAAAAATAACAAAAGAATTAAGGAAAATATTCCAGCAATGGAAGAAGGGGTCTAGACAAATGAAGGGCGTGGGGGAAGCACTTGAGAGCAGCATGAAGCCTCTACGGTTGAGTGCGAGCCCACTGGCTCTGCACGAGTACTTTTCAGACAAGGGTGGGAAATGATTAGGGAGTGTACACAGCCTGAAAGTTGTGAACTGAGAAAGCCGAAAACCTTTCAGCTTTTGCATAGCACTCCTCCCCCAGGTACCAGGGTGACAGCAGTGTGATTGGCAGTTATACCTGATTTAATGTGCCTAAAGTTCCTGGCATTCAACTTAGTACTGTATGTAGGTGCACAGGTGCTTAAGTTTCAACATGATCTTTATTTAGCAAAAATGTGCCCTGGCTGGTGTGGCTCAGTAGATTGAGCACTGCCCTGAGAATCAAAAGGTCACTGGTTCGATTCCCAGTCAGGGCACATGGCTGGGTTGTGGGCCAGATCCCCAGTATGAGGCATATGAGAGGCAACAACATATTGATGTTTCTCTTTTTTAAAACATGTTAAGGAACCACTGTTTTTTAAGCATAAAATTTAAGCAAAGATTCATCAGTTCAATAAATATTTAGTATGCTTTTACTATGTGCCAACCATTTTCTAGGTACTGAGTAACAAGGTAAAGTTCCTATTACATTCCAGTGCGAGAGAAAATAGAGGAAAAGAACAAATATATAATGGGTAAAAGGGATAAAGAGTGAAGGCAGGTGTACTTGTTTATATGGAGTTGTCAGGAAAGGCCTCTCTGATAAGGTGGTCTTTTGACAAAGGCCGAGGAAGTAAGGAGGCAATTCATGCTATCATCTGAGGAAAGAACATCCCAGGCAGAAAATAGTTTGCACGTGGGCGCTGGGGTGGGCATGTGCCTGGCATGCTCAACCCACAGCAAGGAGGCTGATTTCACTGGAGCCCAGGGACCTGGAGAGGGGACAGAGCCATGCACATCACATAGACCACAGCGAGGACTTCATTTTGTAAATGAACGAGGTGAGAACCTACTTGAAAGATTTTCATAACTAGAGCAACATGATCTGACCTCTATTTTCTTACAGAATTACTCTGGTTGCTGTGTGAAAATGTACCGCTGGGGATTAGGGGGTGAATCAGAGAGACCCATTTGGAAGCTTCACTAAAATCCGGGAGAAAATGATGGGGGCCTAGACTCAGGCAGCTAGTAGTTGGATTCTGGGTGTGTTTCATAGGTGTAGCCAACTGGATTTGCTGATGGATTAGATGTGTGAGGAAAAGAGAGGTGTCAAAGATGATGACAAGGTTTATAACCTGAGAAGCTAGTGGGCGGGAACTGCCATTTGCTGAGATGGGGACAACTCCTGCAAGAGCTGATGCCACAGGGAATCAAGTTTGGTTTGGAAGGGCTCAGTTTGATGTGTCTGAATGGAGATGCCAAGAAGGCATTTGCTACAGGAGACTGGAAATCAAGGGAGAAGTCAGGGCAAGAGAGAGAAATCGGGGGGGTCGTCATCGCATAGACAATTAAAATTCACGTGCTCCCTCTCTCAGGCACTTCTCTTACTGAGCCATTAAAATATGCTTTTCTATATGACCCATTTACCCTGAATGATTGACTCTTACATGGGAACTGTGCTTTATTATCTCTAAAAGCATTTCTCGTGACTCTCACAGTTATATGAGATTATTTTCTCTCTTTTTTCAGAGCTGAAGCCACGTGGTGTAGCAGTCAATTTGATTCCAGGGTTACCAGCATATATCCTATTTATGTGTGTTCGACATGCTGACTACCTGAATGACGATCAGAAAGTAAGGTCGTTGCTAACATCGACAATTAACAGCATCAAAAAAGTATTAAAGGTCAGTTCATATTCCACAAAATTCTCTTAATAAATATTACTGACAGACTCTGCACCAAAGTACTTTTCCTTCCATAGCCGAGAGCGAAGGTGCCAGTTCTGAACGCTTTCCAGGCTTAACTGCTGCCGTCCACTGTAGGGGACATTCGTCCTTACAGATTGTCTGCATACCTTCTTTCAGAGCAGGGCTGGGTTGAACAGGAATCAAAATTAATTTGATATGATTGCATTTAATTATGGAATAAATTGTTTCTTCATAGACAAATAGTTTGCTGTAAGGTCTTACTTAAAAATTTAAAATATTTAGTGGAGTCCATTATATGTAGGGAATATGATGCTGTAGTTAAAATAAATATTAAGTTCACTAATATATGGCTCATTCATATAAAAAGATCACCTGATAAAATATTAAAAATTTTTCTAACTTTTTTCCCATTTTTTCCAATTTGCCCATAATTTTCCTTTTAACCTGAAATGCCTGATTCCACGTGAGAAACAACACACAGGTGCTAACCTGAAAGAGAAGACTTGGAGAAAGCAGCAAACTTATGTAATAGAGCAGAAAGTCCTACATAATACCTCAGTAATCACCAGGACACGTTGCATAATCCTCCTCCTGACTCTCTAGAAAAACAGTGAATATTCTTAGTTTTAACTCAGATGTTTATGTGAGGAGCTAAGAGAATGTGTTCCAGGTACTTTGCTTTCTGATTATCTGACTTAAGGAGACCTTTTAGGATGGAGATAAGTGGATAGGTAACATGCCCAGTAGGCTCTCAAACCTAAGGTGGCTCTCATGAAATATTTTTTATAGTGGTAAAATCTACATAACAAAAAAGTGTACCACTCAACCATTTTCAGCGTACAGCTCTGTGGCGTTAAGTACATTCATTTTGTTGTGCACCCATGAAACACACACCCCCTAACCCAGCACATGGTCATGAACTTTAGACAAATGCCAGCTCTCAGTCCCTATTGCTAAGGTATTCTATGCAGTTACACTGTGTGGTGGTTACTGAAGCATGGAGTTTCGGAAGATTTAACAGTAAAAACAATTGATGAATGTCTTCTGAGTATAACTCATTTCATTTTTGGTCTTGATGCTATGTTGTCCTTAGATACACAGCTTTACTACTTGAGTCAACTCTGACAGAGACAACAAAACCAAATCATAAGGTTTTCTCCCTCTCATCTTAATGCAAGAAGGCTTTTATCTAATTTAACTAATTATTGTACCAAATTGTTTAAAGATTGAAGAGAGGGTATTAGAACATAACACCCTTTGACACCATTTCAGATTGCTGTGCATTTGTCTCACACCCTTGTTTGAGTTGAAGTACATCTGTCTCCCGTTCCTGTGTCGGGTTAGCAGTGGGCTTTTGTGAGATGGCCGCAGTCCTGATGAAGAGCCAGGCAGCGTCTTCCCCCGGCGACTGCCCTGCTCAGGACTTCCTTCGGCCCTTGCCAATTCACTGCTGAGCAGCTGTATCTTATATCATTGACAAGATTTTTAACCTAACCCGGGTTTCAGTGCTTCCCAATCTTTGTGATTCTCTTTTGTGCTTTTAGCCCTTTGATTCCCCTCAGTAACCCTGAGGGAAGTAAGTTTGGGTAAGCTCTGGCTTAGAGAATTTTTTTCTGCTAAGCTGACATCTGCAATGAATCACTGGGAGTCATTTTCTCATGGCAGAAAAACAACAGATACGAAGCAAAGTGAAAACCAACCAATGAACACAGTGGTTGAAATTCTCTAGCAATGATGTAAGACTTTACAACTGCAATGTGATTTATTTTTATAATTGTTTATAATGGTAACTGAAAGAAATGGGACTTCTGGTGTCTGTACAGTTATTTTCAGGTTTTTATTTCCCTAAAGAAAAAACACATTTAAGCTTATTCTCTCTTTCAGAAAAGAGGTGATGATTTTGAAACTGTTTCCTTCTGGCTCTCTAACACTTGCCGATTTTTGCACTGTTTGAAGCAGTACAGCGGAGAAGAGGTGAGAAAATCCTGATTACAAAACCAGCATACTAAAAAAAGAAAAAAGAAAAAAAAAACCAGCATGCTGTACTTTCTCTGCTATTTTTAAGGAAAACGTTTAACTATTTGTTAATTTAGAAACCTGAATTCAGAAGTGCCTTGGAAATTCATAGCTTTGTTTGATATTTATTACTTACAGAGCTAGTTTCTTACTTCTGAGAGCTGGTATTGTGAAAAACACAGTAGATATATAATGAGTATTGATCAATGAATAGTTGCAAAAATGAATTTTTTGTCAATAGGTGGGCTATTCAAGGACTGTTTTTAAAATTTAACTAATTTCAGCTTGCTATAATGCATTAAAGGTGATAAGTTAAGACATGCCCAAAAATCTGTTCAGCTTTTGTTTGTGGTGTTGTGTTCATCAGTTGTTTGACAGACTCTAATTTTTCAAAACTTTCATATATTAATAACTTAGTAAGAGCTGCTTAGTAGGTATCAGACAGTACTTACCACACATTACGTTATTTAATTCTTACTACATTTCTATGAGTTAGGGATTGTAACCCAGTTTCCCAGATGAGGAAATGGAAGCTCGGTGAAGTTCATCTGTTTGCCCAAGTCCTCTCAGCCACAAGGAGCAGAGCTGGGATTCTGGGCTCGGCCGCCTCTGAGAGACTCTGCCCCCAGCCACTGCTCTCCATGCCTCCCCATCTTGTGCCAGGAGAGTAGACAGAGAAGCTGAGCAGTAGCACTTTCTGAGCACCCGGACAGAGGCTGCGGGCAGAGGCCTGTCCTAGCAAATAATGGGAAATACAAATATGAACAAGATATGGCCCCTGAGAAGATGGGACTGACGGGTCAGAGTCCCCCAGACGGGTCCTGAACTGTTTTGTCGTTCCGCTTCTAGACCATGTTGAGTGGTTAAATAGGTTGTAGGGAGGCAGATGCTTGACTGTGGGCAGAATCCACCAAGGCTGTTGCCTTTGTCAGGCAATATGTGAAAAGGTCCCTCTTGTACAGTTGGCTTTCCAGTCTAACAAGTAGTACCGAAAGAAAAAAATCATGTATGGATACCATGAAAGGCAAATCTTTCTTTATGTCCCAGTCTCTGTAGAAATTGACTTATTTTAAGAACATGATGTGTGCCCTTTGTGTACAGTATTTATAAAGAGGACTATATTTCATGAACGAAGTTTAAGAGGTTAGTACTTTAGATAATTTAGTATTTGTCGTTAAGCCTCCTGTTTCATAAGTGAAAACACATTAATTTTTTAAATTAAGTTCTCCCATCTTATTTCACTGGCATTGCTGTTGGAAAGGCTTAAATGCTAGGTTGCCAAGTTTAGATATTATTCAAAAGCTAGTAAGAAGTGGAATTTTAAGAGGGAAACAAATAACACAGCACAGAAAATGGTTATCCTGGCATTCATGTGTGGGCTGGACGGAAACTCTTCGGAGAGAGAGAAGAAGCAGGGAGGGGCCGACCAGACGAGCTGGATGGGCGGAAGGGACATTTACCTCACGTGCGTCATTAACCCTGCATTATGTCTCCAGGGCTTCATGAAGCACAACACGTCGCGCCAGAATGAACACTGCCTCACCAACTTCGACCTGGCTGAGTACCGGCAGGTGCTAAGTGACTTGGCCATTCAGATCTACCAGCAGCTGGTGCGGGTGTTGGAGAACATCCTTCAGCCCATGATCGGTAAGGCCAGGGCGTTGCTGACATCAAGGTCTGCCCGCCTCCCCTGCCCACCAATAGATGACCGCCAGTGGCACACATTTCGGGCACATATTCAAATGGAGAACATCAAGTAGTAAGACTCTCAGTCTTAAAGTAAGCTGGGGAATCCCAGAACATGGGGTGTTATCCGTGACGAACTGGGATACCTCAAGGTCCGGGCTTCCACGTGACCAAACAGCAGTGTCTGGTTCCCCTCCTCCATGTAGAACACCTCTGCCTTAAACTTCGGCCCGTGCTCTATGCCCAGCAATGGATCTCACTCCTTTTCCAGTGTTCAGAAACACTTTACACGTCGGTGGGTCTGTGGAGGGTCTGCACTTTGCCCAGTTAACGGGCTGCAGTAAACGGGTTGGGAGAGTACGGTGCCGACAGGACAGGTCTGACACCCCGTGCCAAGTTGTGTGCCTCATGGTCCCTCTGGAATTGTTAAAGCCAACTTGGAGCAGTTTCTTGTTCGATGAGCCACTGGGGTGGGGGTGTTTCTATTTCTGTATATAGCTGTGTATTCAGCTAACGTGTGATTCCATGTGCCTGTCTTTACATGTGTGCACTGGTTCTGGATGTTTGCTTATGTATTCTGTTACACTTTGTAGTGTGTTGCATATTTGAAGTAAGGGTTAGGAGGCATGTACAAATTGCAGGCTGCTAATTTTGAGTGCATTGATTGAAAAAAAAGGTTTTTTTAACTTACCAAACTCTTATCCTCAGGCAAATTATCAGCAGCCTCTGAAAACTACTCCAAGTTGCCCTTTCTTGCCCTACCCACGTGTTTGCTCACTTCTACAACTTCTTTATTTCCCTTCTGTGGACTCATGGTGTTACACTTTCTATCCTAAGCACACAGTCAAACTAGAAACACAAAAGGCTGAGGAAACCATGTGAGACAGCAGTGATTTTTTTAGTCATCCCCTAAGACGGGGGCCCCCAACCCCAGGGGCCAAGGACCAGTCCTCCTCTGTGGCCTGTTAGGAGCCAGGCTGCACGGTAGGAGGTGAGTGGTGAGCCAGTGAAGCTTCACTCGAATTGTGGGCTCGTGTGTGTGCCCCACCCCATGCCAGTTCATGGAAAAATTCTCTTCCCCAAAACTGGTCCCTGGTCCCTGATTGACGTCCTAAGAGGTCATGAATTTAAAGCAGTCTAGGTCACCTAAAATGCAAAAGGTGACAGATACAAAGAAGGTCAGCTTCAGCCAACCTTTTTTTCCATTTTTGCCTGTTTTTATTGGCTAAACAAGCAGTTTACCTCTGAGGTGTCTCATTTTACCAACCACCCCATCTCCCAGTGATTTCACAACAGCAAACGTGTTGACTCTGAATGAGGTTCTGTGGAAGCTGCATGGAGCACTAGGATAAATAAAGGTGGATTGGGCTTGGCCCTTGCTCTCAAGGGGCCCCCAGTCCAGGAGTGGGCATCCCAAACCATCCTAGAAGACAGTTAAGCCACATGCCACCTGGAGAGCACAAGGGAGACAGCAGCACTGCTCCACAGGGGAGGATTGAGTCCTGGGAGGTGGAGGCTAACCCCAGCATTCCCTACCCTTCTGGTAGCCTGGGGCAAGGAGGGCCCAGCTCTCCAGCCCTGCACAACTGCCCCTCCCAGGTCTCCTTCAAGACCCCTGCCCAGGCTCCTGCCTTTCTTGCTGCTTGATTTGTTTGCCTCTGGGGCTCACATGGCCTGGGGAATGCTCATCTTCTCCCTGTCTGCTGCGTACTTCTCTCAGAAACCCTCACACAGCACCACACACTGGTGCTATTACAAGGCTGCTGCTTCATAGTTTAGAAACTACACCATTAAGATTTCTTAATTTCTTGGTAAAATTTTGCATTTAAGAATTATTTCATTAAAGTTGAAAATCCAGAATTCATTTTTGAGGGGGGGGAGTTCTTTCCCCCTCTGTTTTGATGCCCGGATCATTTTCCTGCATTGAGAGAGTGTGTAAATATGTGTGTATGGACATGAAAAGGTTTCCTTTCAGATCTGCGCTTTTAACTTGAACTACTCCTGCAGTCTCAGGCATGCTGGAGCATGAGACCATTCAGGGTGTGTCCGGGGTGAAGCCCACCGGGCTACGGAAGCGCACCTCCAGCATCGCTGACGAGGGCACCTACACACTGGACTCCATCCTCCGGCAGCTCAACTCCTTCCATTCGGTCATGTGTCAGCACGGCATGGACCCTGAGCTGATCAAGCAGGTGGTCAAGCAGATGTTCTACATCGTGGGGGCCATCACGCTGAACAACCTCCTCCTGCGAAAGGACATGTGCTCCTGGAGTAAAGGCATGCAGATCAGGTGAGCAAATGCCAACAACACCTGTGATGGCCTCTTCTCACTGCCCAACTGCCCACTAGAGTGCAGTTTGCCGGCGGCCCATGTGAGGTCAGTGCACCCCATGTCTGCTGCCACCAGCCAGGCAGCAAGGGAGGACTGGGCATGCAGCCGCTTCCCCTGCTGGCGGGGCCTCTCCTCTCTCAGTCATTGCTGCTCCTGGCTGTGCTCCAGCAGGTCCTACTCACTGCTTGTTGGGGACCCTGCTCCACTGTGAAGCTAATTCATTTGAGGGATTGGAGAGATGATGAAAAATACATAAAGATGAGATAGATGCTTCCTCTTCTTTTGTGTGTTTTAATTGTACAAGAGCAAACTATCAAATGATAATGACGATTTCTAATGTTTGATTGCTTTTAGAAATTGCTTTAAACAAAATACCTTTTTGTACCCACGGCAACAAGAGCCTAACAGATTTCACTGACACTTGAAATACGCCTGCCCCTCTGTATTTCAGGAAGAGCTATACCCAGTTCGATGCCCAACCACTCCTCAGCATAACTGTATTATCTGATAGAATTGATTTATTTTGCAAAGAATTTATTTTAAAACAGCTAGAATATTCACTAAGAGGAGAAAAGAGGATTTCTCCCACAAATGTCTTTAGTTGCTCAGTTTCAGGAAACCTTGGCGTTCTCTTCAAATTTTCCATTCTGACCCACATCCACTGTAGTTAACACTAACACCTTATATCCAGGTAGTGGATTTCTTCCTCTGTAAGCTTTGTTTGTACATTTGAAGCACCTGCCATAATGTAATTCCTCCTGTTTTCCTGATTATTACATTCCGATTGTGTGTCCATTTACCTCATTTTATTTTACTTTAAGAACCACTGTTACTTGGTTGGCCACCCCTTGATACCTCAGCATCTGTGTAGTTTCTTGGGGACTTTGTCTCTTCCAGTGGCCCCCACTTGCCCTTCTCTTCCTCTGTCCCTGAGCTTCCCCAGGCCACTGTCCCCATCACCCAGGCTCTCTCGGCAAGAGGGCTGGAGCACAACGTCTGTGAGGCAGGGTTTTGTTATTCACTGGACGTAAGAAAGAGAGAGGACTTGAAGGATTGTCAATTCTCACACCTGACATTGTGAGAGAAGATACAAAGTGTTTTCTGTTCCATTGCGTAATGAGGGCACAGCCGTATAATGTGTTCCATTTTGTCTTTTAGCACGTCTTAGTTCATAACTTTTGCTGTAATGGCCACTTTTCTATCTTGCATTAAAGATAATTATATTCTCTAGTCTTTTACTATTACATAATTATGACTATAACCTCATGACTTTTTATCATGATATTTTTAAGTATAGCTGATAAATTTAAGAAAACTGAATAAGATTACTGCTTGTCACTTGAACTGAAGTTCCTGACAAAGCCACACACAAAAAATCAAGACATTTATGGTAACATTCAGTAAAGGTGCATTCTCTCTCGCTCGCTCGCTCGCTCTCTCGGCGTAGGTACAATGTCAGTCAACTGGAAGAGTGGCTGCGTGACAAGAATCTGATGAACAGTGGGGCTAAAGAAACCCTGGAACCTCTCATTCAGGCTGCTCAGCTTCTGCAGGTGAAAAAGAAAACAGATGACGACGCCGAGGCCATCTGCTCCATGTGCAATGCTTTAACCACCGCCCAGGTACTGCAGCTTTCCCTACCAGGAGATCATTTAACATTCCTCATGGGTGATCTTTGGGTAAATGAAGAAGTCTTCTAGCTATTGCTCTTGTCTCTGAGCTGCCTTCATCTGCATCAGAGAAGATATATACATACATAAATCTCGAAGAAAGATTTTACCAGAAAGTAACACATTTCAGTCCTAGTCACTGTCATCCACGTTCAACATTCAGTCAGTGTTCGTTGCGTGTCTGCAGGGTTGTGCGTGTATCCCAGACACTGAGAGGCAACCACGAACAAAATGAAGTCCCTGCCCCAGTGGGGCATGCATTCTAGGCCTGCTGTGTAGCTTGTATTCCAAAAAATGATTTTCCATGTCATTTTATAATTGAATGATTCTTTAGATTTCTCTACTTTAAGACAAATAATTCTTGTTTCTTCAATTCACTGAATGATGAATTGAGTGCCTGTCTCAAGGTACCATACTTGTTGCTGGGGGAAATACTTCAATAAATAAGGAACAATGCCTGCTTATAAAGAACTTCAAGTTTAGTGGGGAAGACGGATGTACCCAGCTGATGCTGCTGTTAGAGAGTCTAGCAAGTTCAGTGTTGAGACGTCTACCAGAGGTGCCGAGGGGCGAAACCGACTGTATTCAGAGCAGGTCCCATCGAGCAGGGCATTGACTTGAAGGACTGAGCAGAGGAGAAGGGAGGACATGGGACAATGGCATCGGCAGGAGGGACGGCACGGGCGTCCACACGCCCGTTTTTCCTTTGCCCACATATTTCTGTGCCTGCTCTTGGACTTTCGTAATGTTCGTCACACATCTCGTCAGAGCACGGACATCGCACACAGATTACACGTGAAGTGTGCATGCAGAGTAGCTCGACAGACAGCGAGGACGCTGGCAAAAATAGGCACTTGGGGAGGTTGGGAGGAGGGGAGTTGGGGCACTTTTACTTTTCATGTTGTATTCCCTTGTATAGTTCGAATATTTTTCCAAATTGACATTGCTTCTTAAAATGTACAAAACTGAATACATTTCTATTATAAAAATTCAAATAGTAAAGGTACGTGTGCCTTCGGACCATTTCCCTCTCCCCTCTGGTCCCGCCCCAGCCCTGGCAGAACTGAAACCGCGTGCACAGACCCTGGTGGTTTCTGGGTCTTCAGCAGCCAGTGTGTGCTTGAGAGTACGCTGACGACTTTGGTCACTTTATTTCTCACAGATCGTCAAAGTGTTGAATTTGTACACGCCGGTGAATGAGTTTGAAGAAAGAGTTTCCGTGTCATTTATCCGTACTATACAGGTAAGACCTCCCGGGTTCTTCTCCCTGGACTCGCCAACACAGTATTTTGAATGTATGTTTTACAATTTGTTGAAGGTTAATATTTTTAAATTTATATTATTTTATCTTATTTTTATAGTGCATTAAGGTTTTTTTTATAACAACGTATTGGGAAATTGAAGTGATTTTTTAAAGGTTTTATTTATTTAGAAGGGAAGGGAGGGAAAAAGAGAGGGAGAGAAACACCAGTGTGTGAGAGATACATCCATCAGTTGCCTCTCACATGCCCCCAACCGGGGACTTGGCCCGCAACCCAGGCATGTGCCCTGCCTGACCAGGGATCAAACCAGTGACCCTTCGGTTTGCAGGCCAGCACTCATTCCACTGAGCCACACCAGCCAGGTCGAAAATTAAGTGATTATAAAGCAAATGTAAACATTCTACATTAGTTGGGGAGTTTTTGGTAGGATTTGTGGCAGAGGAAAAATTTCTTTATAGATCCAAAGAATTGATGTTCTGTTTTTAATTTTCCAGATGCGTTTACGAGACAGGAAAGACTCTCCTCAGCTGCTCATGGATGCTAAACACATCTTTCCTGTCACCTTTCCTTTTAACCCGTCCTCCCTTGCACTAGAAACCATACAGATTCCAGCCAGCCTGGGCCTGGGGTTCATATCCCGAGTCTGAAAGTGATGTCAAGGCAAACAGTGACAATACTTTTCTTGCCTGAAATAAGAACCCACTATTTCCAGTGAGCTCCTGAAAACACATTTGTAAAGAAAACACAGTGGTCAGCTTCTAGACAAGAGGTCATTAATTTGCATCACCTTGGAAAGAAAGTTACGCTCCTTTGTAGCAACACTCCCCGGTGACTTGTTAGGCATCCTGAGTTTATGTGCAGGAGAATGGCAGAAGGAAGGGAAAAATGTGTCTTCAGCTGCTAGCATTTATTTTAAATCTTCAGCACTGCATCTAAATGGTATAAAAAAACATAAATTCTAGATATGAGCTGATGTTAGCAAGGTACCAACGGAAACCCCCCTCTGTGATAACCAGAAGAAAAATCAATATTGAGTACATATCCTATCAGTTTAGGAATCAATGTTGATGTTGTCAAACTGGATCCAAGAAATAAACTGGCAATATGTATAGTAGTTAGTAAAGTAACTCTCTTATATGTGTCATTATGACGTAGAGGTGTAAAAAGAATGCTGGTTTGCTATATAGCATAGAAGTCCATTTGTACTGTAGCTTCCTGAGCATTTTAAATTGCTGCTACATACTGTGTTCTTTAAAATGTAAGTGATTGATAGATACTCTTATTAGGTACTACAACAATAAGCTTCTCGTTTATCAGTTTTGTTTACAATTCAATCAGATCACAGTTTCAACTGGATTGTGTGCAAATATCTGCAGATCCCCTATACGCGTAGCAGACACTGGAAAGTCACGTAGTAATAAATGTTAGACTTTGAGGGGTGGGATTCGACAGGACGGCAACTGTTGCTGCCATGACTTTTTCAGGACGCGTTGCACCGATGTGCTCATCGTTTCTCCCTGGGCGGGTATCACAGCAGGTGTGGTGTTCTGTGAAGTGACTTATTTTTAGTTCCCAGAGCTGGCTCCCGCAGTGCATATATTCAGCCCTGACAGGTTTTCTTTCTTCTTAATTTATTAAGAATTCGTCTCAGTCACTATCTAGAGAACATTGTCAGCGTATTCATGATTCAGGTCTTAAAAACCTTGATTATCCTATAAATTAAGCAAAAGAAGTATAATAAATATGATTCCATTTTTTTAGGCTTGCAACTTCTATACATGTTCTCAGTACTACTAGATACTTTAAAGAGCATCCATCAGGTTAGAAATACTTTGACATAGATAAGAAATAGAAGAAGATTGCTGAATTTTACAGAGGATTTGGCTCGATAAGACCCAGATTCTATGTTTTTATTCTGAAACTCCAATTAAATGTATTCTGCATTTTTTCTTAGATATCTTATACAATAAATCTTTCAAGTTGTGCAAAAGCAAATTCATTAGAAACTCTGGTTCTGCATTACAATCATAGATTTATATAATTTAACTCCTAGATGGTTTATAAAAATGACATTTTATTAAAATATGTGCAATATTATTGATGGAAGTCAAAACAATTTCGAATCAATGATAAAGATTGTTATTAAAAGATAAATACTGTCTGTTAACTTATTTGGGCCTCAAATTCCTCTTTTACACAGTAAGAGGGTTGGACAGCCAAGTCCTAAGGTCCCTTCCGTGTCTAACATCCTCTCCTCTCCGAGCTTGGTTCCTAGAGAAATGGGCTGAGTTCCTCAGTATGTTTATGCAAAGACCAGTATTTGGTGCCCGTTAAGTCTGAGGGGTTAATAAAATGTAGTGTCACAAATCTGTGAAGCTATAGCCGCCTTCAGTGTACATGATTTATGTCCATGCTTTTAGAAAGTTACATTTTGGTAATTTTTATTGTTATGTACTGCTGTATTCAGTTTGTATACATTTATTTATTTGCAAAACTAACCCAAACACTACTAATTCATTCAGGTTCTCTCAATTTTGCCAGGTTTGTCAATGTGGCTTTTGATGAACTCATAACCATTTGGTTAGTACTGAATGTGTCATAGTTTAAGAGCATGGATGGGACTTGGGTGGGGAAATGCTTAAACAGACAGTGCCTCCATGGTGTCCACGGTCCACCTCTGGCCCAGAAACCTCCCAGCCCTCCCAGCTCAGTGCTGTGTCACGTGTCCCATGCACGTCCTCAGTCTCGTCAGGTCTTCAGGGTCACTCTGGGGCTCCCACTGCCATCGCAGCTCTTTCTCTTACCCCTAGACAACTCGTATACTGAAGTGTCTCTAGTCTGGGCCTGTGTCTGTCTCCTGAGTGCTGTCTCTGCTGAAAGGGCTGCAGCTTCCTCCAAGCCCTGCTCGGAATCCCAGGTAGGGGTCTGGATTATCTTCTCTTAGCAGCCTGAAGATACTTAGTCACAACTAGAGCACCCTACCAGCAGGGACCCCCACAGCCCGCTAATGACCCTGTGTGCTACTTGAGGATGCAGCAATATTCCGCTGACTCTGGGAATCCTTTGGCCACTTTGAGGACTGCACACCCTTCCTTCTGTCCATCCACACTTTCTCTTGCAGCTTCAAGCACACCTCCAGCAGCCTTTCACCCACCCATTTATCTGTTCACTCTTCCCCTCCCTCCCGCAAACTCGCTGTCCCATCACCAGCCTACTTCCTGATCTGACTGCTGCAGTCAGTGGGTGGAGTCAGTCCTCAGCCGCCCCCAGCCTGCCTGGTGGCTTCCTTTCCGGCCAATCTTAGTACAATTTCTTCTTACTTCTCTCGTACATTCTTCAACATTTTCACCAATTTACTTTTTTATAATACTTCTCGGACACACAAGAGGAATTCAAAGGAAGATCTTGAAACAACAGCAGCTCATTGTCTTAATAGCCCCTTCGGAATACTCTGCCCCCACTCCTTACCTACAGATGCAGCTCCCACCTTGGAATGCGAAGTTGAAAAATTAGAGGCGGTTTCCCTTACTGCTTTTCTTCCGTTAAGGTTTTGATCTGCCTGAGAAGATGAATGTGGCATAAAGTCCATGAATGTGGTTTCACAATTCCTTTGGAGGTTTTCAATAATCCCCATATACCTGACACTTCTTTTGTAGGAGCAGAAGTGCAAATGTATATATTCCAAAGCCAATTAAAAGGAGCTTGGGGGATTTGAATTAGTATGATTTGCTTTATTTTAATGGATAATTTAGAATTGGCTTTTTCTGAGTATATGTAATGTAGATCAATCTTTTAATAACTGGGGGAGGCTATGAAAATACTTTATTAGAATTTCAGTACAGTGATTATTGTGAGAAATTACTTCCCTGGTGACCCTAGGTAAAGGGGCACCTGCCACTGTCCTGAGAAGATCTCACCCAGTGTTTCTCTGTCCCTCCCTTCCCCTTCCCTCCCCCTCCCATAAAACACTCACTCACAGAGTCACCAGTTCACAGAGTTCCCCAGGAAGCACGGTCAAGTATCCTCTGGGTAACTTCAACTATTCAGGATAAAACAGAAAGCAAAAATTACTGTTTGACCCTTAAATTCTCTTGTTGAAAGCTGCACAGAACAGTATCATGCATTGGCTATGCTTTACTTCAGTGCGCTCTCTGTTACCTCACTGTCTCCTCACAGCAGCATTGGAAGGTAGAAAATGTAGCCACACTCGTCTGCTGATATTTGAGAGAGAGGTAAGGTCAGACTTGCCAGAGGTCCCGCAGCCCCCCAGCCAAGCCGCCTTCCCGTGTGCAGCAGTAGCAGTGTGGGCGGAAGCAGCGAGGACACTTGAACTAGTCCTGAGGTTACATCTGTTCCCCTTGGTACCTGTGGGGTGGCCGGATCAGCAAGAGGCGCTCCTTCTCTTTATCAGAGTTAGCAGCTGGCATATGGGAACTGAGCAGTGAGCAATACCGAGCAGCAGTTCTTTGTGCTAATGAGATAAAGAGCCTAGAGCCCGGTAGTTTTCCTTCCGTCATAGTTACCGGCTATGACTAGGTTTGACTTAATGTAATGAATCAGTGCTCCCTTGGAGGGTGCAGTACTTTGTTCTTAGGTCATTAATTAGAAGCAGGCTGTCTCTGCCTGATGGAAAGCAGTGAACGCCTCTCCAAAGTGAAGAGGAAGGTCACTCTCAATACACCCCGCTCTGCCAGCCAGGGTTGTTTGAACATCGCTGTGTGTGCATGCTGCCAGTGTTTACTGTGGAGCTAGGAGGTGTGCTGTGTGCATGCGTGTTAGAGAGACTGTGTATTGCCGTGGCCTCTACTCATGAATAAGTGCATTGTAATTTCTTCTCAGGCTGTGCTGTGAGGGCCGCCTTAACCCCTGCTCCCTTCCCTCCTGGAGCTGCCTTAAGTTCTCTGCAACTTTTCCTCTGTAAGGGGACACATTGCCTGGAGAGAATATCAAGCCCTGTTTCTCAAGGTTTTGTGAGGGTTTTGGTTGGGTGTGGCCTCCAACCACTAATTCCTCTCTCCCCAGTCTGCATGATCCTCCCCCACCTATTACTTCCTCCTTTCTTTTCTGCTAGTTCTAGACAGGTATTAGCATTCTGAGGCAGCAGCAGTCTCAGAGAGAGCCAGGGAAATGCGGGCTTAGAAAGTGTTCCTGAGTTCAGCGGGCTCTGTGTCACAAGGAAGCAGATGAACATGGAGAAGAAACACAGAGATGTTAGAGTCTGAGTGATATTTAAATGGCTTGTTTTCCACTGACCTTTTCTTAATGAAGAGTATAACTGTAAAACTTTTCATGGACATTCTTTAAAAATTTTTTTGAGAAACTGGTACAATAAAAGATTGAAAACAAGAAAGAGTGCTATAAATTCTAATCTACTGTATTACCCTAAATTAAATCAGCCTGGAGTTAGTGGATTTTCAGTAGATCAGGGACTAAAAAGTACTAGGTAACATATCTGCCAAAATGCATTTTATACCTTTTTTATTTTATAATTTGGTCTAGCTAAAATGTTCATTTGCTTAATTTAATGAGTGTTATTAGAGTCATAAATATCTGAAAATGACTTTTTAATATTGTAATATTGCCTGAAATATTTGAAAGAAAAATGTTTTTGAGTTGAAACTGGAATGTATAATTCAATGCTTGGTAGGTCAGTACATTTTTATGCATTTTTCAAATATCTTATTGTTACCATATGTTGTAAAATTTTAGACTGCATTTCAGGCTTTCTAAATCATTTGAGCCATTTAATTTTTTTCCAACAAATGGTGATTTTTTCCCTTTAAATGTGGATATGTATATTGTAATTTATGATTCTTAGTTATGTATTTTTGTGGAATCCTGGAAGTAACGTTGACTTTTTTGTGTCTTGGAAATTTAAATTGCTCTAACAGTGTTGCACAGAAATGAGTTCATGACACTTAACACTGTATTTTAATTATTAACTTTAATTGTTCATTGACTGTGAGATGGATATGCTTTTTAACTAAAATGAAATCGAACATTGCAATTTTCCAAATAGTTTTTCTTGTCGGACCTGGCAAAGGAATTCTACTTTGAGCTACACAGAAAAACAAACTACAGCTCATCTTTTAAAAGTTCTTAGGTACAGTATTCATCCATGAAAAAGGAAGCAGCGGTACTGAAAAATGAAAGGCATTATCAACCCACTCCAGTTTTAAACAGAACCCATCCCAGCATATCTCACATGGACTTTTTAAAAATAAGTTAATAATTCACCTCATATCAACAAAAGATGTCAACTAGTGCTAAGATGAAAACCAAAACAAAATCAGATTGACATTTAAGCTTTGTAGTTGTCTAATGTTGTACTTAGTAAGTGTGCGTCATTAATGCTGTATTCTCCTAGCTATTATAGAAAATTGTTCAAATAAAGGTATGGATATAATGGATTTTTGTTCATGTCTGATCAATAAACCCACAGCACATGGAATATACACCCACACAGGCCACGTTCTGGGCTGAAAACATGCCTTTAAAGTTAAAGAATAGAAATCCTATAATATATGCTCTCAGATGGCAACAGAATTAAACTAGAAATCAATGAGAGGGAAATAGCTGAAAAATCTCCAAACACTTGGAGATTAAACAACACACTTCTAAAAAACACATGCGTCAAAGAAGAAATCTTAAGAGAAATTTTAAAATACTTTGAACTAAATGCAAATGAAAATACAACTCATCAAAAGTTGTGACATGCAGTGAAAGCAGTGCTTGGAGGGAAATGTACAGCATGAAATCCATGTGTTAGGGAAAAAAAGCCCTAACATCAACCATCTAACTTTCTACTCTAGGAAACTAGAGAGGGAGAGAGAGGAAATTAAATGCAAAGAAAGCAGGAGATAAAAATTACAGCAGAAATCAGTGAAATTAAGGACAGGAAACTAATAGAGGCAATCAATGAAACCAAAACCTGGTTCTTTGAAAAGATAAATAAAAAATTGATAAGCCTCTAGCCAGGCTGATTAAGAAAGAGAGAGATGACATAGAGTAGGTAAGTGGTTGCTTAACTACCACTTAGGACTAGGGGGTAATGAGGGGCTGGGGCGTGATAGCTAAGGAGCACTGAAGTTTCTTTTCAAGATGATGACAATGTTTTAAAATTGTGATAGTTTAACATATCTGTGATATATTAAAAACCACTGAGTTGTATACTTTATTACTTTTTTAGATTTATAGTTTTATTATAGTAATTAGTTGTTACAGTGAGATCTACATACATATACAGAACTATTTAAATTCATATAGAATAATAATTACATTTTTACATTAGAAGATGAAGTATGGCTTAAGTTTTACAAAGAAAACAAAAAAAACCACAAGATAAAAATAAAGTTGACAGTAAAGATGCAACTATCTGTTCTCAATACCACATGTGGAAACTCTCAGAAAGCTACATCTTCTTAATCTGGTCTCCAAATCATTAAAATATGAGTGATTCAATGTCATTTTGCCAAAAATTTGTTTGGCAGGATCATAGACTGACATTTCCTAGAGCAGATTCAAGCCGTTCTCATCCAAGTGGGGCACTAGGCTTCCTGGCTTCCACTTGGGGAATGTATTCTTTTATAGTCCCGTAAAGATTCCATTCTGGCCACTCTTCACATGGGGGTCCCCAAGCTCTGAAAATTCTGAATTGCTGAATCTGCATGGAAAAGTGGTTTCTTAGTTCCTAACTCCACAAATATGGTGCCTACACTCCAGATGTCAAGTGGAGTCAATAGCGAGCTGACCCCAACAACACTGCAGGAAATCTGTGGCAAAGCGTTCATACCTCACTCGTGTACACTCAAATAGGTGTTCCAAAAGCTCTGGCAAGGCCAAAGCAGTCCGTTTAATTGTTCCTTTGTCATCAATCAATAGATTTTGAGGTTTTAAGTCTCTGCATAGAACTCTTAAGTGACAAAACAATCCTTTATAGGATTTGGTACAAGTGACTCTGAACGAGTGAAGAATCTGTGAACTGATCAGGAGGGATAGAATCCAAGTATTTCTTGGGATCAATGGAAAGGTGTTCAGAAATGAGATATGACCCAGAGCTCTGTGTGAGGACATCTTGAAGACTGACTCTGTTTAGATGACGAAGTTCTTTTAACAGAGAAATTTCCCAAATTGCGGTGCGAGGAATCCCTTCCTCTTCACTTTCTCATTCGGTTTTCTTCATGGCTAACGCTTCTACTTGTAGTTTTGTGTCTACTCTTATGTACACCGTTGTAGGTGCCTTCTCTGATTTCTCTATTAGGTACAGTCTTCCACAGTCATCAGTAGTTATGATAGATGCATGCTAAAGGGTCCTTGAGTTGTATACTTTAAATGGGTGGCGTGTATGGTATAAGAATTATATTGCAATAATTTATTTAAATAGATTTTGACATCTGGTATGGCAGACTGAGGAAGGAGCTCAACAAATTCCCTCGTCAAAAAAGCGAGCACAACACTGGACAAAAGAATCAAGAACAATTTTAGGACTCTGTAAATGGACCAACAGCACACAACAAATCAATAGTGGTTATCCATGAAAAACCACTGAACTCTGGGTAAGAACAATGGGAGTCTGGCATTGTTGCCTGGGGCCACTCCCATGATCCTCCAATTCCTCCACGTCAGGTGGCGAGGTAGTTCTGCCAGAATTGGAGGAGCTGTGAAAACTAGTGGCTTTGCCTTTGGAGGGCTCCCTTGATCAGAGTGGAGCCCAGTGAAGCCCCACACTGAGCAGTGAGAGTAGCCATTGAGAGCAGCGATCTCAGAACTGTGACAGAACATATTTCCATTGTTTTAAGCCACCCAGTTTGTGCCACTTTGTTACAACAGCTGTAGGAAAGTGATACAGTATTAAACTGAAATATCTGTGATGAATTCAGGTGCATAATTTAATCCCTAGAGGAACCATTAAAAATTAACTCAAGGAATATAGTTTCTTAAAACATAGGAATTAAAATTTTCTACAAAAAATAAAAAATCTATCACCAAAAAATGTCAGTAAAGGAGAAACAGAGGAAAAAAATACATGAGCCATATAGAAAACAAGATAAATCATAAATCAATGAGCACATTACATGTAAGTGGATTAAACACTTCTACTGGAAGTAGAGATGGTCAAACTGAATTTTTTTTTAAAAAAGACCCACTGTCTATAGATTCAAAAACACATACAGATTGAGAAAAGGGAAGAGAAAAAGATATCCATTAAGTCCAGATATTCAGTCCAATTCCATTAAGACTGAAAAACAAAAAAACCAGCATAACAAACTAGGAAGGAGGAACTCCTTCATGTTTGGGAAAAAAACTCTATGGTAACCTTATAATTAACGGGAAGAAAACCAGAAAACCAAACCTGAATGCTTTCCCCCTAAAGCTAAGAAGAAGGCAAGGTTGTCTGGCTGTTCTTGCCACTGCAGTTCTACATTGTGCTGGTGGTTGTGGCCAAAGAAATCAGCACCTGAAAATTAAATAATAGCACCCTAGATTGAAAGGAAAGTTTAAAAAATGAATTTATTTGCAAATGATTATTTTGTGTGTGGAATATTGTAAGGAATCAACACAAAACAAATTTACTTGATCTAATAAATTCAGAAAAGCTCAGAGGATATAAGATCAATGTACAAATGTAAATTCTATTTATACTAGCAATAAACAATTGGAAAATGAAATTAAGAAAACATTTATATACATTCATAGTAACATAAAAAAGAATAATATGCCCAAGAATCAATTTAATAGAAGTGCTAGATTTATACACATAAAAGTACAAAACATTGCTGAACCATCTTGCAGGAGAAGTTTTCCAGCAATCCACAGAATTTCCAGAATGCTGGTGCTTAAACAAGATGGGGCTTTATTCCATAAAAAATGTCATTGTTGAATTTTCCAAAAGTCCTACTGAGATTTTCATTCCATTTACATTAGGCTTACATGTTATTAACTTGGGTAGAATTGACACCTGTACCATATTAAATATTCCCATCCTTGAAAATGACAGGTATTACTTGCCTTTTATACCCCTGAAGAGAAATTTAAACATTTTCTCCACAAAGGCCAAGTGCATTTTTTGTTAGTGTAATTTCTGGACACTTTGTATTTTCGTTGATATTGTAAATATCTTATTTTCCTATTTTACTTTTTATCGTATTTTCTAAAGGGTTTTTGTTGATATAAAGGAAAGTTACTCATTTTTATATTTGATTTTGAATACGGTCACCTGGCTGAACTCTCACAAGTTCTAATAGTTTGTTGATTCTCTTGGATTTTCTATGGAAATGGTCATATCCCTCTGTTCTTTCCAGTAAAGATGCTGCGACTTAAGAGAGCGAACACTTGGTCCGGGACAGCTCTCAGAACACACCTGTTTCCTCCCGTGACAGTCAGTACATTCTGCTCCCGCGGTTCTGGGCGCTGCTCTCGCCCCCGCCAGGTGGACCCCTTCACCGCTGACGCTTCCCCGGGAAGAGGGTCGCGCCCCGCCCCGCCCCGCCCCGCCCCCGCTCCAGCCAATCGCGTCAGGGACTGGACGGGACGGGCCGGCAGGGACCAATCCGCACCTGTCTCCTCCCGGGCCGCCCGCCCTCGGGAAAGTCTGAGGATCCCTGGAAAACTTCCCCGCAAGTGGCCGGGCGCTCTGGATGCGGCCCCTGCGCGCGGTTACCTGCCCCGGATCCTCAACGCCGCGGGCCCAGGCCCCCTGCCTCGCCCCGTCGCGGCCCCCGAGCTGCCCCGGCTCTTGCGCCCATGGCGGTGGCCGCGCTGTACACGCAGGTAGGCAGGGTGGCCCGACCCGAGGGAGGGCGCGCGGGAGGGAAGCGGGCCCGCCGCTAACGCTGACTGTACCTGGTGTCCGGGCCACACCTGTGCACCGGGCGCGCTCGCTGCGGGCAGACGGGCGCGAAGGGCCCGGGAACCGGGGGCCCCCGCAGCGCAGCCCCCGGAGGGCTCGGGTCCACGTCGGTGGCAAAGGCGCCCCCGGGAGCCTCGGTCCCCTCGGGATGGGAGACCAAGTGCCTCTCCGGGCCTGGGCTTCCAGGGGTCGCGCCTTAGGCCGCGTCTCCCGTGCGCCTTGGCCCCCTCCTTCCGAGCCACAAGTGGGATCGGGGTTGCCTGTGGGAATGTAGAAATCTCAGACGAGGGCGAGTCATCGCAACCGTAATCTTCCCGACCCTCCTGGCAGCCCTTTGAACAGCTTGGCCCAGAAATGTGGGACCGCACTACTCAGACTGCTTTCTAGAATAACTGGGTCTTCAAAATGCATGTTCGTGCGTTTACGTTCGTATGACGCCAAAGCTGCAGCTGCCTGGACCTGTCAGCCAGGCCTCCCCCCTGGAAGTTGAGGGCCCCTGACGTGTAGTCACGAGCTCTTCACCTAACACAGTTTAACTCCAGGAACCATTCGAGAGCAT